CAGCCTCCCCAAAGACCCAAGTCAGCATTTCTTTTGTGGCCATTCCATGGAGTCTGTTAATGCAGCTAGCCAGCCAGCCAGCCAGCCATGCCCAATTGGTCAGTCCGTGTCGGAGGAGCTCATCCGTCCATCGGGTACGCCGCCGTCAGGTGCCTGCTCCATGGGCACGCTTCATGCTTCAAGTGCGCAACAATTGGACAAAAGCGGATTTGGCTTGCTTGGTTTTGGCTTGGGTTTTTTTCTTATTTTATTTTTTATCATGTCCATTTCCATTTTCTTTGTTGCCACTTGATGTTTGAGGTTGGCGTGGATTGGTAATTTGTTAGCAGACCCATTGCAATTGATTTCGATTGAATTACGCACTAGCTGGGACCCTCCAAAAGCCAAATATGTTCATTTCGAATGGGCTTTATTGTTGGTACTCATTTGGGTATATTGAAGGTACTCATTCACAAAGTCACTATTCTCACGATTTGGATTGTACGCTGATGGATTTATTATTTTGAACAATTTTTACACATTTCTTAAGTGATTTTTCTTATATTACTCCTTTTATTTACTGATTTGAAAACTAATATTGAAATTTTGGAAATTAGTTAGTTTCTTAAAAAGGTTTCTGCTTAAGCTTTTCATAATCTGTTAAATACAAAATGTAGTTTTTCAGAAGACATAATTTCAATTCCGATTTCTACTTCCTTCCGCTCTAATATCTCACTCTCATTTTGTGAGCTGTGAGAATTGTTAAAAATTTGCATTTCTTTGGCTTCGAGGCACGCCCCCTCAATGTCAAGTTCACAGTCACTTCCGCCCTGAAAAAAAAAAGAAAACGGAAAATGCAGCGACTTGGTATTAACACGTAACTTCCACTGATCTGATCCAATCTGATCTTGATAGCCACGAAAAACAATCAACAAACAAACTTACAAATCATCTGGCCGACGAGTTCCGGCATTTGGAGTTTGGAGTTTTAAGTTTATGGTCTTAATACTTGTCCATTGTTGACTTGGCGTAAACGATGGTTATAATTTTTATGACGCTGTGAATGTGCTGTGAATTAAACTCAACGGTTTTCTATTTCTTTTTTTTTTTTAATTTCAAGTCGACTGCCCGCTAATTGTGGGTGTGTGATTGCCGGTTGATGCTGGCGGGTGATGTCAGTTGTTTGGGTCTTTAATCATCTATTAAATAACTTTAAGCACGGGGCTAATGTGAGGGAATTAACTCCCAAAATGTCCCAAGAGGAATGACTTTCGAAACAAAGCCGAAGGTTGGTTACTCTAAGGAAAGTTGAAGTTATAGAAAGAGTTTTAATATTGTAAAATCATTAAAAAAGGCATTTCAAATGGCAATTAAATATAGTTTTTATTTTATGAATTAATTTAAAATATCACAAAAATACTTACCTAGCTTACATCTTTAAACTTCACAATCAAATATCAATTTTACCAATTAAGCTGACATTATCAAACTAAATTGATTATTTTTGCCCAGTTTGCCATGCCTTTTAAATGCTAACCCCTCGAAGCCAAATTACTCAATCCATTCGTGTGTGAATTAAACGAACTGCTAATCTAAAACAGATCCCAGGCAACCAAATCTTATTAATGGAGTGCTCAAACAACGCCCAGAGAACTACGAGGCGCGTTCGATGTAATTAATTTCAATTCGCCACTCTTCGAGAGCAACCTTGAACTTCTAGAGTGACGTGTCTATTAGAACGCTAATGGATCCGTCTTTTCTGAGCCAAGTTTTACTTTCGCTTTTTGTTTCCCTCCATCAAGATACATCGTAATTCTTGAGAAATCCACATATTGAGAGATTAAGATTGGCAAGGGAGGGGGAAAACCCGGTGACATAACTGCAAAGCTTACGCACTCATATCTTGGCTGGAAAATATGTGGAGCATTAAGCATTAGGGCTAATTAGTTAATAAACAAAAGAGTGGACCATGGACACATGCAAAATATTTCTCCACAGTTTTATTGTCTTTCTTTTTTTTTTTATAATTTTGGTTGGTTTCTTTTTTGGTTGGTGGCACAGTCCGCTGGTCAATTCTCAATTGCAGCAGTAAAAATGTTGCACTGAAAAACATTTTTAAGTATTCCAGGAAATTTAAGAGCTGCCGTAAAACCCAAAAGAAAGAAAGTTTAAATGATTGAAATGTTTTAAGGAGCTTTTAAACTAATTTTTTATTGTGAGCCACAAAATCTAGCAAGCTGACAATAACGCAAAGATAAATGGTAATAAGCAGTGGCCAATTACAAACATCTTTTGGCCAGGTCTTGCTTAAGTATGTTTTACAATACTTTTTTTTGCAGTTTTATTTATATATATATATATTTTTTTTTTTGCGGCTGCAATGTCTATAATTTCCCCCATTGAACCTGACCGTCGTGGCTGTCGTTGTTTTTACAACCATGCCACCACCGAACCATTGTTGTAGTAGTTACTGATGGGGCAGCAAACACAGTTATGATTATGAGAGGCTTTTGTGACAATCAACTTCCTCGAAACGTGCCGCTTTGGAATGGCTTTGGCATGGAATGGCTCAAAATGGACTTGGACTTTGCATAATGGCCAGCAGTTGGCCAGTTAACCAGTTAGTTCGTGTAATGAATTTTACCCGTGTTATTAGGGGACGACGACAATCGTTTCTGGGAGTCAGCGACATTGCATTTACAGGTGCATTTTGGGTGTTTTGGCAAGCCTTAAAACGGCTCAATTTTTCAAGAAATAAAGACATTTTTAAGATTTAATATCTATTTTAATTTGAATTTCAAGGGTTAAAATGTATAAATCTCGAAAATATTGATCAAAAATTATAAAACCAGATTATATCTCTCAAAAGAAATTAATCTTTCATTATCGTAGTTCCTATTTTGTAGATAAAATTCCTAGCTTAACTTTGTCTTGATGTTAAAAATGATAATACGAGAGTTGTCCTTCATTATGAATCTAAAGATATTGATTTTAAATTGCATCGTAAGGTCAGAAAATACTTTTTAAAACTTAACTTAATTTAAAAATCATGATAAAAATATCATAAAAAATAATTAATCACCATAAAAAATCGATTTTCCTTTGCCTATTCAATTGATTTTTTCTCCATGTGCAACTTTGTTTACCCTTTTGCGCTGACTAAGCCGGCAAAACATTTATTAATTATGCCTTATAATTGAGGCACCCGCTTGGGAATAATTTTGATTAGACGCCCCACCTGTAATTATCCCTCGTGAATCGTGAAGCTGTTTGCAAGTTTGCTTGATTTGTTTGTCGGGCTCGATTCATTGTCAGTGGAAATATGTAATATGGAATGGATGAAGCAAAAATATATATAAAAAAAACGAAAAGAAAAGCCAGCAAATTATGTGAACTTGTTATATCACCTGGCTGAAAATCGCAGGCTTCAAACATTTTTTGTTTTTGTTTTATTCGAGCGGCGGCAATCATAACAACAAGCTGCTGCTGCTGCTGCTGCTGCACTTTCTTTGCGTTACGCTTCTTTGCATGCATTGCCAAATCACTTGTAAATATATATATATATAGCCACGTTAGATATCTGCGGCTATATGCAAGCGGTCAGTGTCCAGACATTGAAAGCCAAGCAATTGAATGGTTGAATGCTGTCCGCCGAAAAAAAAAAAACGAAAAGATACAGATACGAATTGAGATGCAGTCGTAGATGTGGATGCAAGTATAGATGCCTTAACAAGTGCGGCACAGAAACGCAAAAGTTCAACAGTCGGAGGCGTTAGTAAGCCCCTTCCTCCCCCAACATCCACTTGTAGGCGTTTGCAGTATTGTAAATTAATTCATATTAGCCAAACAAATGCAGACATATAGTATGTGTGTTGGCCGAGTGTGTCGGTGAGCTGCTAGCTAGGCTAGCTTTTAGCATTTCATTCGCCGGAGCAGATGAGATGAGATGAGATGAGTTGCCGCACAGGTTTTATTTCTGTGGTCTGAAGTTCGTTGTGGGAGCATCGTCGTCGTCGAAGTCGAAGTCACAGCCTCATTGAAAAAATAACAATAACAACAACAACAAGAAATCAAAAACCGGCGCAAATGATTTTTATTTCTTTTTTTTATTTACTTGCTGCAACTATTAGTTGTTATTGTATTGAAAATAGCAAACATGCAAAATGCACAGCGAAGGCTGAGAAAATCAACAGCGAAAATGTTAATTACACTATATCTGAGCAGCTTCTATCTGGCCACTGGTTCGACGGCCACTTAACTGTATCTGATGGATGCAAATGTGTAAAAGCCATTTTCGAAACCCCAAAACAGTTACGGATCTTTTCATATAAATCTATATGTAACTGACTGCATGAGTAATATCAATTGATTTATGACTAATGGGCAAGCCTAAAACCAAATGCATATCAGCGGACTCAATCAAGATTTTCCTTCGATTAAGACGCTCATGTTAACAAGGTAATAAGAAATTGTTTATCTTACGATTATATATTTTATATCATGATCCTGATTTGTATTAGAAAGGAATTTTGCATATTAATATTTTGAAATAAATATATATAAAAATAACTAATAAAACGAATGAAACGATGAAAAAATGTATATTCTAAGTTCTTCTTCCATTTTCTTCTTTTTTAAAGCCAACATAGATTTTAAAAGTAGTTATTTCTTCTTAATTTTTTAACAATACAAACTTATAAATCTTTTTTTCAGATTTTAATAGTTTAAAAATCATTTTCTTCTTGTGCAAAACAAAAGACTTGGAAAACGAACTTGGCGGTAATGAGGAAAACTTCACTCAACTTCCACAGCCTTTTGAGTCAAGTCTTTCCAGACAGAGAAAGATAACCAGAGAGCTCTGCTCATAGAGAGAGAGATAGAGAGACGAACCGAGACACTGAGAGACTTGGAGAAGTGACTGTTCTCTCGGCCAATCCTCTCAATGGGCGGCTTCGGCTATGAGGGTACTTTTTGGTATAAAACATAAACAAGCCAAAGAAAGTCATTCATTTTGTTGTTCGAGCCAGACGAGTGAACCGTTAGCAGCAGCAGCAGTAGCAGAAGCTAGAAGAAGAGCCTAGCTGCCCAGTGCAACAAAGTGATAAATAAAAACCAAACCAAGAAAACAGAAACACTCGACTTACAAAGTGATCATACAGTGAGTGTGCAGTGTTTGATCTTGAGCCGAAAAAACTATTTGGATTATTTGGATACCAACGAAGGCGATCGCAGCGAGAATGCAGTAAGTTCTATATAAGCAAGCATGACGACTATGAATCATAGTCCGAACCTGGATCTGAACCTGGACTTGGCCTGCCTCGCGGCCATAAATTCGTGCTGCAGTCGCTGCAACCGATAATTAGCATTTTTGGTATTGTCTCGGTCTCCGAGGGGTTCTCTCGGCCCAATTTTTCTGGGCCACTTGGCAACCACGAAATATTCTTTTGGGCGATTTCAAAACCCAGCAGCGACATACGTAAGACAAAAACAACAAGAAAAAAAACAGAAACCCAAACCCAAAACCATAGTTGGTCTGACTTTTCCTTCTATATCTTTTCCGTTGGTTTTCTGACTCTGTGTGTGTGTTTTTGGCGTGGGAGTTTTCGCTTTTGTTTGCCGACAGTTCATTGAGGCAGCTGACTTAAACCCAGGGGGATATTTGTACTTATTTATATGAGTTGGTACACGGAAAAAAGTTGGGGTTAAGGAGGTTTAATGAAAGGATTCTGTACTAATTAATATAAGAATTATGAAGTTACTGAGATGGAAGTTTTGAAGTATCAATATGATTTCTATCGCATATTTTTTTATTTTAAATATTTACACTATTATTGTTTCTAGACAGTCTCTGGGCAGTTTTCAATCCGCTTAAAATAATCAGTAGGTAGTTCTTTTTGATTACATTTTGCTCAGATAATCGCCAAATTTTATTACTCAAAAAGTTACCAAGATGGAAATAAGGCAAAGAAATTGGTTTTACCACCACGTAGTTCTTGAAATATTAGAACTAACAATAGATCAGTATAAAAGATCATTTGTTCGCGTGTAGATTACTCAATCTTTAGATCTTATACCTTTAATTTATGTTTGCTTTGTGGCAATTGAATGTCCGAGAGTAGATCAATCGATTAGGACTCGGAACGGTCACGCCTGCTGGACATGGGGAGATCCAATCTCTGTGACAGATTGCATCACAAAGCTGGTCCTTTCTAAAAGTCCATAGTCGTGTGGATTACTCATGCTGTGGGCATATTATATAAGTGACTGCGAATATGAGAGGGAATTGTATCAAATGCACGCACTGCGACGCATGTGGCGTATACGCAATATTTCATAGTTTGGAATTACAGCGACGCACAGAAATGCGCAATTGCCCAAGCGTGCTGCCATGCCACACCACGCCCACCACCGCCCCCTCCAACCCGACTATAATTGCTTTCGATTTTTGGTCACTTTCGGATGGGGTGTGTGTCTGCTAGTGCTTTGGGGGCTCGCAATTAATAAATTGCCATCGAATCGATTTCTTTCACTTTTTTTTTTGCCTTGGCTGATCTGATTTGGTCCGTCATCGGACCAAGCAAACAGAGAAACACACCCACTTAAGGCAGCCCACCAAGTGAAGGTCACAGATTTGTGAAAATTACCGCAGCACAAAAAAAGAGACACAAAAGAGAAAAACGGTTGAACATAAAATCCATTGCCAAGCGATTATGGTGGCACATTATCCAGATGCCCGAAATTTCCAGCACATTAAAAACCGAAAACAGAAAACCGCCCTAACAGCACGCACAGTAACAGCGCTTAATTTGTTACACAAAAAACACTAACTGCCAAAGAAACTGTAGATAAAAGTGAAAAAAAAACAAAAAACTAAAAACGAAAAAAACGAAATTAAAGCAGTGCAATGTATTATTGTTTATATTTTGTTTTTGGGCTTTCATGTTTCACACAGTTTAATGGCATCGGGAGTTGTGTTAACGAGCGAGTGTTTAATTAAGCACTCGAATAAACTGCAACTACAGCAAGTGAAAACAAAAGACTTAGGCAACGAACTCGAACCGATTACATGCTAAAGAGTCGAGAAATGGAAATGGTAATGGAAATGAAAATGGAAATTGAAATGGATGGAAAACAGCGGGTAACCAAACGGATTGTGGCGTTAAGTGGGCTAAGCTCCTAATTCTCTGCCTACTTCCAATGAAAATGCCCATTGAGAGTTATACAAGAAATGTACACTCTCGTTTAGTTTCATTTTTGTTTTTGTCCAGAAACAAGCACACTTATCAAAATGCAAGTGGCTTGCCAAATGTCGTAATCTTAGACCGGCGCTTATGTCACCCCTAAAATGCCCGCCTAACATGACGCACACCCAACATTTAAGGAAATCAAAAGCAAATATAGTCCGAGTTCCATACGCAAGAAAACCCGGTGGCACATAGAGGTAAAAAAACAGAAAAAATAACAAAAACCAACTCCAACTGGAATTTATAACGAAACCGACGGCTTCGCCTGTCTTGTGGTTTCCAGAAGTAGGTTTAGCGGAGGGTACGGGTACGGGTCTAAATCTGTGGAATCAGAGCCAGGGGATTGAGGAGCTGCTGGTTTCGGAGCCGACGAAAACCATCAGCATCAACGCATCGCCTCCAATGGCTGCTCCATGGCTCTATGCTATATGCTATATGCATGATGTAACTGCAGTGCGATAACGTCTGCATCTGGACCAAAAGCAGAAACAGATCCCGAGACATGCAACCAATTCCCCCATTTATGGCAGACACACTGGCTATTGCGACTGCGAGAGTGCTGTTTGTGGTGCACAAGTGGAGCACTCCAGCTTTAGTGCAGCGTTGGAATGTGCTGAGATATTTGCATGTGTGTTTGCAGGTGGGATGATGGCAATTCCTTTGGGCAGATTCCCGACGGATTCCCATGGAGGTTGCGCAAAAGGTTCGCTGACAGTGACAATGCAACAGGCAACAGTGGCACTCTCAGCCCAGCTCTTAAAGTTCAAAGGTGCAAACTAGCAACTTGCAACTTGCAGCTGCCAAGCGACAGGCTGACAAATTGCCAGCTGGAAAATTCGATACTTGCATAAGAGACGCTCTCCAGATTTATTGGCCTGGCCCAATTCAGTTAGGAATCCGCTAGAGTACCACGGGTTCAAAGTCACTCGAAAGCCGGACACTCGATTGGCGTGAAAAGTAAAAGTGAGGTCCGACTTTTGCTTTTGCTTTTATTACAGCTCTCGCATATTTCACCTTGCCTAACTATTTTGCGACTCTTACTCGGGCTTTGACGTTATGGCCCCAATTAGATGCAGGCACGTAACATTGGTTAATTGGACTGGCCAGCACCACCGGATTCGCTTCGTTTCCAGGCCAGGAATTCCCTCCTCGACAGGGGTAGATATTATGCGTATGAACAGCAGTTGACATTCAGCCAAGTCGAGTCAGCGAGTGGGTCTCGGGTAAATGGCGTTCAAATTGAACCCGCCGCCGCAGGCTGAGCATCTTCATCATACTGTCTGCTAGTCGGGGTATATGAGCTATAAGATCACGGTCTCAAAGTGGGGGTTAGAAAACCAGTTAATATAAATATTATAAAGGTGAATGCAGATGGTTTTAGTTACATTACATAGAGAAATCTCAAAGATTTTTATGAACTTCCAAACTAATAAACTATTCTAAATCTCACTTAATATTGCCAATATAGGCCAAGTTTAGTTGGCCATAACTGCTAATTCAGAACTAGAAAACTAAGATCAAGTTTATTACCTGGATTAGTATTTCCCGAAAATATTCAAATCTTTTGGTTACGGTCTGCGGTTGGTTGGGTTAACAAGCGTATGCCATGATCAGTGATTCCCTAAGCTCAGCTTTCCTTGCCTTCCCAGCCGCAGTTGCATCTCCATGTAGCAAACTCCGTGGCCCGTTTCGATCTTGGGGGACTTGCCGTGTTGCCTTATAACAAGTTTTCTGGCCTGGCTGGCTGGTCTGGTCTGGTCTCTTGCATAACTGGTCGCTGGGCTGCCGATGCCAATGACGATCCGATGATGCTGCCTTCTTCGGCTGCAATTTGGCGGCATCTTCGCGAAAAGGTTCGCAGAAATATTTTCCCGCGTTTTTTTCGGTTGATTGTCTTGTTGCCACAGAGTTTCCCATATCATAAACCAGGCTGACTCATCAATTGATTTCCATTGCTTCCATTGCAGCATCCCGTCAGCCGTTCTTCTAGTCCTGGCTGTAGCCACTGGCTTGTGGGCCAACTGCGTAGAGGGAGCAGCCACTGGAGCACCTTCGGCCACGGCCACAACAGCCAAGCCCAAGGGTTTCGAGGCACGATCGCTGGACGTTAGTTCCAGCGGAGGCGAGGAGGAGCTGGATGATTTCGAGACACAGGCTCAGACTCATCTGGCCTATCGCCAGCAGCCCCAACAGCAACGCCAACTCTATGAGTACAGCGAGGAGGATCAGGAGGAGGCACCACGCCAGGTATACGCCAATCGAAATGCCAAGCAGCAGAGCAATTTCCTTAAGATCCAGGGACAGCTGAAGAAGCCCCTTAGCGAAGAGAGCGAAGAGGAGGAGGAGGAAGTGGAGGAGCCAGATCGTCTGTCCACCCTACTGAGCAAGTCATCCTTCAGCTGCACAGACAGGAACTCTGGGTGGGTACACATATCATGATCTCTAAATACATTTCCTTAACTATAACATTTGCCTACAGCTACTATGCCGACGAATCGCTGAGTTGCGAAGTCTTCCACTACTGTCAGGAGAGCCAGAAGCACTCGTGGATCTGTCCCGAGGGATTCACCTTCCACCAGATCCATCTGATCTGCATGCCACCCTCGCACGACAACATCTGCAAGCAGTCCTCCAAGTATCATATAGTGAATGACTACCTCTACAAGCCGATCAATCTCCAGGAGCACCAGAGCAAGCCCAATGTCACGCTGCGCTACTCGGAACGCTACTTCCCAGAGAACTATTACGAACACGAGCGTTACGATGACGAGGAAGAGGAGCTGCCTGCTGCGCCAAGGCCACGCATCCAGCAGCAACATCACCAGCAGCAACACCACCAGCAGCAACAACCGCAACCCCAGCAGCAACATCGCCAAGTGGTGGCTTACCAGCAACCACAGCAACAGCCCCAAGTCAGGGTACAGTACCAACAGCCTCAGCAGCACCAGCAACAGGCTCAGCCACAGCCACAAGTGGTGACGCAGATCCGCCACCAGCCCCAACCTCAGCCGACTACCCTGGCCTACCGGAAGCCATTGCCCGCGACCACAGTCCAGCCGCAGTTGCAGTTGCATCAGTTGCACCAGCCCCAGTTGCAACTGCACCAGCAAAGGCCACAGACGCTGGCGCCAACCGTGACGCCGGCGCCGTACCGTTTCTACACTGCCGCTCCCCAGCTGCAGCATTTGCAGCAGCAGCAACAGCAAGTCTTCCGCACGCCCGAGGAGATCAACATATCGCTGCAACAACGCCGGCCACAGGTGTTCATTGCCACAACGCCGAGGTATTATGAGGATGAGTACCTCTACGAACGGAGGAAGTGAGGAGGATTGCGGAGGAGTGAGCAGAAAACAGTCTTGTCGTTCCCTCGAATCCACCACCTCTCGTGTATATTCCCCAATCTAAGTAGCTTTAAGCTCTCGCCCCAGCTCTCTGTCAAGCCCGAAAATCCTTGCGCGAGTTTTGTGTACCTATTTGTAATATTTAATGTCCTGCTAGAAGAATCCGCCTTCTAACTCAATTCGTTAATAAAGGAAGCCACATTAAGTTAGCCGCTCACTGTATGTCTATCTCCATGAACTGATCCGCGTTGGATAGATGCACTGCCTGGCTGTGAGTGCCCTCCTCCACCACGTAGTTCGGTCCAATGATGCAGTTTTTCAGGACGGATCCACTCTTCACCTGTGCCCGATGGCCGATGATGCAATTGTCGATGTTGCAACCCTCTTCCACAACGGCGTTGGACATTATGAGTGAGTTAGCCACAATATTTTTGGGATTAATGATGCAGTTGGGTCCAAAAACGCTAAAGTTCAGTGAGGTCTTTTCGGACAACTTGGCATTGTCGGCAGCTATAATCTCCTTCGTTTGGGTCGATTTCACCAGTGCTCCCGGGGAGATTAGTGGATGGTTGTCCCCACACAGATCGTTCCAGATGCTGGCTAACTTACGATTGATGGCCAAGAAGCTAAGAGTGTTGTTTACCCGCACTCCAATCGCCTCCTTGGGCGCTTGGATGCCGTAGCAGCGCAACAGGTCTCCATGATAGGGGGCTTGGGACAGAGATTGGTTAAAGAGAGAGGTCTGCGTGATCTTCTGGTCCAGAATGGTGTGCCCCACATACTAAAAATTAATACATTAGACGATTTATTACGGTTTACGGATGGCTATGCCTACTCACATGCAGAACGTTGTCCTCATTCTTGGTGACCACACCCACTTCGGAGGTAGTATCCTGCACCGTTTTGAGCGGTCGTTTGGAGTGTTGCTTCTTGATTAAATGCGGCAGAAACTCGCCCTTAAAAGTAGAAATGTTCTCCTTCTGCAATGGTACAATGTAAGAGAGAAAGTTAACTTAAAGCAGCACCTTTACTTGCCCTACGAAGGTAGTCGATGACCCACTTTTTCAGCACATAGACATGGGCATCCACCAGGCGGCTGTACACATCTAATCTGCCTCGGTTCTTCAGCAAATGTCGTTGAATATTGAGGGTTTCCTCGCAATCACTAGCGGCGGAGACGAAGGCCAATCTCTGAGTGGCTGCATGGATGCCAATCACATCCCTTTCGGGCTTGTGTTTGCTCTTGGGACCCGGCATCACCACATCCGACTCAAATCCACTGGGAAAGAGGAGCAACGCCAGTGTGGCATCATGCTCCCTGAATTTGTTAATCAGCGGATACAGACTGACATTGCTGACCAAGTCGCAGCTGACCACCAAAAAGTCCGACTTTATTTTATCAGATATGTAGCGCAGACTGTCCGCAGTTCCAAAGTCACTGTCATTGGGAATCGTGGCGTAGTCTATTTTCAGCTTTAGAGGGGTGTTTTCCAGAGCCGATTGAATTTCCAGCTTTTCCTGCTCTAAAACTACCACAATAACCTCTAGAGAGGGCAATACTCGCCATTAATATCAGGATTTAACTTTCAACTTTCTGAATTACCTGAAAAGTTGTGTTGTTGCAGCAGATTTAGAGAATACCAGATCAGAGGATATGGGCCCACCGGTAGCAGGCATTTGGGAGCATCGCCCAAGACTTCGGGCAGCCTAGTGCCACGCCCTGCCGCAAAAACTACAGCTTGGAACTCTGAATTGGTCATTGTGACACAGAAAATTCAATTAAAAATAAATTTCGGCCAAAAAGCGTGCAAATACAAAAAAGCCACGCAAACAGCTGATCAGAATGCAAGAGCAACACATGAGCGCGTTGCCCAACACTGTTTCCAATCAGACATATGTTTGCTGTCATGTGACTGTGTCATTGTTTTTGTTGTATTTGCTATTGTATAAAACAAGTCAGATGACCCTTTTTGCATTGAAAATTCCCTATAATTTACTGATAAATTACACAGGATGCTTTTCGTATGAAACAACAAGACTTTAATGCATGATTTGCGCAGCTTACACTACACTACAAAAATGGAATACATACTTTTTCTGCTTATTGGAATAGTCTACACACTTTTGCTACAATAGGTACAATTAAGTTTTGTGGCTTGCCCTTTGCGAATTACAATATATGGAAACGGTTACTGAACAGAAATAGTTTAACAATAATATTGCTGGAATATACACATCCAAGATAATACTTAGAACAGAACGTCATCATCGCCCTCATCCAGTATATTTGCCTGCTGGCGGACATCAATTCCCTGTTGTAACAACTCCGCCTTCTTAGCATCGGCCTTGATCCTAGCCTCGCGTTTCTTGTCCTGGATCTTCTTCAGTCGGTAGAATTCCTCACGCTCCAGCTCGTCCAGTTCGGAGATGATGTAGGCCAGGGTCCTATCGATACGGGGGATGATCACATGCTCGATGGCGTTCACACGACGGTTTGTGATCTTGATCACCTCATCCAGGGTGACGAACGAGGTCTGTAGAGAGGCCAGCTCTACGAGCAGTTTAACGGCGATCTGGTAGTTCTTCTTCAACTTAGCCAGCTGCTGACCACCACGGGCCAATCCGGCCAGTTCGTAGGTATCGGATCCATCCTGGTAGGACTCGAATACGGGCAGAGTAACACCAGCCACGTTGTCCTTCTTGGTGCGGATCTTGATCTGGGCCTTGGTGACATTCTGGAGCACCACTTGGTTGATGTCGCCAGACGTGAACTTGGCCTCCGCCAGCGAGAAGGCAGCCTCTTTCATAACATCACCCATCAGGGTCTTGGTCTCGATGATTTTGCCGAGAATCATACGGAATCGCATTTGGAGGGCATCCGCCTTCTTTTTCAGGAGACCATGACCTTTTTGGGCTCCAGCCAGACGGGCCTTCATCAACATCTGAGCACCACGGGACGGGAAAATCGGTAGCCTATCTTTTCCGGACATTTTGCTGCTTCTTTCGGGCGGTAATTGGCTGGATTAAACTATTTTCAACTGCGTATCAGAAAAACTGCAACCGTCGCAGAACACTGAAAAACTCCAACTGGAAAATGACGGACGGCAGTGTTGGTTACTGCCAGCAGGCAATCGATAACGTTAGTGCTTAGAATGAAGGTAGAATGTAGTGTTGTTAAATACCATAGCACAGCTGATTTTGCACTTAAAAGTAAACAAGCTGAACGATTCTTTTTGTTTTTTTTTCGGTTTATGATGCTGCTGCAACGTGTATGGTTGCCACAAATAAACAACCATCTCCGGCAATACGCAAAAAAGAGTAGGGTGCATTTTAAGCCAATCATGGCGGTGAACAGACGCATGGTCCACCAAGAAATACTGCATTATGTAAATCCTTTTGCTAGGATCAACGTTAAGTCTGATGTTTTCGTGCGGATCCAACCGGCGGATGTGCATAAGTACACCAGCGGAGATGTGTTTATAGCCCAATTAATTGGTGGTCAAGTAAAAAACTGCAATGTATCGCTAGATGTAAAAATAACCGATGAAGACAAGGTGGTCAATGTGGTGGTAAAGAAACTGACAGAGCAAACCTCGCAATTCGAGTGCAATCTGCAAATTCCTGTGCGATCAGATGTTGCCGTGGATGCCAAAGGAAACGTTCGGGTGGAAGGAGTCCAGAGTGAACTCTTGCAGGTCAAGGCAGACGGAGGCATCCTCACCAAGAATATTAAAGCCACTAATATAAGCCTGTTTAGCGAAAACGGTCAAATCATTTGCCAGGGAACGCTGCTGGGGAAGATCACCGAAATAGAAACACACAATGGGGTAAGATAATGGTTGCCATATAGTTTAAGCTTTCATAAACTTATAAATCCCCTCCGCAGAGCATTTCATTGGACAAATTACAAGGAGATAGCCTGAATTGCTCCACCAAGGCTGGCAGTATTGAAACAGACTGTTGCTATGTAGAAAACTCCAAATTCCAGACGCAAACTGGACGCCTGGAACTTAAGAATGTCCACAAAAGCAGCCAAGTTCATATCCACCAATCAGCAGATCTAAATATGAGTAAGTCTATTTCAGAAATCTCATATACTATATGTTATAATATAATCATTATCTTATTCCAGCTGGTGTACATGGAAACCTGCAAGTAATGACCAAAGGGGGCAGCTTAAATGTCCAACTATCAGAGCTTGTGGGTCACAATAAAATCGATGCCCACAACCTAGACGAAGAGGCTTTAATTCATATATCACAAGCCATTGAGCAGGACCTCCACATAGAGATAACAGCCTCTGAAGTTAAATTGGAGACCGGACTAGAACATGTAGCCCATGCTCTCAACGTGGACAAAAACAAATTCCTGCTAAGCAATTCTAACACAAATCTCCTACAAGTCAGCAGCACTGGCGCCAAAGGCGTCCGCCTTGGAAAACAATCCTGGAGCGATATGATGAGAGCAAAACTAAATGTCATTGGAACCGAACTACCATAGTTAAAGACAGGCTCTTACTAAGTTACGAATATATTGAGCTGCAAGCTACAATCTCAGTCATTTTTGTCTTTCCTTTAATGGAGGTATATTCCTTAGGCTTGGCCCGACTCCTTATCCACATTATCGCTCAGGCATTCGAGGGCCTTTGAGAAGATTGCATCTTCTTCAGCTTTTAGCGCAGACACAAAAAGCTGTACCTTTTCATCGCCAATCTCTTGGAGATCCGTGTTCTCCGCCTTTATGACCATGTAGGCTAGCAAGCGCTGCAACTTGAAGGCATTCTCCACATACTGCTCCTTGGGAGCATCTTCCTCTTCTTCCTCATCCTCTTCAAAATCGTTGGCATCTGGATCACTTCCGGTGTAATTATCAATGTGCTGCTTTAATCTGTACCATAACTCAAGAAGATTTGAGAATGCTTCCTTGTTATAAAAGTACTTCAGTCGCTGTAATAAGAAGTATTTAGTAACAATTACGATTCATTAGTGATCCAACTTACACTCCAAATGTGCGCCAGATCCTCTAGATACTCCTCCTGTCGTTCTCCCAATGGAATGAGTTGCAGCGGCTGTTGCAGGAATTGCAGTATCCGTGCAAGGCAACTGACTATGCTGGGTGCGTAAACATCCATAGAGGCCTGCGCCTCTGGCAGCTGGACCAGGATGGTGCATATGTTGAGGTAGGTTTGTATGATCTCCACATCACAGGTTATTTTCGGGCCGCACGAGTCGTAACCAACGTCGGCATCTTCATCACTGTCCTGGGCGGCGGCTGGTACTTCTGCTTCACCGTTCTCCTCACCAGCTTCCTCGTCGGCTAGTTTGGCCTGATCATCGCGCATGAGTCGCAGGAAAGCGCTATTGACGCCATCGCATAGCTCTGGTACAAGAAATACCTCTGCAAAGGGCTTCAAATTCAAAGTTGACTTCGCATTCTCCTCCTCTACCAAGGCGCAACTGGCCAGCACAGCATTTGTGGCTTTAAGAGCAGCTACAAGCAGTTCATCACTCACTGATTGTTGAAGAATCCTGCCAAGATTTTGAGCTGAGTTTTCAAAGGCTGCAAAGCAGATGTACCAGTCAACAGCGAACTGTTCCTTGCCACTTAGCACATGGGCCATGATGTACTGAAAGAGTCGCATCAGCTGGATCAACATGGCGGTGTCCATGCAGTTGGTCAGTTTGAAGAGGGTTTCCATCGTGCTGTGACTGCAGGTAAGTAGCTCGGCACACTCCACCTGGGCGCACATATTGCCAAGCAAGCCGATGAGAATCTCATACAGACGGACATCCTCACAGCCCGCAATCAAGGAGAACATGATCGGATCTATGGCCTCGTTCTCCAGGAGCAGGGTGACGACTTCAGGGGACACCGACATATCCCACACTTTGCAGAGATCGTCCTCCAGCTGCTGTTCTAATGGTGAATCTGGCTGCAGTTCTACTAGCTTCATAACCGTTTGCAGGATGAACCGACTGCTGTACATGGTGTTCCCGACTGCATCACCCCGCATCCGCTCCAGCAGTTCTGCCTCCTCTGCGTCTTCCTGGGCGGGTGGGGGCGTGGTCGAAGCGCTACTTGCGCTGGCTGAGACGCTGGCAGAGGCGGATGCGTCGCTTTCCTTGTGGGTTGCATTTTCCGCGGGAGGCACATCGCTTTCCTTGGTGGCCACTGCAGCGCCACTCGCCGACGGCTCCGCATCTTCCTTGGGCATTTCTATCTAGATCTCGATCTGGGCTAACTGGTCAACGGCTTTCTTTGATAGAACGCGCAATGGCGGCGGACGATAATCAATATTTTTTAGACAAGTTTTTTTTTTAATCTTTTTTTTAGACGCGGTCAGTGGGACTGTAGATTTTTCATTAATATATCATAAAGCTTACCGAAAGTTTGCGGTAGAGATGGCATTTCTTAGACGCTATTACCTGGTCATACTTTTTAGTATTTTGGTAGAATATAAGTTTTCCGCATTTTTCTTTTGATGCATTAAATTTTCCTACGGCATAAAGTGAGTAAATGTGAAGTACGACAGTTTATAGTAGTTAATTAATTAAGTTTTTGTTTGGTTAAAGTAATTAAAATTCTTTGACCAAGGTAAAAAACGAATTCGTTGTATTCGGGTGCTTATCCACTTAAAATCCAATACAATCCACAATAAACTGTTACATATTGGCGCCAAAATTGTATTGTAATATTTAAGATTTGTTATCCAAATATATTTTTTACCATAATTTCTTATTAATAACTGACTTAGATATAATGCTAACAATGAGATGTAATCACAGTTTATGAGGTTTTTGGTTTTCCCTTGAGCAGCAAACTGGACAGATTGCTGTAGGGCAGCTCAAAAGCCAGAGAAAAGGCGATGGAGGCAAGATAGACGATCACCGTAAATCCGCAACAGACGACGCTCTAAAAGTTAAAAATGAAAAAAAAGTTTTTTAAGTTTAATATGAAGAGTGAGAAACACAATTTGATTACTTACTAGCAGAAAAGGATCAACTGCAGAACTCGTGCTGGTCAAACTGTAAACGAGGGCAATCACCAGGGGATTCAATAGATATATGGCATAGGACAGGCGATTGAGATGCTGAAAGAACTTGGCCTCCAGCAGTCGTGACCACCAAACGCCACTTCCGGATGCACTGCCCACGATCATCCAGCAAACAGTAAGGGCAAACAAACCCCGTCCCAGAACAAACAGTGATATGGTGATCAGATGGCCCAGGTCCCGCTTTACCGTGGAGTAAATGCAGCCCACGAATACCTGGATACTTAAATGCCACAGCCGGCGAGTCCGTCGTTCACTCATCTCTAACTGGAATTGTTTCTCCTGGAAACACCAAGCGGCTATCGCTCCCACAATATAAGGTAGAACCCTCACAAAAGGACTCGTGTATATCAGGGTGCCAGTAGCATAGGTGGAATCGAAGGAGAACTCAAAATTGTTGGTGATTCCAATGCCGTAGGACCAGATTATTGTGGCCATGAGTCCAGAAAGTGTAAGTGCTTTGGCCAATTTCGGATGCCTAGACGGAAACGTAATGGAATTTGATTTTATCACTATCCGTATATTTTAAATCCGTACTTACTTGGCGTAAATAAAGAGTACAATGTTTGCCAGCAAGAAGAACTGCATGTCACATGCCAGACTCCAACTCCAATTGGCACACATCTCCCGGTGATCGAAAAGGTTCTGGATGAAGAGCAGGTTTCTCCACCAGTACTGTGGACACAGCTCGTCAAATCTCTCGTTAATATGGAAGACCGAAACGTCTCCTATGTAGGCAAAGGCCAAGTCAACGCTACCCATCACCACCAAGTAGAGTGGACCTAATCTCAGGTATCGGTGGAACAGCAGCTTTCCAAAAAGCTTCATATTGCCCCACAGGCCATTGCGACGCACTTCCTTCATTTGATTGACATTTCTGAGGAAGTTGTAGGTTTGCAAAAAGCCACTAGAAACAAAAAAGGATTAACTTATAAATGGTTTATATTTTTAGGTTATTAGACAGAACCTGATGGTGAAGAATACATCAACCAGAAGAGGGGCCGTAGAAACATACTGGAAGAAGACCTTCTCCGCATAAGACAGCAGCACTGTTTTGTTATGCACTGTAAAGTACATGTACCACACCACATGGAAGATAAGGATCCAGATGGCGCAAACAGATCTTAGTCCATTCATGATTGGGATTTCCCCTGGCTGGTTATCCCTCGTGGCGGAGATTTTTTTCCAATTATTCGTCACATCAAAGCAGGATACAAATTTCTTAAGTGGCTCCCTTTTCAACAGGGACTCCAGTGCGTGCCAGAGCTCCGATTCCACAGGAGCTAAACCCTCATCTGGTTCACCGTCCGTCTTGGCCACCCGCAGTTGCTGGGCACAGAGCATAAGAGCTCCTGTTACCAGGATGGCAGCCACTACCAGCCGGAAAGTCAATCGCTGGAAAAAGCGTTCACTCAGCTTCAGATCCTTAATGTAGAGCACTTCCGGTTGCATGTCGAAGATGTCGTCTTCGGCGAATGAACCTTCGGACACATAGTTCCTGGCCAGCTGTTTCACCTCTTCGGAGCCGCAGGAACTGGGTAAGCATAGACCAATGTGAAGGACCTGTTCGGACATCACCTTGATCTCCACCTGCCAAGGTGATTGGTGGCGAAGGTATATCACCCGGTAGTCCATTCCAAAGGGTGCCCTTTGTGTCAGGATGCTGTAGTGCATCACTCGCTCATAGTTCCGAGATAAAGTGATACCAACTGGTCTCTGGACGCCACGACATGCTTCCCGACTTCCCAACCAATAGTTTTGGCCAAAAACGAAACCAGATGGCTTGGTTCCCGACGCATCAAGAACTGGAATTATATAGTTTGCTTAAAACATGCTAAAAGATAAGAAGACCCTTTCTATATCTCTAAAGGCTACTTACCCTTTATGGCCCAAGCTTGCTTACTGAGAATTCCGCGCTGCACCTGTTTGAGATGGGCATGGCATCTGGGATTCACATTGCTCTCATTGGCCACTTTGGTTAATCCAAAGATGACAGAGCTTCGAATGAGATGTGGCTCATGGCTCGTTTGTTCCATAGATCCTTCTTTCCTCTGGATATCTTTTGTAATCACTTCTGTTGCCAACTCTAGGCTGCCATTAAAAAGTCCGTAATCATAGCGATGCCGTCGCAATGTTGACTCATTTACGGCTGCATGCGCCACCAAGGCCAAGATGCAGATGATTAAGACCAATTTCAAGTGCCTTGCCATGCCAATTGACCGCTAACAAAGCGGCAGCTGGAAAAAGTAAGAGGTGTTTAATTGTTTACCCATCAATACCCGAGCACTCTAATGTTGAGAAAAACAGTGACAGAGCCCTCAAGGAGGGAAAAACAAACAGAGTTACATCAACTTCCTACCGGAAAAGCTTTACGACCTGGCAGACCCGTAACTCACATATAGCTAAGATGCATTTGATTGTCCAACAATTGCTGCAATCAGTAATTAGTTAACCACTTCAGATCTTAACTTATTTATTTATTTTCTTTTTTTTTTAAATCTTTTGCTAAAAAGAAACCTTTTTCACTGAAACAAACTTTCACTTTTGACCAATATTTATCAAAACGATGTTGGGAGGTAAAACATGAATAATAAAACTATTTTATTTGTGGTTTTTAAAGAAGCGAATTAATAGAAACCTTTCATCAATTATATCATGATCTTGTTATAAAAAAGTAATTTTTACTATTCTTTTTAAGCGAAAAGGCTTAAGGGACACTAGCCAGGTTTTCAAAAGGGGGAAGTACATCTGCCAGTTAACTGATCGCAGAACATGGAAGTGGCAACTGAAGTGGAAGGTGGAGTTCAATTCAAACATCAATTAGCCGCATCCGAGCGGTAAGTGCGTCTCAATGTCAGGTCCAATGTATCGGATTACTTTGATTCACGAGAAATTCACCAGCAACAGAAGAAAAAAACAGTCACCTGAAGGTTTATGGGCTGCCAAAGGCAAAAATCAGTCGAACTTGTCACACGCGTTGATTCATTCGATTTCAAGTACCAACTATTGACGCCCCAAGTTCAGTGTTATTACCTTTTATATATACCTCATGTACGAATATATATCTGCAAAATTGACAGAGGTCAACGACTAGAGTGCGTGTGCCTGGTAAATGTTTTTGACTATCCCAAAGGCAGACCAAATTTGGCAAGGGTTTTAGGATTGGAAACGTTTTGGGGCACGTGTTTTAGAATTTACATATATAAATCATCATGAAAGCCAACGAATTATTGTTTGCCCAAAAACACTCATCTTAAACGATGTTTGCTTAGGCTGATTGAGGTAGAAATTCGAGAATGAATCCCCCGGGCATTTGGCCAATTTGGCGCAGGCGTGGGCTAAAAACCGAATAATATTATTATAGCCAAATGTTTTCTTTGCTCTCGAAGACGTCGCCAAGACTCGCCAAGTTGTAAGCCACCGATAGCGAGTTTGCATTTTATGGCACCTAATGGCTTTTGGATGAAACCGTTTCAAGGGTAAATCGTAAATCGCATCTATTTCTGTTGTTGGGTTTTTGGCTATGCAAATGAACCTTCACCTTAACTTTGCCAGTCTATCGGATCCCGATCGCCCAGTTTTTTGGACAAACGATGGTTTTGTAACTAATATTCGCGAAAACTGGCTCTGATTTTGCCATGTATGTTGGCTTGCGTGTGTGCTTAAATAGTTTCTTTAGTTATTAATGGTAGTGCCTTACGGAAGATGGTGATTTATTTGTTGCTCCTTTTTATGTTGCCGTTTTTGAATCGCGATTAGGGGTCAAGGCATAGGAAACTGGCTGTCAAAGAGGACAAAAAGTCCCGGATCTACGGATCTAATTTAAATTCAAGCAAATAAAATTGACCTACTTTCAGTTGAGACCCAAATTCAAGTATCCAATCAATATAGAACTGTCCTTCGCATTCGTTTTTTTGTTTTATAACAATTTTGTTTATTATTTTTTCGGCTTGTTTATTTTCTTTTGTAATGTTTGAAATCGAAACCACGAACTTTATTTATTTTTATTGATAATTTTTAAGCGCGACACTCGCAGCTTCGCGTCTTTCCGTGAAACTGTGACCCTTTGCTGCGATCCAAACCTTTATAAACTCCGTAAGCCCACGTGAACAGGTATCAAGCGGGTATTTAAAAAACAAAATACAAAAAACGAGCGATGAAAGCGAAACTGCTTTTCGCGTTGTTTATTTTTGGGGGAATCTGGACGGCCTGCATTTGCGATCGGCTCTTTTATACGTCACAAAGCCGGGCTTTAAAGTGCCGGTCTTCACGTTCTCGTTTTTCACACCGATCGATCGATCGATTGCGTTCATTGACACCGCGATGATAAGGGGGCGTTCCCCAGAATTGGGATCGCCAAGGAGCGGCATTACATCGAATTCCCTTAAAGCAGTCAGGACTTAATATACAGGACTATTACAGGTTTTAACAATTTTTAGGACATTTTTTTATTGAGTTCAATATTTTTATTATATGTTATCATATCAATTATGTATACCTGTTTAGGTTTAACCTAAAAATAAAACTGGATATTCCGTAATAAAGCTATCTGATTGAAGGATTGTCTTATCTATGCAATCTGCACTGTACCTATAAAGAGAAGTACTAAACAGGAAGTACCAATTGAAGTACCATTGCAGAAGGAATTGCATGTTTTATTACCAACAGGGTCAACATAAATTACAGGAAGATGTAACTAATTTGCCAGGAAAATTTATAACAGGAATTAAGAGTAAAAATCCATCGCTGCCATGATCTTTTTTTGTGAAATACCCTGTTATTTATTTTACTACTTTTTTAGTTTCACGTAGATTTTAAAAAATTCACTAAAATTTACGCTTTTTTTTTATAAATTTTATCGAAAAATTGCAAAAATGTACATTTTGTAGTGTTAAAGTCAGTTGACTAGAAATTTAATTAGGTAGGGTATATGTACCTCTCACATCTTTCAATTTTAATATCATCTGCGCCATCTACATGTCGAGTTGGGATGTATAATGGCGTGATCTAGTATTTATAAAAGTATTTTTGGTATATTAAGAAATCATTATTTTTACGATAGGGCGTTTACGGTCACTTTGACACCAATCACTTGTTATCCATCACTAGTAAAAATTGCAATCGATATCAGGAGATGCCATTCGCTCGCCTATCGTGAATCGTGAAAAACGAAAACGCGAAAAATGAAAACGCAATACAGAAAAGCAAAATTGAAGTGATACTAAGTGCAACAACGACGGAGCAAAAGGTGCTTTGAACGAAATATATAATAAACAAGAAATCTCCCGGTTGTGCAACCAAAAAAAGTTAAGCCCCAATTGTGAAGCTCCACCGAAAGCAAAAAAGAGAGCCATAAAAATCGATTCTTCAAAGAAGTCGCACACTGCGTTCGAGACTTTTTTTGCGCGGGCGGTGGAGCCTGGCGTTACTTTTCGCCAACTTTTTGGGGAGTCCTCGAAAAGTCTAGATATTGTGAGGGGCATTAGAGGGTTAAATGAGGTACCTGTGCAGAGTGCATACCTGCTGGTCTGTGTGTGTGTGCGTGTGAGTGAGTGAGCAAGTGCGAAAAAGTACCTTTATTCATTTTTATGTATGTATGTACATATTTTTATTTATTTGCCCTAAAAATCGGACAGGACACTCGAATCATATTCTTAATTAGCTAATTTCCAGCAAATATTTGAGTGTGTCTCGCGTAAATAACGGAATGCCAGCACATGACAATGAAACTAGTATGTGTGTGTGTGTTTGTGTGTAGTAACAACAAAGCAAAAAAGCAAAAGCAAAACAAAGTGAATGACAAACGGCGAGAATGAAATGGAAAAGCACCCCCTTGCCCAGTTACCCGCCCCAACCCACCATTTACTATTTAGAATTGCGCCTGTGTGCGTGGCGCTAATTGAACTCACACAATATATATAATTTATTTTTTTTGGCGCTCCACAAAAGGCCATATATTTGTGAGTCAACTTACGACTTCCACCTGCCTTCCAGATTGCGTGCACACAACTCCCGCGAGGACGACAACTAAACAACTAACGATAATAAAAAGTAGTAACGCAGCAGAAGGAGAAGGAGCTAACCACACCCCCGTCGCCCCCCCGCCGCGAGTGGTGCCCGAATAACGCCCCGCCCACCCGCATCTCCACTCCAGTCCATCAGAAAAGAAAATAATATAAAAAAGTTATTAACAGCCGAAGCATCCACATCCGCGATGTCAAGTGATAAGATCAAAGTCGCCGTAAGGGTGCGACCCTTCAATCGACGCGGTAAGTACAGATTTCCATGCCGCAGATAATCCCCTGCACTGCGAAAAAACCCGAAATTAAAAGATTTAGAAGACATACCGAGTACTTAAGTTTAGTTTCCTAAACATGGTTTTTTTTTTTACTGAATGTCCTTATCATCAGAGAAGTCGAGTGAATGTATTATTACTAAAGTTTTATTTTAGAATAATAGAAATCGGAGACAATATATATGTATAAATATATATATATATTATATAGTTTTCATATCGCTTAAATACTTAAAATTCCATTCCATTCTCCTTTTTTCCGTTGATATAGAAAAGTGAATATTTAATTTTGCTTTTGTTATAATTAGTATATTATATATTTAGTCTTTGTTTATTATTCACTATTTTATTTATTCCGTTTTATTATTTTTACTACAATTTATGATAGAACCTCTTAAGAGATAACTAGATATCATGATAATATCATTCCACAAACACTCCATTTATTTACTAGCTGACGATCCTATATTTCACAAGGAGTTGCCTTGAGTTTTCCTTGCATTTTCCGACATTGTTTCCAAACAATGCCCGGGCACTGCAGTTGCCTGCAATCAATAATGCAAACCAACCAGCCAAGAGACTGTTTTTTTAGGCTAACGAAATTTACATGGGCTTCTTCGCTTCCTTTGAAATACGGTTTCGTTTTTCCACTGCTGCGCCAGCGGATTTTTTGCTGGATTTATATGTGGATATGTGTGTGTGTGGATATAGTATATACATACCTACTGCAGCGACTACCTACGGGATGGTCCCTGGTCGTCTGACAAACGGTTTTCGTTTCCAGCTAATTTCGCCACTTTCCACGTTTCCCACTGCAACCATGAAGTGTTGCAAGTGCAAAAACAAAACAAAACAAAAAACCAAAATGAAACAAGCAACAGCGATGTCAGCGTTTCCAATGTCAACACTGATCATTCATTTGGCTTATCCATGACTCACATTCGCGGCGGAAACGAAGGATGGCAGCGGCGGAAAAAGGGGCTATGCCACACAGCCATATGCCATAGATATACCTATAAATATATATATATACTTTATGCCTGTGCGTGGGGCAAGGTCCATTTGGATTCCCGCTTTATTGATTGAATGGCAAACGTTGTTCAATCTTTGTACGTTTGTTTATATTTGCATAATTTTATTGCAAATTGCGATTTAGGGTTATATTTATTCGCGAAGTAGCATTCAACTTTGTAACTACATATATTGTATCTTAATTAAAATGAGTCATATCTTCAACTTGTGCCACAAACACATTGTAGGGTTAAATAAATATTCGATTTATATGGGGCACACATTGCTTCGATTATCGCTTTATTGATCAGTGCACTTTTGTTTTTATTTACAAAAATTATATAAACAGTTTCATTTACAGTCATACTCCTATAAGCTAAACTAGTATTCTTAATTACCAGTTAGAATAAATAATAACTAGAAAGAAAAGTTGAACTATTTATTTTTAATCTGCAGTTAAAAGTGATTAAAGGAAATGGCATTGCCGTATCAACCAAGTAAACGAGTTTAAATTCGAAAATGTTATCTTTCCATTAAACATTTAAGAGAATTTTCACTACTGTTACTGTTTGTTAAAATAATTAATTGTTTTAGTAAAAGCTTCTAGTGACTTATTTATTAGCAAACAAAAAACAACTCCTAGTTTATCCATCATAATTTGTCACTTCCAATAAGGCGAACCCGGGAACTTAGTAACCGCGTTTATTTTTAGATGTTTGACTGTATTTCAATGTTGTATGTTGTCATGTTACTAGCTTGTTTGTTTTGGCCTGATCCGCTGGCAGTTTTTGTGACTGAAGGGAGCAGTAGTAGGAGTCACCAGAACGTCTGCGATAAGCAGCGCAGAAATGTTATCACGCCTGATAAAGGCTTTTATTTTGCGATACTAAGTATGTGTGTGTATGTTACACATGAAGTGTCTGGCATTAGTCAATCGTGGGCAACTTATTTGGGCCATGTCCGTAACTAGTGACCTCTCCGTGTGGAGAGCTGTGACCAGCAGAGCGTAAAATGAAAACAGAAAAGTCAATTTCAAACGCAAAGACACTTCAAACACACAGCAAAGTAAAGTCAGTCGAAAAACAAGCTCGAAAAATGAAGTCACAGCTCTGACCAGAGCAAAGTTACTTTACTTCTTACCAAAAAAAAAAGCTTAACCTGTTTTCACTATGCCAGTGTATAGTGTATGTATGTTAATTTCAACGTTGGACAATAGCGAAGAGAAAACCGTTTGAGGTTATACAAAGTCGCTATCAAATCAACTGACCAGAACTACAAATGAGACCATCAAATAATTTATGGCACGCCTTCGTCACATTTGAGCCGTTGGCCAAGACATGTAACCAGCCGGTATATATAGGGTCAGGTCTACTCTGGTCCTGTTCTGAGTCCTTTGCGGCTTTCATTTCCATGTCATGTCACGTTCTCGGCTGTGTAACATAAAGCGGAACGGAAGTTCCAAAGGCCAGGCAACACATCAGGATACGACTGTATATATTACATATATACTGATTCGTGTGTGTGGGCCCAAATGTGTCTGCCCGTCTGGGTTTGGCTTTGACGTTGCTGTTTCCCTTTCCTCATCATGTTTTCTGTGCTATATAGATGTATTATGCCTTTGCCATTTCGCTGTTCGCCGTTCTCTGCCATTTGGATCCGTTTCGTTCCGTTCGGAGTGAATGAAGTATGCGAAGGACACGGGGAGGCATCGGAACTGAAATATTTCCACGATTTATTAGCTGGCACTTTTTCCCTTTTCTTTTTTTTTATTCTTAAACCAGCCAGAATGAATGGAATAATCAGCCTGATAAGGTCACCTCTTTGGCCTGGCCGTATTTAATGCATCATTTAGGGAATGCAAAACTAGATAAAAGTAAAAATAAACACAACATATCAATTTGGATTAATGTCAGTTATTGAGTTATATATGACAAATTATAAAAGTAATTTCTGCTAGTAGTAGCCTCTTTCAGTATATTAGAAAGTGCTGTCCACACAAATTGAAAATTAATGATATCCGATAGCTAATCAAATCCTTATCAACAAGTCTCATATAAATCTCTACTTGATAATATCAAGGGCAACTGAAATTCGCTTTGAAGACAATCTAATCGCTCATTGTATTGTTGCTGCTGCAATATTTATTACACGGATGGAAGAAGATTGGGCAACTCGAGTTTTCTGGCTTTTTACGTTTGTTTACAATTTATTTGAAAGGTTCTCTCCATTGAGATTATGGTGGCATTGGCATTCTATACCCAACATGCACATTTATCGCCTCTCCTCGCTCTCTACGAATCCATTTTCGCACATATGTATGAAAAATACACAACACCCAAGCTTTTGAGTGCTATGTGTAGGGTGTAGTAAGAGTATAAAATTAAATTGTTTTTGCCACTTTGAACTCGTTATCACCCCAAGCGCGGAATAAAGGCGAAATTATCTCAATTTCACACATAACATATAAATATATATTCCGGAACAGCAGAGGTCTAAAAAAGTGATTTTGGTTTTACTTACAGAAATCGAATTGGGTACAAAATGTATCGTGGAAATGGAGAAACAGCAGACCATACTGCAGAACCCGCCACCACTGGAAAAAATAGAAAGGTAAAAAAGCTATAAAATTCTATAATTACAATGCATTATTTAATCAGCCGACTGTCTGTTGCACAACCTATTAAAATACACAGTAGTTTATAGCCTTACATGTAATACCTTTGTAATACCAAACTGATTGCTTAATACCCTTTTTAACCTTCGTTTTGAACAGAAAACAACCAAAGACATTTGCATTCGATCACTGCTTTTACTCATTGAATCCCGAGGACGACAACTTCGCGTCCCAGGAGACAGTATTCGATTGCGTGGGACGTGGAATTCTGGATAATGCATTCCAAGGCTATAATGCGTGTATATTCGCTTATGGCCAGACAGGTAAGATCCATCATGAATGATTCACCATATTCACGAGCTTAATTTATCATTTATAAACTTCTTTAGGCTCTGGCAAGTCCTACACGATGATGGGCTCACAGGAGAGTAAGGGCATTATTCCACGACTGTGTGACCAGCTCTTCTCGGCCATAGCCAACAAATCCACACCCGAACTGATGTACAAAGTGGAGGTGTCCTACATGGAGATTTACAACGAGAAGGTCCACGATCTGCTCGATCCAAAGCCGAACAAACAGTCGCTTAAAGTGCGCGAGCACAATGTCATGGGTCCCTATGTGGATGGACTGTCGCAGCTGGCCGTGACATCCTACCAGGACATTGACAACCTCATGACAGAGGGTAACAAATCGCGTACCGTGGCCGCCACCAACATGAACGCCGAGTCGTCACGCTCCCATGCCGTCTTCTCGGTGGTCCTCACTCAGATACTCACGGATCAGGCGACGGGCGTTAGTGGCGAGAAGGTGTCCCGCATGTCCCTGGTGGATTTGGCTGGTTCCGAGCGGGCCGTGAAAACGGGGGCAGTTGGCGATCGTCTTAAGGAAGGCTCCAACATCAACAAGTGGGTGAAAATTAGTCAATAACCTTGGCCCGCATTGGTTTTCAATGGTTATGCAGGTCATTTGTATTGCATTTTGTATTCTGTGATAATTTTAAATGTTGAACAAGTATGGATCTGCATTTCCATTGACCACCAATCTTTTTAAGGTTCTGAGCTAATCTTGCGCCATTTTCAGATCTCTGACCACCCTTGGTCTGGTCATCTCAAAGTTGGCTGATCAATCTAACGGCAAGAAGAGCGGCAACGACAAATTCGTCCCCTACCGTGACTCTGTGCTCACCTGGCTGCTAAAGGACAATCTGGGTGGCAATTCCAGGACCGTGATGGTTGCGACAATTTCGCCCTCAGCGGACAACTACGAGGAGACGCTGTCCACGCTACGTTATGCCGATCGAGCCAAGCGCATTGTGAACCATGCCGTGGTCAACGAAGATCCCAATGCCCGAATCATTCGTGAGCTGCGGCACGAGGTGGAGACGCTTAGGAGTATGCTGAAACATGCCACTGGTTCACCTGTCGGCGATGTCCAAGACAAGCTGGCCGAGAGTGAGAACCTGATGAAGCAGATCTCTCAGACCTGGGAGGAGAAGCTGGTTAAGACAGAACGTATTCAGAACGAACGACAGCAGGCGCTCGAGAAAATGGGCATTAGTGTTCAGGCCAGTGGCATCAAGGTGGAGAAGAACAAGTACTACTTGGTAAATTTGAATGCCGATCCGTCCCTTAACGAGCTGCTGGTCTACTATCTGAAGGTGAGCCGTAATAAAATCTTCAATAAACAAATACATCAATATCATATATTTCTAGGATCGTACGCTGATTGGCGGACGCAGTATCAGTGGCCAGCAGCCAGATATACAACTTTCCGGTCTGGGCATACAGCCCGAGCATTGTGTGATCACCATTGAAGACAGTGGACTATACATGGAGCCAGTGCAGGGAGCGCGTTGCTTTGTTAACGGATCGGCAGCTGTGGAGAAGACGCCGTTGCAGAACGGCGACCGTATCCTTTGGGGCAACCACCACTTCTTCCGCGTCAACTCGCCGAAGAGCAATAATACTAGCATGTGTGCGTCGGAGCCCCAGACGCCGGCGCAACTGATTGATTACAATTTCGCACGCGATGAGATTATGCAGAACGAACTGAGCAACGACCCTATCCAGACGGCCATTGCTCGGCTAGAACGTCAGCACGAAGAAGATAAGCAGGTGGCGCTGGAGAAGCAGCGGCAGGAGTACGAAAGGCAGTTCCAGCAGCTGCGCAATATTCTCTCTCCAAGCACGCCGTATGCTCCCTATGCCCCGTATGATCCACTTCGCATGGGCAAGATTACCCCAAATACTCCCACTTCGCAAATGCGGGTGGAAAAGTGGGCGCAGGTAAGCCGAGACCGCTTAACATCTATCATTCCATCTTCTATATACTTTTAACCTTTCAGGAACGAGATGAGATGTTTAGGCGAAGTTTGGGACAGCTAAAAACAGATATTATGCGTGCAAATTCTCTGGTCCAGGAGGCTAACTTTTTGGCAGAAGAGATGGAGAAGAAGACCAAGTTTTCAGTCACTCTGCAGATACCGCCAGCCAATCTGAGTCCCAACAGGCGGCGCGGGGCCTTCGTCAGCGAACCCGCCATTCTGGTGAAGCGCACAAACTCAGGCAGCCAGATCTGGACAATGGAGAAGCTGGAGAACAAGCTGATAGACATGCGTGAGATGTATCAGGATCACAAGGAGCGCGTACTCAACGGGCTGGTATGTTGATATTAATTTGATCCTTTTTCATCCACCTGTTGCCATTGTGCTGCGTACTAACCATTTATAATTGTATCGATTCACACACGCATTCAATTAACCCCTGACTACAGCCCCTTATAGAGCCATTCTCAGACGACGAGTATGATGACAAGGTAATTAAGACACCACCCCACCACCCCAAAACATGAACACCACACACGTTTAAACTATGATGTAGCCAGTATTGTTTGGGACCCTTTAAGCAAAGCTAATTGATTTCGGACTTTCACAGGACGATGACAGCTCCAAACCGCAGGATCCTTTCTACGAGTCGCAAGAGAATCACAATCTCATTGGCGTGGCCAATATATTCCTGGAGGTTCTCTTTCACGACGTTAAGCTGGATTACCACACCCCCATCATAAGTCAGCAGGGTGAGGTTGCGGGTCGACTGCAAGTGGAGATTGAGAGAATCTCTGGGCAGATGCCACAAGATCGGATGTGCGAGTCGGTCTCAGAGTCCTCCGGTGATTCGCGGGATGAGTACGATGACCCTGTGGATCCAACATCTAACCAAATTACTTGCCGCGTGACCATCAAGTGCGCGAGTGGCCTGCCTTTGTCGCTCTCCAATTTCGTCTTTTGCCAGTACACTTTCTGGGGACATCAAGAGATGGTTGTGCCGGTCATTAATGCCGAGTCAACGGCTCACGACCAGAACATGGTGTTCAAGTTCGAGCATACTCAGAACTTCACGGTCACCATAAATGAAGAATTTTTGGAGCATTGCATCGAGGGAGCTCTGTCCATTGAGGTTTGGGGCCACCGCAGTGCCGGCTTCTCCAAGACAAAGGGCTGGGAAGTGGAACAGCAGCAGGCTAAGGCCCGTTCCCTGGTCGATCGATGGGCGGAACTATCGCGCAAGATCGAGCTTTGGGTAGAGATACACGAGCTTAACGACAACGGCGAATACTCGCCCGTAGAAGTGACAAATCGCAATGAGGTCCTGACAGGAGGCATCTACCAGTTGCGTCAGGGTCAGCAGCGACGGGTGAATGTGCGTGTGAAGCCGGTACAGAACTCTGGAACACTGCCCATCATCTGCCAGTCGATTGTGAACGTTGCCATTGGCAGTGTGACGGTTCGATCTCGGTTGCAGCGACCACTGGACTCGTACCAGGAGGAGGATCTCACCGTGCTGCGAGAGAAGTGGAGCGAAGCGTTAGGAAGAAGACGTCAATACCTTGACCAGCAGATCCAAATGCTTATAAAGAAGGAGGAAAAGAACGAGCAAGAACGAGAACGCGAACTGAGTCTGGTGCATCAGTGGGTTTCGCTCACAGAAGAGCGAAACGCTGTGCTGGTGCCTGCTCCTGGTTCAGGCATACCTGGAGCACCCGCTTCGTGGGAGCCACCATCGGGAATGGAACCCCATGTGCCCGTCCTCTTCCTTAACCTGAACGGCGACGATCTGTCGGCACAGAACACCAACGACGAGCTCTCCGTTGCCGGCATCAATTCCATTCTGTCCAAGGAGCATGGACATAAGTTCTACACCTTGCAAATTCTTCAGCATCTGGATAAGGATGTTTGTTGTGTGGCTAGCTGGGACTCTTCGATGCATGATAGCCAGGCTCTAAACCGAGTCACCGAGGCCAACGAGCGCGTCTATCTCATTCTGCGCACCACAGTGCGCCTGTCGCATCCGGCTCCAATGGATCTTGTGCTGCGCAAGCGTCTGAGCATTAACATTAAGAAGGGACAGACTTTAACTGATCGTCTAAAGAAATTCCGACTTGTGCGGGGCGAGAACGCAATATGGCAAAGTGGGGTCACCTATGAGGTGGTTTCCAACATTCCAAAGGCCTCCGAAGAGCTAGAAGATCGCGAGTCATTGGCGCAATTGGCAGCTAGTGGAGATGATTGCTCGGCAAGTGACGGAGAAACCTACATAGGTGAGACACTGTAGATTAAGATTCTTAGAAACTTACTGACTCTTTAATCCGTCAGAGAAATACACGCGGGGCGTTTCGGCGGTGGAGAGCATATTGACCCTGGATCGCCTGCGGCAGAATGTGGCGGTTAAGGAGCTGGAGACGGCACATGGACAACCGCTGAGCATGCGCAAGACCGTCAGTGTGCCGAACTTTTCACAGGTAAGGACGAGTGCTGATTGGGAACCCCATACCGTTCACCCCATCGAGCTGCTGCTGCTGCTGCGCCTCTTCCACAATTCGTCGCTGCCGCCGCCGCTGCTGCTGAATTATGTGCTTCCACTTACTCACCTAACACACTTGAGCAAAATTAACCAAGAACATCTGACTAAACGCAAATTCTTTCTCTTTTCACACTTTTTTCTATGCGCTTTCACCAAACTAACCCCAAAAAAAAAAACAAAAATTTGTGTTTAACAACCACCGATAAAAATGACAAAAATTAACCAAAATCCGAAATTCGGCGCGCACTTCCTGCAATTTTGAATTTCCCTCTATGTGTGTATGTGTGTGTGCGTATTGGTATTATCCTGTCTTTATGTTTATGCTGTGTACGTGTGTGTGTTGCCCCAAAACGCTTCTCACTGCGCACATAGGCGGTCAAAGACACCACCAATACCGGGAGTGTAAGTAACTAGTATCCACTTTTCTGTTTCCTGTTTCCTGTATTCTGTAATCTATATTCTATACTATGTTTCCTTGTAATCCTGTGCCAAGCACTGTACATTAAGCTTTAGTAGTTGGAGTTTTCTTCAGTTCCCTCTTGACTATTCTACTACTAACTATAACTTAAAAACCGTTTGTGTGCGCCCTTAAGTTCGCCATTTTCGTAAACGTTTGGGTTTTTTTTTAATTTTATGTTCATTATTTTTCGTTTTTAATTCGACCATTTTTATTTCATCCTGTTAAATAACATTTGTTACTTAAAAAAAAAAACGTTCGCATACGAAATTTATGATGCAAGCAACTCATAAATAAACTTACGCAGATTATGCGCTTCGATGCATCGATGGAGTCGCTGCTGAATGTGGGACGATCCGAATCTTTTGCCGATCTCAATAACAGTGCGTTGGGCAACAAGTTTACTCCAGGTGAGCTATTCTTTTAGATATACCATCTGATCCTGTCTAATCCAACGCACTTCCTTCAGCAGGTCACAGCCCAGCAGGAGCAGGAGGTGTCATCCGAAATCGCCACAGCTTTGGCGGCAAGGGTAGCAGCGATGATTCCCCCGGAAAGGCGTTTGGCATTGGTGGGTATTTCGTTGGATTTTACGCTTTCGTACACCAAACATTTTTCTTCTATATAATCACCATTAATATTTGAGCAAAAAATATTGAAACTATAATCCATATAACCGAGTTTTTCAATACACTATATATTTAACTAAGTATTTCTGCATATGCTTATGCGCAGGCAAAATTTTATACCATCTAGTTGAAGTCAAGCTCCAAGAGCAAGGGATTTATCTTTGTTGGAATATTTGGATCTCATAGAGAATCCCTAAAAATCGTAGATAACTTTGTACATTACGAAATTTGTTACTTGTAGTTGTACTTAGAAAACATATATACATTTATATTGACTTAAACTTATGGCAACAAGATAAATCCTTCGAAATGTATGTTTAATTACGCTTTCTTCATGCTCAAGAGCAAACACCAACAAAAGGCAATAGTTTCAAATTCTGTGAACTGTCGCATTGCTTAGTTAAACTTTCAAAACCTAATTTGTTTGCTTTGCTTCGATGCAACACCTGCAGCAACCAAGCAATTAGCAAGAGCAACCGCATTAACTCGATCTGAAGACTCGAGCGATTCTTCGTCTTGATGCACACGACTATTCCACATCCCATTGCTTATCATATAAATTGACATGATTCCACGATAACATGAACCATACCGAACCAAGTCCACATAGCTATTCGTACTTACTATATGGTTTCTCACATTGTCCAACTCTTTTCTGTGTTTTCAACATAAACGTAATCTATATGAAATTCCACGGCCAACAGGCTCAATATCTCTGCTGTCAGGTAAAGGCCAAACTTATGCCCAAATCAAATCCGAAAATGCATTCTTGATTGCTATGCATTGATTGTTAGTTGAGTTTAAGTTTGTCTGTCTCTCACAACCCGCCATCTCTACACCCAATCATCTACAGACATGTATCTCTCTCATTAATCCATGACCCCAGATGATGAAAGGGATTGGTTTGTGTCCCATTTTAGAAGTGTTTTACATGTAGTTTTGTGTTAGTTCTGTTTGCTGGTAAATCTGTCTTCAAATCATACCCAAGACTCTTTATCATCCAACCAAAATTCCAGACATTGCGATGGAAATCAGTTGTACATTCATTTCCAGGACATTCCATCCACTTCATTCCAGCCACTCAAGCAATCCGGTGCACAAATCACACTGCAGCCAAGCACACAGCACGAGATCTTAGCACGAGCCGCGCATTTGTAGAGATTGTATTAATCCTAGAATCTAGACCTTTATTTCGTTTTCCATTGATGTTATGAATATAGTGTGTTGCTGGGGCTGCGAGCTAGTCGCATCCCTGGCTAGTTTGATCACTCATCGAAGTCTGTAAATTGCATTGTAACTAAACATAACGCATAATCATTATCTTCCCCGCCCCCCAAATGTGGAATGCAGCGCGTCCAACATTTTTGAATCTCAATTTGAACTTGAACACTTTGAGAATTGCGCCAACGAAACGTATGTGGTTTGTCTAGCTCTAAGCTTAAAGTTTGTCTGCATAGAATCTTTATATTGATCATGACATTCTAATATTTCCACAGCTTCGCCAGCTACTAGTAAGCTGCTGGGCATGCGTATGACGACGTTGCATGAAGAGCCCTTGGGTGGACATAGATCGCTGGACGAGGAGCCAGAGGACAGCTACAGCGATTCGGAATATGCTGCAGAATTCGAACAGGAGCGGCAGCAGAACAAGAGTCTGGCTTCGCGGTCACGCCTCACGGCTTCTAAGACCATGGACTCCTTTATGGACCTCAGCAGCCATTCGAACCAGAGCTACTTGAGCTACACATCCAGTGCCAACGCGAACATGAAGCATCTGACTGGCCTGCCAACCCTTAGCATGAGCTCCTCCACAAGCAGTGGATATGGTTCTCAGGCCGTCTCCTGCAATAATCTAAGCAACGAGGATATTGCTTCAATGCGTTCGATGAGCATTGATGAGACGCCAGGTGGGAATATACACATTGGCCAGTTAGAGCCATGGCACTAATATTCATTTCATTCCTTAGATTTCGATCGAGTCAACTCGAATTCGCCACCGAACCGTCAGGCACGAGTTAACCCCTTCCTAAAGGATATGCCTAAAGCCAAAACACAGGAGCAACCGGAGCCAGCACAGGCCAAGAAACTGCAGGAAGCCTTCACGCATCCATTGGAGCAGTTGGAGTCCAGGGACAACGCACAAAGTGACGAAGATGAACGCGAACAGCTGCCAAAGAATAACAACAACAATGTGGACGTGATCAAGGAGCCACAACTGGTCTCCGAACAAACGGAGCAGGAGGAACCAGAGCCGCAAACCGAATCACAAACAGAGCTTGCCACAGACAATCAGAACGGCAACAGGTCCTCCGACGAGCTGAGCCACACTTCAGAGGAGCTGCTCGAAGGCGATGGCATTGTCCAGGAGGAGTTGTCAGCTGGAAAGGTTGTGCGACGCAAGAAGTCAAACACCCAGCCTCCAAACAATGGCAATAGCATTAACAACAACAATAACAGCACAACAAGTCACGCACCGCGCATCAACCATCGAGCATCGGTGGCCAAGATGGAGGGGTTGGCAGCGTACTTGGACTCCAGCGTTATGACCAGCAGCACAGAAGTTGATGGTGAATATCAATTTGCTTTAATATTGTATTTTCTTATAAACTATTGGGTACTCAAATCTTTTTTTAGATGAGAGCAAGGATGTGGAAGTGATCCTGCCAGATTGGATTGTGGTAGGCGAATCTGTACTGATCCGACCCTACAATACCAGCGGCGTCATTCGTTTTGTGGGCACCACAGAGTTCCAGCCCGGTGCATGGATAGGTGTCGAACTGGACACGCCAACAGGCAAAAACGATGGTAGCGTGAAGGGCATTCAGTATTTCCAGTGCAAGCCGAAGCATGGCATGTTTGTGCGCTCCGACAAGCTGATGCTGGACAAGCGAGGCAAGGCAATGCGAGCTTACAAGGCCGCCGAGAAGAGCAACAGCATCAGCAAAGGTGAGTGAATTGACATTGGATATAGATAGGGTTTACTAACTGATATATTTTGTTTGCCGTGCAGAGATGAGTACCTCGATGACTGGCTCGATGACACGCTCGAAGAGCCGCGGCGATTCACTAAACGTTTCGGCGCGCAAATGATTGTACCCCAAGTGTTCGCATCAGCTGCAGCGTTGGACTAATTGCAGGCAATCGACGGTAGCCACCAGTGCTGTTAGCAGCCAACCGGCGACCTGCCACAGATTGCGTGCAACCAGTGGCGCTGCAGATGCGAACAGTCATGGCAAGAAGTGCTATGCCAATCGACGCTCGACGGCCTTCTAAGGGCCGCCACCCAGGATGACAATGTCAATGACGAGGACAAGGACGAGGACGAGGTCGACGAAGAAGGAGGTTGGGCCTCGTCAAGCAACGAACAATGCGGAGCATAATCCACATGCCAACCATATTCTAGCTTACTTAACTATTCTCACACCATGCCGCAAATGAAATGCCGTACACTTAACCCCACGCTTCTCTAAGTAGTTTAAGGCGGTGTCTACAGCAGAACTAATTACTAATCTAGCTAAACTAAACTAAACGAAACGAATCGAAACTAAACTAAGCCAGACAGGCATTCGTGTAGTTGCAATACCTCGAACACTTGGGCGAGATCGTAAAATTTAGTGACCCTTCTTCGATTAATGTATGTGTGAAATGAGCACTTTTGATTCCATTGTTTTTTGTGTTCGTGTAGTTAATTGTCGTTTATTGCTTTTCGATTTTTGAATTAAGCGCTTTACTGATATATATATATATATTTTTGTAATGGTTCTTTGCCTTTAGTTTAGTTCAATTGTTTTTGATATCAATGTGACTTGGTTAACGATGAGCTTATATTTTTTAATTGTTATTGACTATATTCAATATATAAATCATTTGTATATATATTTATAATTAAGATCTTGCAATAATTTCGTCTTCATGTTTCCTTTCCTGAGCTCATATTCTGTTTAGCGCATTTATATACAATTACCAATACAATACAATGTTAGTAATAATGAGAGCAAAATATTCTATAGAGCTGCGTCTAAGCAATTGAAGCCTCCTAAGATGGTCGCATCTTGGAACTTATTCCCCCGATTAAGACGCTTCGCACTGGCGCAGTTATGTGTAAATTGTATTATTTTGATGTGATGTATTTATAATTTCCCCTTTATATATGCATATTTACATATATATATATATATATATAAATAAAATTGATTTTATCGTATATGTACCTCATTAATTATGATTTTTTTAATTTCGCTTAACCCGTCCGGAATGTGCAATATAAGTGTTTAGGATCTTTAAGTTGTACTTATCAATGTTGAAGGTTGTGCGACTATGTTTGTGAGGCGTTTTAAGTAACATTAACTGATCACCGAGCCAGAAGCTGGTGTTAGTCCAAAAAGAAAAGCAAGAAAGCAATAATTGCATTGAATATTCAAATTTTATGTTAAGATACTTTAATAATCTAATCGTACACGAAAAGGATAGAGAGTGACCCCAAAAGATAAAATGCCGAAAAAGCGTGGAAATACTGTAATGTTTAAACCCGGCACAGGCTAACGATCGTTTGTACGTAAAACCGTAAACGTATCCATCCATCCATCCAACCAACCAACATCCAAAAAGCACTCCAAAACTGAGTCTGAGATAAATTGCAATTTAAAAACCAAACAATAAGAGCGATTTACACTTAGAAAACCCAAAAGAAAAAAAAAACAAAACAAAAACTGAAACTATAAAATCCAACAGAAAACAGTTGGGAAGAGTCAATGGTCAAAACCCAACTGGAAGATCTACAGCCATTCATCCAGTGTATACAAGCATAAATATACACCACTTATATATATATATTAGGTATATATATTTTCGAACTGTTTTTCTACTTGCGTAAAAGCGAAAAGCAACTACCAAAATATACTTGAAAATACGTCCAAAATTTAAAATTCAAGATCAAGATACAACTATGATATATATATATATATATACTTACAACTGCATGGATATTCATGAATATAAATATAAATTACATATTTACCAATGATAATCCTAACTGAAAACAGAGTTCATTTAAATATTGAATGCTCCCTTAGTGGAATCCCAGATAATAATAGATCCCAACCAAGGGGGCATTTCGTTTGAGTATGTGTGTGCAATTTTGTAGACGCCGCAATTTCAAATCGGTTGAGCATTATAATTCCAAACTAATTTAGTCACATGAATGTACATAGTGGGGCATTATTACCGGCTACTAACTAAATCACCATCAAATTAACGCATTTAACTAGCGCAAATAACGTTCAACTAGAAGAGGTTGATTGAGAATAGTAATTGAAAGCCCGATAGAAAACAAAAGTTAGCAGCACAGCTTAAAATTGTAAAATAGATCGAGAATCCATAGTTTGTAGACAGAGTGCATTGCAAGGAAATTAAATAGCCGTAGTAGAGAATCGATTGGAATGCCGACAAATTGAATCGTACCTTGACGTTATATTAAAGAATTAATCATATTTTTGTGCAATCTAGTGCAGTTCTCACGCAATCAGCCCAGCAACTAACAAAAACATAGTTTGCCATTGCATATAGCATTTAGCATTTAGCATCTAGCCTCTAGCGTAACGGAATGTTAGGCGGGCACACACATATTATATGATGAGGTATATAGGATCGAAAGGCCTTCGAAAAAAACGTTTACTTGTAAGTTTGCGCACTCTTAGAGCTTTTAGCACGGTCAACGAATAAATGTTATTACACCAGAATTCTAGCTCGTCTCCATCAGCCGTTAAATAAACTATCCAAAGAGTTCAGCCACGAGTTAATAAATAAACTAAACCATATATGCTAGATCTGCTTTATCATAATACATACACAAAACAGACGCACGAAGCTAAACCATTGTTGATGAATTGGTTCGTTTCGTTCGTTTTGTAAGTATTGATAATCCAGTTGAGTTTACACACTCTATCACATGTAGTTGACAAATACAGAGCAAAAACAGAATATATAGGTGTCAGCAGCGGAAACCCATAATGATAATTTTAGTAATTTACAATTGTTTAACTCAAATTTAAGTATTTTAACAGCAAACACGCCAGAGAAATTAAACAAAAAATAAACAAGAAAAATACACGCGTAATCAGCAAATTTGAACAACTTCAACAAAACAAAAGAGAATATGAAATATGTACTTATATCTATAAATACAATTATACAAACATGCAATGGATATTTTTCAATGGAGTCGGCTTTAATTTCACAGCTGGGTGCTGAATGTGGACTTGTTGCTGCTGGGTCAACACACAAGCTATATAGATACTGCGATATTAACCCTGAACTCGACCTTCACCAGCCAGCAACTGGTTACATTTTGTTGGGCCAACACCTCCGGCCCCCTAAATGGGGCTAATACATATTAAATGAGGCTACTACACATACATTTGAATATGTGCATCTTCCAGTCGGAAGTGTTTTATTTCATGAAAACAAATGGCAAAATTGTTATGTTAGTAGATAAATGCTTACAACACTTTTAGTTTACAGTTTACATAGTTGGTTATTGCTGAGGGCATAGCTCATGGGAGCGCTCCTCGTTGAATCCCTGGCCATGGAATGCAATTGTTCCATATCCTGCCTTCTTACATCCTTACATGATCACATGGCGACTAAATATCATTTACATAGGATGTTTCGGACACACTATCCTTACAACTTGCTCTATTTATATATTTATACACACACAAAGTACACAACACACAGTTAATTGTTATTTGCTTTCCAAATGACTCGTTTGCGTTTGATTTGCTGGGTTTGTTTTCTTTTGATTTGATTTGATTCCACTTGATTTGATTTGCACTAGCTACCCCGTCGTCTTTTCTTCTTATCATACACAGGTTAGTGTACAGAAAATATATAATTCTAGCATTCGATTTATGTATTTACAAAGAGTTGTTCTAATTTGAATTCGAGTTCCGTTCAGTCGGCGTTAGTCAGTATCTCTCAGTTGGTTTTGGTCCCCATCCCATTTTCCCCCGCTAGGCATAATCTCAATGCTCGATGATCCATCTTTGGGATTCACTGTGTGGATCACATGGTGCCACTTGAGCGTCGTCCATGCTCTTGAGTCCCTTGTGATCGAGACACATTCCAGTATTACTGTGAATGATGTGCTGGCTCTCGTATCGCCACTGCTCGTTGAACTCGTCGTTCTCCATGCAGGGCACCATCACCACCCGGTACGGTGGGGACTCGCTGTGCTGCACTGTCGCACAGCTCAGCTCATTGCGCAGGACCTGAGAGTTGGTGAAGGAAAACAGCTGCGACTTTTGAAGTACTTTGCCGCATGGATATAAGCCAGCGTTGTAGGGCTTCTCGTTGTTCTGCAGCAGATCGTCCAGGCATATGTTGGAGTTCACAGCGTGCACCTTGCCCCAGCCCTGCACATCCTTGGTGGGTACAAACTTCTCAGGGTAAATATTCTTTAGGTACCAATCGAAATTCTTGCAGCGAAGCTTCTTGCGCAGCATCACTCGGTGGGTCACATCGCCAATGTCCGCGTGGAACTTCAGGTCCGGTCGGTTGAGGAAGAATATGTTGATGTACTCATCCATCCACACCAGAGCCATGCGGGCAGTATTTATGCCGTGTGTGTCACGATCGTTAGGGAATCTAAATAGAATTTAAATGAGCTCATTAGAATACAGCCATAGATAACAATATCTGCTTTGAAGGTCTTTTCTTGCTTAAATTATACTCGTATTTATAACATTATTTTTAAAAACTTACTTGTACGGATGAAAGTCTCGGAATATGTGTCCCACGCGGGAGCATGGAATTGTTTCGATGGTGCCGCCACACTGCCAAATGCGGAAGGACATTTCCAGGTTCTCGCCACCCCAACCATCCATTTGTTCATCGTAGCTACCCACTTCCCAGAAGTATCGTCGATCCATGGCGAACAATCCACCGGCCATGGTGGGACTATAAGCTGGACAAATCTCCCGTTCCTGCTTGCACTCCCGTCGCTGCCGCTGTTTCTCCCTCTCCGGCAGGTTGATCCAATCAAAGTGGCCGTTCCATTGGAATCCGCCCACTTGGAACGATTTATAGCCATTGGTGCTGTATTGAAAGTCATTGGCATCAATGACATCAATGATGGGCACCAGGACGCTCGTTCGGGACTCCTTGATGCGCTGCAGAAGTGGCTCGCACCAACCAATATTGCCCTCGCAATGGGCGTCCAGGAAGATGAGGACATCCCCCGTGGCTATTCGAGCTCCGGCCAAACGGGCACGAATCAGACCCAAACTGAAACGAGAGAGAGGCAAAACTTTCTTTAGCTATGTGAAGGGTAAAACAACAAAAAAAAACAAAGCAAATTTATTGGGTCAGTCAAAAACCTTCGATCGTCTGCCAAGCACGATTAACACCATCCTACATAGCTTCAACCGTGTGAAGTCATCAGAAAGTCTGCAAAGCTCGCGGGTTGCCGAGTGTAATGCACGCAGAAACCGAGTCTGGGAGTTACAAAAAGTCAAGCCCAACACACATAATCGTAACTTGACGAACTGGTTTTCTCTTCATTTTTTTATTGTATTTTATTCAGTTTTTAGTTTTTGGTTTTTTGAGCTTTGGTCGGTTCTGGCCAAAAAGAAGATGCTCCAAGCGCGTCTGACATGCCAAACAAGTTATTCAAATGAGTTCAAGCTGCCAGCGCGATTCGATTAGCCGAATTGCTAAACTTTTCCTAGCCTATTGGCAATAATAATGGTCAGAGTCTATGTGCTTTTAGAGTTATTTTCTAGACCCTTGTGTAGGTATCAAGAAGAAGTAGAGTAATTAAGATCTAAAGCATTGCCTAACACGATTATTTAGAAATACCAGGAAATTGATGGCACAAGAACAAAACACTTACTTAAAAGTTTAATACATATTTGTATACTCGTATACCAGAGGTCAAATTAATGGTAATTTAACCCATCTACTATATTTGATATATAAAACGTTATTGATATTTTTTCATTATTATTCAAATAGTGTACGTGTTAAGGCTAAACACAACCTAATTAATTCATTTTGCACCTTTCACTTTTAGTTTCTTACTTGATCTAAGCACAGTAAACTTTTAAAATGCAAACAAACGCAGAGCATTTTAAATGTCACACTTTTTCATATCTCAAAAACTTTTAAACTTGTATTAAAGGTTTGCCATGCGTATTTTATAAATACACTCTTTCTTGGGAATTCTTTGTTGTTGCTTAAAAGCTGATTGCGCGTAGCATGTGAAAGCATTTTATAGTTAAGTATACGTCGTCAAGTGTCAATTAATTCAGGGAATCCTAGTTAGTAGATTTTTTATTATAATCTTGGCGGCACTATCAAAAACTTTTAACCGACTTGGGAAAGTCCGAAAGTATCACCTAATATACCTAATAATTGATATATTTATATATATATATACTTCTGGGGTAATCCATAGTACTTGTTTTGGGGTTTCCCCGAATTAAACAGACAGCATATATGTATGTATATGTGGGTCAAACACGTTGCAGCTTTTACTTACCGGTTTTTGAGCCGCAGAATTGTGACCTTGCCTTCTGGAATTCTCGTTCGAATATAGTAGTCCAGCTTGGCGCCGAGTTCCACATTTTCACTACCATCGTCCACCAAAATAATCTCCTTGAGGGCTTTCTCGTTACAGGTGCTCAGAGTGCTGTGCACGGTTCTCAGCAACACGGAGTAGGGTTCGTTGAAGAAAATGATAACCACACTGGCACTGGGAAGGGATTCAGCATCGTAGCGCTGTTTGGCGCACAGAGGATTCCGGTGGTCACCGACACTCCGATTATAGGACAACTGCTCACTTAGCTCCTCATTGAGGGCAATCTTCTTGTAAATGGCATCGCCACGCTCCTTGGCTGCCCCCGAAAGATGAACGGCCACGCCCTGTTCGCCGAGTCCCGCCTTCTGTTTCTGAAGATCCAATTGGATGACCTGCTCGTAGGGTGACTGGGTGGCAGGTCGGGCGATCTCGTTTTCACTGTCGCTATACGTCTCGTACCGATCGCGCCCAGGGCCTCGTATAGCAGGTACCCGGCCAAGTGGCATCACCACCGGTTCCTCCGGTGGTCCATTCTGTTGCACCTTGCTATATAGGATGAAGCACAGGGCGACCAGAATGAAGATGATCAGCTTGCCATAGAAGGAACGGAACCGAGGCAGCATGTTGATATATTATATCTTCTAGTTGAGGGGTGATTGGTGGTAGTTAATGGTTTTTTGAGGTAGCACTTCCAAGCACTTCACGCAAAAGTGGCTCCGCGGATCCGGATCTTGTGCGTCCGATGTCCGATTTTATCCACTACTCAATCATTTAACTCCAATTCGCTGGCGAAAAAGCAGACACATATGTATGATTCGTGGCTTCTCGGTTCGCCTACGATTCCAATTCCAGTTTCTTCTTGCTTTCCGTTAAGCGCCGCGCACCGCCGCTTTGTGGAGTGGCTTAAACTAGACTAAATTAAAATATTAATTCTAAGCGCGATTGCCCCAACAACAACAACAATTAAAATGCAACAACAATAAAAAACAACAAAAACTTACTCTGGCATGTTTTTTTGTACGCTGTTGCTTCTCTCTAGTGTGACCGCGCGAGTGCAAAATAACGCAGAGCATGATAAAAAGTATGACCTATTCCGGGTACAGTGGGCCGAAAAGTTGAAGTTTTCTAAAACAATATTTATTAACATAATAAGTCTTCTTTAAAAATTCTCTTTTAGTCAAATTAAAAATACATTGATTTTAGTTATGTATAATATAAAATATAATACGATATATTTTCAAATAATATTAATATTGGCCAAAACGATTAAACGCATAAAAGGGGGCATATAAGAGATAAGAAAACATCTAAATCTTAGGAAAGCTTCACAAAGACAGTAAAATTTTTAAATGAATTAATGTGTGTAGTTTGAGTTTTGTAAAAATAGGCAGGATGGAAGCACGGCTAAGTTTACATTTAGCAAATACTTAGACCATTTACCAAGAGGTTTTGTTAGTACTGGTTAATAATTTGCTTTTCCCTGTTTGGCGGCAGTTGTAAAGTTTTTGCCGGTATTTACCTTTTCTTTTTTGCTACCAACAATAAGCATTTTTGGCAACAAAAATCATTAAAAGGTCAAACAATTCTATATAGGAAAATGATGTTTCAATTCATAAAACAAACCATTTAATTTTATTTTAAAAAAAGTAATAAAGTAAAAAAATATTTCACAAGAAATTGCAGTCCTGGCCTATACATACTAATACGTGCTTATATTACGTTGCTAGAGCGATATATTCAATCCTTATTAGTTAGCTATTATAAAAATATAATAAACTTGCCAGTGGCTGTGTCTAACATAAAGATTATACCTTTTAATAAGGTACGAGTATAATAAGGTGCGAAATTAAAACAGAAGATTACAACCAACAAGCACGCGAAGCTCTCCCACCACACATTTTGGCCCAGTTGTCACATCAATTACTTAAATCAACGGAAATTTAAATCAAAAACTTCCTGCAACCGAGTACCGTTAAAAAAGGAAAGGGACTGACCGACTGACTGCCGCACTTGACACTTTTGCCGGCACTTAATGCACAAATGGCATGTTCATTTGTTGTTAAAGCGAAGCAAATGGACTTCCCATTAAAAACTTGTTGCTCCGCCTTTTTTGGGGAACCAAACATGCAACCACATGTTGCCAATAGATGGGTGTCGATGGTGTCCCATGTGGCTTGTTTAAATCCCATCTAAATTCTAATTGAGTTTCGGTTCTCATCACAACTTTCATTTTGTAATGCCTTGAATTGATGCCAACAAGACTGTCCCCGTTTTGTCTGCTTTTTTTCTAAGGTCTGTGATTAATTTGGCTAATTAACGTAGGAATCTTAACTGCGGGCTGGTGTTTTGTTTTTTTCTCTTTTTCGGTTAAAGTGAGCTCTTGGGTCGTATAATTAATACGTTACGTATACGCATTGGTGTCGCTGCGGGAGGCGCCAACAGCCACCAGATCAGCGACCCAGCAGCTAAATTAAAGTTCAAAGTGCTCCAAAGCCATGGTAATTGGAGTTTCGGAGTCGCTGCATCGTTTTGTGGGAAGCAACCGTTGAGCCGCTGAAAGGTGGCAACTGTTTTGCCAATCTTCGCTAAAACACCCTAATGGCTCTGAGCGACAAAAACTAGGAAGGAAATAAATTACTTTGTGGTCTGGGCACAGTAGGATGGACCTGCTTGGCGGGGGCCTTTGTTTTAGTTACCAAAAAATAAAACAAAAAAAAAAGAAAGACAAAAAAAAAGACAGAGCAGAGGGAGATATATACAAGCTAGACGAGATTTTGGAATTTCATTTCGTGTGCGACCTTAAAATACTAGTTTGTAAAAATGCAACAAAATCCGGCATTGAAACAGATTAGTTTCTTCGGTCGAAAAAATTAACACCTCTTAAATTTGAAATACTCTTTTATTATCGCCACCGAAAATTATGCATTTTCAGCACATTTGTGAAATGCTTAATGGCCTGAGGTCGAATTAGTTGGCTCTTAAGTGTTATGAGCCGCAACCGGATTGAAAACTTTAGCCGGCTTCAAGAGCGGTTTAAGTAAATAGCAGAAGTGCTCAATAAATAATTTTTCCAAAATTACTCTATTCAATAACGAGTGTCGGCTGAGGCCCCCCAAACGAGGTCTCATTAATGCTCGTCTCAATAATAATAAAAAAGGGTTAAAAAACAGTTTAACCACTGCCAGACATTGTTACACATATGTGTGCCGGCTGCGGTTAAGGTGCCGGCCATAATGACTCGGGCCACAAAAATCTATTAAATCTAAATGACCCTGAAGATCACATACAAGCAGACAAGAAATGGTCGACTAACGATCATCATCCATCAATGGAAATGGGCAGTCAACGCTGGATAATAACAGAATTCGGATTTGGTTTGCAATTGAATAATGTCTAACCATAGTTTTTTATGGATTATCTGCTGTTTGTCTGCTACTTTCGTTTCGCTACGAAAACCTTTGCAAATGTCAAAAGGTTGGGCAATTGCGATGATTGCGATTGTGGTTTCGACAGCGACGAGAGGATGAACATTGGTCGAATCTGATCGGATTGGAACGGATTAGAGCTGGAGTAAGTCCACGACTTCCCATGACAAATTGATCAGCCTGGGAAGCGTAATGATGCCATATTATCATACATTTTCGAGAGTGATTTATGATCTAGTTTGACTAGTGGGGAAAACTTTGTTTTTATAACTAAATCGAAAGTGAAAGATTTCACGATACTGACTTGGCAATGACAATGCCAAGCCATTGTTTCACCCACTAAAACGCTTTGGGGGTTAACCGGTTACCCAATGCCCCATCCCCAATCCTCAATTCCCATTTCGATAGCAATTTCAATTCCAGTGCCCTAGGTCCAATCAGCACGCGTCAAAAGTGGCGCCAAAATGACGAACCAAATTATGATTTTGATCAAATATGCACAAACTATGGCGGCTTTATGGCGGTAGCCAAGTTTAAGCTTTGCATAATCCCCGGACCCTGCTGAGACACCCGCATTGTCGTCTCTCTATGGTCAGATTTATGTAACAACCAATCATGCGAGATGTCATCAAGTATTTGCCCAGCTTATTGGGCATCGCGACTCATCATATCTAGTGGAATGCACATTTCGATCGGGGTTTTCACAATCGCATCACAGATGGATATCTATAGATAGATCCGATTGTCTTTTAAAACCACATCAAAACATCAAAATCAATATAGCGTATCGATCAATATCCAAAAATTGAGCATTGTCTCAATGTTAGCAACCTCCGATGTGATGATTCGGATACATTTGAATAACACAGCGCCAACAATAACCACTGCGTCTCCATATCCGCTATCATTTATTGTGCGGAGGTGGCTAATCCCAATTCAACATTTCTTTGTTTTGTTTTATGGCTTTTGGCGAAGGTTGAGCAGAATGACTTTAGCCATGCCAGCGAAACTTTTAATTTCCATCGCTTAGGTTGCAAAATTTTTTTGTGATTTCAAGCAAATTTAATAAAAACTGTGAAGATTTACATTTTAGTTTTTAGCCCATAACCACTTATATATTCTTAGGCGTCTCCAGTAGCTAAGGGATCCCAGGATCTCCAGGATGAAACAACATAAACTAATGCCCAATCCAGCGAAATACATGCCAAAAACCCAATAAAGATCGTCCACTTCTATGTAATCATCCAAATGAGGCGGACTTAAATCTTCCGATGTTGCTAGATTCAGTTTCAGCATATCCAAGAAACCTCTATAGAACCAGTAATTCGTTAAACCAAACTCATTTTGTCGCAGCATGTGCTCTTCGAAGAGATCTCGATAGGGCAGGTGACGTCTTACAGGGAAGCTAAAAAATCCGATGGAATTAAGACAGAGTGCCTCTGAGTAGTAGAAAAGTGGGTATGTGAATCTCTTCTGTTGTTCCTTAAAGATGATCCAACTCAAAGCGGTCACTGGATAGATGTAGTCATCATTAAAGCTATCTCTCAATTGAATAAACTTCTTTGCGTCCTCCAAGACCAACACGTTCTCCATGCTGACGTTCATCGGCAGAAGCTCCTGCAGTTCAATCGAGGTTATTGCAACCTTGTATCTGGATTTTTCCAGATCAGCGAAGGAAGTCATAAAGGGATCGACTGGTGGACCCCACATGAAGGTCTGCAGGTAAGCCGAATACATGGTGGTTATGATTAGACTGGAGAAGCAAATCAGCATTAAAATCAGATTCATTTTTCTGTTAGACTGACGGGGATAAGGGAACGTCTGAGCTAAGAATCCCCTCAGACATATATCGTTCATCAGGACGCTGATCAGGCTGAGATTCCGCCAAGTCTTTTCCTTTAAGTATATCACCATCACTGAGAAAATGAAGAATAGCGCAAATATCGCTATCAGAACGGATGGATTCACGATCGCCACGTAGATTTCACTATAAGGCATTAGATCCGGGAGAGGGGCCATAAAGCAGTGAGAACTCATCAAGTATGGGTAAGAGAGGATATCAAAGTTCGTCTCTTTATAATAGGCGCCATTGCTCATGCCAATATCCAGCATATCTTCTGATGCCCATTTCGAAATATTCATAAATGATATAATCTCCTTGCCTTTTATCAATTTTAACTGCATAATCATTGTAGCATTGACCTTCTCAACGAAGAGGTTAAGCACGTTGGCCACGAATCCTATATATTTCACTTTACCAGATTTAGAGTCTCGGTAGGCCATGGATCGAGGCGCCAATTTGTCAGTGAGGGTTCTGATCGGAGCTCCTTGCATGTTTCGAAATTGTTTGATAAAAATCGATTTGCCAGTGGAAATATTTATTTCTTCATAGTTCTGATCCTGAAATAAACGACAGGAGTAGACTAGCCCAGATTGAGGGAAGTTTTCTTTTACCATAGCTATATTGTACTGCTCCTTTTTTGAGTAAAAGTTGCATACAGATTCTGGTTGTATGTCCTCTTGAAGAAGGATTAGACGTCTGTTAGTTTGTAGCTTCATCAATGTGCGATAGTTTTCCTCTTTCTCAGCTTCAAATCCACAACTTAGTATCAGTGTTAAGCTGCTGTAATTCCAGTCAAAGTCGGTGCTACCGGAAGAAGCCAGCACTGTGGAGACTGGTAATCTTCTGGATAAAGCGGGAAAAGGACAATCTTCTCCATAAATTAATAGAATATCGTAGAGTTTTTGCTGATGGAGTATAAGAAGAAGACTTAATAAGCTTTTGTGTAATTCTGAATCACTGCTATTGGAAACATTCAGAAATTGAGCTTGCGAGTTGCCAAGGCAGAAAAGAATAATAATAATAAACCAAGTCATGGTTCTGAAGTAACTGATGGAATTTCCGTGCAATCATCACATTTTGTCGACTACATTCTGTTAAATTGTCCTGCAAAATGTTGTTCGGGCATGCCATTTGCATGTTTCTTATATTGTGTTAACTTGTTTCTATAATTGATAGTTGCATCCAAAATGCGTATCTGAACTGGAATAGAAGACATCTATTTTTCAGAAATATAGGAGGGAACTTCATAGTCGAGCCTCGACTATCAATTAAGATAGTCATGGTAACTAAATTCAGAATAACAGAGTTAAGTTAGTTCCTTGTCTTAAAAGTTAACAACCAATGAAAATGTGATTCCGAAAATGAATTTCTTTTTTAAAATAAAAACTCATACTGTGTGCTTTTTAGGTTTTTTTTATTAGATAAATTTATATTAGTATCTGTTGTAATAAATAAAATAGCTACTAGTAGGAGACATTTCCTCCTTTTTATATACTCGTACTTTTATCTTCCTTGGAGAATGTTTAAGGTTTTGAAAGAGATTAAGTTGAATAATTTAGCAAACTGTTAACAGCAAATTTTTATTGTATAAAACAAACAACTTGCTCAGTTAATTCAATATTAAATAATCTTAAAATATAGATTGTAGCTTTTTGAAAAAATTCTAGGTGGCTCTTCTTTCACTAGGATACTTTAACACTTAAAGATTCTAAGCCGTCTCCAGCAATTTGGAATCCTCATTAGCTCCAGGATAAAACAACACAAGCTAAGGCCCAGTCCAGCGAAGTACATGCCAAAAACCCAGGAAAGATTATGCACTTCGATGTAATCTTCTAAATGAGGAGGACTTAAGTCATCCGCTTTTGTAAGATTTAATCTTAACATGTGCATAAAGCTGCTATCGAGCCAGTACGAGGCTAGGCCAGAGTCCTTTTGTCGCAGCAGGTTCTCCTCGAAGAGATCGCGATATGGCAGAAACCGTCTAATAGGAAAGTTGAAGTATTCGAGATAATGTAGGCAGAGTGTTTCTGAGTAGTAGAAAAGTGGATATGCAAATAGCTTCTGTTGCTCCTCGAAGGTGAGCCATCGAAGTTCTGTCACCAGATAGATATAGTTGTCATTAAAAGTTGCTCTTAATCGCAAGAATTCGTATAGGTCCTCAAATATCAGCACGTGATCCATGCTGACGTTCGTTGTACGTAGTGTTTCCACTGCATATAAGGGTATGGCCACCTTGTATCTGGATTTAGCCAGGTCTGCAAAGGCAGTCATGAAGGGATCAACTGGTGGACTCCACAAGAAGGTCTGCAGGTAAGCCGTGTACATGGTTGTGGTTATTAGACTGGAGAAGCATAGAAGCATTAAAATCAGTTTCACTTTCCTGTTGGAGTAACGTGGAAATGGAAACGACTGAGCCAAGAATCCTCTGAAGCATATATCGTTCATCAGGACGCTGATCAAGCCGAGACCACGCAAAGACTTTTCCTTAAAGTAGATCAGCATCACCGAAAAGATGCAGAATAATACACAGATCACTATCAAAACTGGTAATTCCACGATCGCCATGTAGACCTGACTGAAAGGCATCCGATCCGGAAGAGGTACCATGAAGCAGTTGGAACTCATCAAGTATGGGTAAGAGACCGTATCGAAGTTTGTCTTATCATAATAGGCGGCCTGGCACATGCCAATATCCACCTGATCATTGGTAGCCCATTCCGAAATATTAATGAAAGACGTTTCCTGTCCAACATCTATAGATTCCGCATGCATTATCATGGTGGCATTAACCTTCTTAATAAAGTGCAAAAGCGAATTGGCCACGAAACCTATATACTTCTGTTTACCAGATTTGCTATCCCAGTAAGTCATGGTCTGAGGAGCCAAGTTGTCTGTGATTGTCTTGATTGGCGCTCCTTGCATGTTTTGAAATTGTTTTACAAAAATCGGTTTATTCTCGGAAAAGTTAAGTTTTTCATACTTTTGATCTTCAAACAAGCGACAAGAATATATCACGTCGAGCTGATCGAAGTTCTCCTTCACTATAGCTATATTATATTGCTCCTTCTTCGAGTAGTACTCGCATACAGAATCTGGTTGTTTGTCCTCTCGAAGCAAGATTAATCGTCGGTTTCTTTGTAGCTTCATAAGAGTGCGATAGTTATCCTCCTTCTCGTCTCCAAGCCCACAGCTGAGTATAAACGTAGAACTGCTGAAATTCCAGTCGAAGTTGGTTTTACCCAAAGTCGCAAGAACGGTGGGAACTTGCAGTCTTCTGGCTAAAGATGGGAAAGCGCAATCTTTTCCATAAATCAGAAGGGTGTCGTAGGATTCCTCCTTCTGGAATCTTTGAAGCAAGCTTAACAAACGTTCTTCTAAGTTTGAATCGCTGGTGTTAGTAGCATCTAAAAACTGAGCCCTTGATTTTCCTAGGCAGAGAAGAATGAGTAGAAACCAAGCCATGGCTCTGAAGTTACTGTTGAAATTTACGAGAGTCCTTCACCTTTTGTACCCAACACGTTTTTAAAGTGTCCCCGTGACTGTTGGTCAAACATGCAATTTGTATGTTTTTCATGTTGTGTTTACAGGACTATAGGGTCTAAGTACACACCAAAATTCAATTAATTAGTGGTTTTGAGTTAAAATAATTGTATTTTGTTAATGTTTTATGAATATATCGTGAAAAAAACATGAAGATTGGAAGAGATTGGGTTTATCCAATCCAGAAAAATACATGTAGTATCCATACATACAGGCATCCAACACCTCTTTTAAAGGATATCGCTTCGTTTATTTTACATTTGTAGCTTTACCTTAAGCCTCAAATATGAAGCACAAGACAAAAATGACTTATAAGAGGTCTAAGAGGGTGTTGTAAAAATCAGTAGAAACCAACTGTTACAGTTCAATATTGTATCGTACTAAAAATCCTTAAGGTGCGGTAGATTGATTGAGATAGAATGTATTTCTGTGTTCTTAAACCTTCTTAATTCCGAAATTTCCACTTATTCACTCCAATTTCCAATAAGAAACATAAAACGCTGAACATAAGAGCAGCCAAATAGACTTTCATTACCCATGAGACATCGTCTACCAGCAAGCTTGGACTGTAGACTTTCGGCTGGCTGAGGTCCTTGAGAGGCGCTAGGCCAAGTCTCACCATATCGAAGAAGCTATGACTCCTCCAATGACTCACCAGTCCGAACTCATATTGCCTCATAATATGTTCCTCGAACAGATGGCGATATGGCAAGCTTGGACGCAGTGGAACAGACAGAAAGATCATTCGGGAAAAACATAAGTTCCTTGCGAAGTAAAAGACTGGCTCTTTGAACAGAGCTTGCTGTTCTGCATAGGAACTCCAACGATCTCCTGTTACGGCAAAGTTATAGCTGAGATTGAAGTTATCGCGTAGTTTGAAGCATTCTGGTAAACTTTCGAAGATTACTAGATCACCTTGGTGAATTTCTTGGAAATATGAATTATTGGTCTTGATCAAGCTCTTAGTCTCCATTTCAGGCATTGCAATTTTTCGATGATTTCTACCAATATCCTCGAAGGATTCGATTCCTGGCTCGGATGGAGGATTCGTGAAATAAGATTGCAGATAGGCCTCGTACATGGTGGTAATCATGATGCTGGCAAAGAAAATTATACTAACTGTTAGCCGCAAATGATTGTTGGCATTGTTGGGGAAGGGAAAAGATTGACCCAACATGCCGCGTATACTCTTATCGTTTAGCAGGATGTTAGTAACGCTCAGGTCCTGCCAGGACATTTTCCAAGTATATATAAGCAATGTAGAAAGTATGCAGAACACTATGAACGTTATTCCTACAATAAGACGATCCATAATCACAGCATAGACCGCGTTATATGGCACCTTAGCTGGAACTTGAAGCATTAGACAGTAGGATGTTAGTATGTAAGGATAACTGGAGGTATCTAACGGCTTTGTACGTAAAGAACTATCCAAGGTCGTGCCAATGTCAAGCTCTTTTCTTTCCACCATTTTGAAGATTTCCCTTACAATGAATTTATTGCTCAATATCTCCAATTGCAAAGTTGCATTGACTTTCTGAGCGAAAGTGTCTATCAAATTGGCAACATAGCCCATCATCTTCATTTCTTTGCTCTTAGCATCCTTATACAGCATAGAACGGGGTGCTAAGAAATCAGCTGCTGTTCTTATAAGCTTTCCTTGCATATTTAGAAATTGTTCTATGTAGATTGGTTTATTTTCCATTAAACTTAGTATTGCATAGTTTGGTTCCTGAAAGTAGCGACAAGCGTGGACTACTTTTGACGTAACGAAGTCATCTTTCACCATGGCTATATTAAATTGTTCCTTCTCAGCATAGCTTTTGCATATGGAATCTGGTTGAATATTCCTTTGTTGATAAATCAAACGTCTGTTTCTTTGTAATTTAACAAGAGTTCGTAAAGTTGCCTCTTTTTCTTCTTCAGGGCTGCAGCTTAGAATCAGAGTAAGACTGCCAAAGTCCCAATCGAATTTTGTGCTACCCGAAGACACCAGCACGGTGGATACATTCAAACGTCTGGACACAGTATGGAAAACACAATCATTTCCATAGATCAAAACGGTGTCGTAGAATTCTTCTAATTGCACTCTTTGGAGGAGACTTAATACTCCTTCCTCAAGCTCAAAGTTACTTTTATTGGTGACATCCAAAAATCGGGCACTTGAATTCCCAAAGCAGAGAAGAAGGATAATCAACCATGCCATGGTTTCCATTTAACTGTGAAAAATCCTTAGTTTTCCTCACATTTTGTATTTCAAAGTTACACGAACAGTTTAGCTGACATGCACTTTTCATGTTTTTCACATTGTGTTAACATGCCATGAAGGTCAGGCTATACGACCCATGATTGGTCAATTATCGGCTGCATTAAAAGTTTTAAGGGGAGCAATTACTAGTTTTTAAGGTTTTCTTTGGTTAATGGATTCGTTATGTGGCCAGCTTATTTCCCAACTTTAACCAATCTCTTGTAACTCATACAAAAGTTTGCTTTAAAGCCCATAGATGGCTATAGATTATCTCTTTCCCTCGACCCCAAAAGTTTTTACCATTATCTTAAAGATTTGTCGGTAGATTTTTTGATTATTTATTTAGCTTATAAACATGTGTCTTACGAAAAAACATTGCATATAAAGTTATTAATTTTTAAAGCCTCGCCACATGAATTTTTTCAAACTTTTCCACCAACTCAAAGAACCCAAAAGCTCCAGGGCAAAGCAACAGCAACTGATGCTCAATGCAACTGCATATATTCCTAAAATCCAGTAAAGATCATCTACATAAATAGCTGTTTCCTCTGGAGGTGCACTGAAATCCTCATAAGGCGTTAGCTTCAGCCTCAACATATCCAAGAAACTTCGATCCATCCAGTGCTTTAGTAATCCGAATTCCTTCTGCCTCAAGATGTGCTCCTCGAAGAGATCGCGATAGGGCAGGTGACGTCTTATGGGAAAACTCAAGATGCTATAGCGAGTGAGACAGAAATCATTTGAATAGTAGAAAACGCGATGGTGAAACAGCTTCTGCTGCTCGTTGTAAGTTTCCCAACGCAAACTATTCACGGGAAAGATATAGTTGTCATTAAAGGACTCTCGCAAGCTTACAAACTGATGATAGTCCTCGAAGATCTCCACCCGGTCATTGCTAACACGCTGCAGCTTACGGTCGTTCTCGAATCGCAGCATATCCATCTCGGCCCAGTTCATGGCCACCTTGTATCTGGACTTTTCCAAATCGCTAAATGTTCGCATCATCGGCTTGGGTGGGGGACTAAACAGGAAGGTCTTTAGGTAAGCTCCGTACATGGTGGTGATCATTAAGCTGGCGAAGCACAGAAGAAGGCAAATCAGCTTCAGTTTTCTGCTAGATTGTCGGGGAAATGGAAACGGTTGACCCAAAAATCCCCTCAAACACATATCGTTCATCAGGATGCTGGTCAGGCTGAGACCCCGCCACGTTCTTTGTTGGATGTAGATCAGCATCACCGAAAAGACGCAGAATAAAACAAGAAGCATCACCAAGACACTGGGATATATAATCACAGCGAAGACCTCGTTGTAGGGCACCTCATCCGGGAGAGGAATCATAAAGCAGTAGGAGCACATCAAGTAGGGATAAGTGAATGTATCAAAGTTGTCCATCTCCCAGGTGGTGTCCACACTCATGCCTATGTCCAAGAGGTCATTTGCTGTCCATTTCGATATATTCACAAAGAAAATTTTCCCCTCCAACTCATTCAATTTCACCTGCATAACCATTGTTGCATTGACCTTTTTAATAAAGTTGTTCAGCAAGTTGGCCACGTAGCCTATCCACTTCTTTTCTCCGGTTTTTGGGTCCAGGGTAACCATGGAACGAGGTGCCAAGTCGTCTGTGATCGTTCTGATCGGAGCTCCTCGCATATTTCGAAATTGATTAATAAAAATCGGGCTACCTTTGAAAATATTTACTTTTTCATAGTTTTGATCCTGAAATAAACGACAGGAGTAGACTAACCCAGACTTAGGGAAGTTTTCTTTTACCATGGCTATATTGTACTGCTCCTTTTTTGAGTAAAAGTTGCATACAGACTCTGGTTGTATGTCCTCTTGAAGAAGGATTAGACGTCTGTTAGTTTGTAGCTTCATCAATGTGCGATAGTTTTCCTCTTTCTCAGCTTCAAACCCACAACTTAGTATCAGTGTTAAGCTGCTGTAATTCCAATCAAAGTCGGTGGTACCCGAAGAGGCCAGCACTGTGGAGACTGGTAATCTTCTGGATAAAGAAGGAAAAACACAATCTTCTCCATAAATTAAAAGAGTGTCGAAGAAATTTTCATGTTGCAATCTTAGCAGTAGAGTTAACAATATTTTCTCAAGATCTAGGTTACTGGTATCGGTTATAGCCGAAAGCTGTGCCCCTGTGTTCACAATGCAGAAAAGTAGGAATATCAACCAAGCCATGGTTTTAATGTAACTGTTAGGAATCTGAATGGTTTTTACTTTTTTGTACTTTAAACCTGCAAAAATCCTTGACTCTAGAAATATGTCTGTCAGGCATGCAGTTTTCGTGTTTTTTCAAAATGTGTTAAATGCCTGGCAGAGGGCAGAGCAATTATAGGTTGCGTGGGCTCTGCAAATAAAAGCTTTAGATATGTTTGAGATATAAAGTAGTATGAATGTTTTAGGTATAATTCCTCAATTTACGCCATTGCCTCCACTTTGCTCCTCCGATTTCCGACAGGAAGCAGAGAATGCTCACCCCGACGGCTGCCAGATAAAGTTTCATTATGAATGATATGTCCTCCAAAAAAAGGCTTCTATTGTAGGCTTTCGGCTGGCTTAGGTCCTTAAGCGGTGCTTTGCCAAATCTAACCATATCGAAAAAGCTGTGGCTCTTCCAGTAGTTCACCAAACCGAACTCATGTTGCCTCATCATATGATCCTCAAAGAGGTGTCGATATGGCAGGTGCTTCCGCAGGGGAATCGACAAGAAGAGTAGACGTGAAAAGCAGAGGTCCTTCGCGAAATAAAATAGAGGTTCCTTAAAGAGCGTCTGCTGTTCCGCATAAGCACTCCAACGATCTCCAGTGACTAGGAAATTGTAGCTCAGGTTAAAAGCATCTCGGAGAGCAATGCAGTCCCGCCAGTTATCGAAGACTTTCAAGTAATCTTTTGGAATTTCACGAAATTGTGAGTTGTTTGAGCTCGTCAGCACATTGACCTCTATTCTAGTGATAGCAATCTTTTGATTGAATTTACCAAAGTCCCTGAAGGAACGAATGTGAGGTCCAGGTGGAGGATCCGTGAAAAAAGATTGCAGATAGGCATCATACATAGTAGTCATCATGATGCTGGCAAAGCACAGGATGCAGAAGACCATCCTTAAGGGCTTGCTTGCATTAGAAGGAAATGGATGGGATTGGCCTAAGAGGCCACGCAGGCTTACGTCATTAAGCAGTATATTAGAAAGCCTCAGATCCCTCCATGTCATATTTTCACTATAAATAAGCAAGGCGGAGATCAGGCAAAACATTACGAATATTATAACAAGGACCAGGCGATCCACTATCATAGCGTAGATCACATTATACGGCAACTTGGATGGAACTTTAAGCATTAGACAATAGGTAGTTAGTAGGAAAGGATAGCTGGCTGTATCAAGGGGAGTTTCGTGTAAAGATGTCTCCAAAGTAGTCGCAATATCAATCTGGTCATCTTTCACTTTTTTCAATATGTTTCTCAAGCTGCTATTCCTCTCTAGGACTTCAAGGTTTAATGTGGCATTCACCTTTAGCACAAAATATGATATTAAGTTAGCCACATACCCTGTCATCTTAGTTTCATTCGTCTTAGTATCTGTATATAGCATGGATCGTGGGGTAAAAAGATCTGCCATTGTTCTTATGGGTTTTCCGTGCATATTTCTGAACTGTTCAATGTAAATTGGTTTCTTCTCTGATAAGCTTATTTCCTCAAAGTTAGGATCTTGAAAGTAGCGACAAGTGTATATGATTTGCGACTTATCAAAGTCATCTTTTAACATAGCTATATTGAATTGTTCCTTTTGTGCATAGTTATTACACACATTCTCTGGTGGGATATCTCCTTGTAGGTAAATCAAACGTCTGTTTCTTTGCAGCTTTATAAGGGTTCGATTTGTGACTTCTTGATCTGCATTAGGCCCGCATCCTAGTATCATTGTGAGGCTACTAAAGTTCCAATCATAACTGGTGCTTCCTGAAGACACCAACACAGTGGGTACATCCAGGTGTCTTATTACTGAATGAAAAACACAATCCTCCCCATAGACAATTAAGGTGTCATAGAATTCTTCCTGGCGCAGCTTAAGGAGAAGAACCAATAACCCATCCTCTATGTGGCTTTCGTTTTGAGCTGAGATATCCGATATAGAGGCTTCAAGCTGCCCTACACAGATGAGCAGAATGACCAACCATGTCATAGTTCACAACTTAACTGTTGAAAATTCAATATTTTATATCCTTTTCGTTGCATTATTTGTCGATTTAACTAGTTTTCATGTTTGGGAGACATATTAGTTTTTAAATATTTTTAAAAAACGTTCATTGTTTACAGTTTGGCTCAACAATTTCTAGTTCGTGTTAGCTTTGTAAAACAAGATTGGTGGAAATATTTGATAGCTCTTTGAACAATTTTAATAATATGCTCCTATCATGCACGTGCTGCATTCCGATCCTGTTGTTAATATTTGTGGAGCTAAAATATTAATATATAGTGAAATTTCAAATCTTCTCCATATACGAGATTTTGTTCGACTCTTCCAGTTGCAATCTCTGTAGGAGATTTAACAAACTGTGTTGCTTTTATCTGAAATATCCGACAATTGGTCACTCCCATTCCCAAGGCAGATGAGGAAGTTAATAAACCAATCCCTGGTCTATACAAAACTGTTGGGTATCTCGTGCGACCATCACATTTTGTACTTTTCACGAACTAAAGAACTGGTACTTTGTAAACATATTGGTCTGGCATGCGATATTCATGTTTACTGAAGTGGGCTTACATTTTGCAAGAGAAGGTCAACCCACAACCCCCAAAGGATTCTATTAAAAAAGCATATTAATATATTATTCTGGTATTATTACATTGAAGCAGATTAGATACTATTTAAAAGAATAAGGGATAGTTTGTATGATTAATAATTCAACTACGCCAATGTCTCCACTTCTCTCCCAAAACTTCCGACAGGAAGCAGAAAATGCTGACGCAGATGGCGGCCAGATAAAGTTTCAATATCAACGAGATGTCCTCCAATATAATGCTTTCATCAAAGGCTTTTGGCTTACTGAGGTCCTTGAGCGGTGTAATGCCAAGTCTAACCATTTCGAAGAAGCTCCGGCTCTTCCAGTAATTCACCAAACCAAATTCGTTTTGCCTCATCAGGTGATCCTCGAAGAGATGTCGGTAGGGGAGGTGTCTCCTCAGGGGAATCGAAAAGTAGAACAACTGGGAAAAGCAAAGGTCTCTTGAGTAATAAAATAATGGTTCCTTGAAGAGTTTCTGTTGTTCAGCAATGGAACTCCAACGATCATCCGTGACTATATAATTATAGCTGGTGTTGAAGGAATCACGAAGTGATACGCACTCCCGCCATTTCTTAAAGATTTCAATACTATCTTTTTTCATTTCCATAAATTGTGTGTTGTTGGTGCTTCTTAGGACTTCAGCCTCGATATCGGTAACGGCCAACTTTTGGTTATATTCGCCAAAGTCCTTGAAGGAGCGAATGCGAGGCTCAGATGGTGGATCCGTGAAGAAAGATTGAAGGTAGGCTTCGTACATCGTGGTCAGCATGATGCTGGCGAAGCACAGAATGGTAAAGATAAGCCTCAGTTGTTTGCTGGCATTCGAGGGAAAGGGAAAAGACTGTCCCAAGAGGCCTCGCAGACTCATGTCATTAAGTAGTATATTAGAAAGTTTCAGCTCACGCCACGACATGTTTTGATTAAAAATGATCAGTATAGAGATTAGACAGAACATCACAAAGATAATGACAAGTACTAGCGGTTCCACTATCACGGCGTACACCAAATTGAAAGGTATCTTTGTTGGAACTTTAGCCATTACACAGTACGATGTCATAAGATACGGATAGCTGGATGTTTCAAAGTTCTTAGAATATAAAGATGACTCGAGAGTCATGCCAATGTCGAGCTCATCGCGTTGAGCCATATCTGATATCTTCCTTATGTTAGTTTGAGGAGCTAAAAAGCCAAACTTTAAGGTGGCATTAACTCTCTGTGCGAAATTATTGATCAAGTTGGAGACATAGCCAATTGTCTTCATTTCACCAGTTTTTGAATCCCAATACTGCATGCATCGAGGGGGTAACAGATCTGGCACTGTTCTGATAGAATTTCCATGCATATTTCTGAACTGTTCAATGTAAATTGGTTTCTTCTCTGATAAGCTTATTTCCTCAAAGTTAGGATCTTGAAAGTAGCGACAAGTGTATATGATTTGCGACTCATTAAAGTCATCTTTTACCATAGCTATATTGAATTGTTCCTTTTCAGCATAGTTATTACACACATTCTCTGGTTGTATATTCTCTTGTAGGTAAATCAAACGTCTGTTTCTTTGCAGCTTTATAAGGGTTCGATTTGTGGCTTCTTGTTCTGCATTAGGCCCGCATCCTAGTATCATTGTTAGGCTACTAAAATTCCAATCATAACTGGTGCTTCCTGAAGACACCAACACAGTGGGTACATCCAGGTGTCTTATTACTGAATGAAAAACACAATCCTCCCCATAGACCAGCAGGGTGTCATAGAATTCTTCCTGGCGCAGTTTAAGGAGGAGATGCAGTAGTCCATCATCTATTTGGTTTTCGCTTTTAAAGGAGTTACCCAGAAACTGTGCTGCAATGTGTCCCAGACAGAGAAGGAATATGACCAGCCATGCCATTGTTTTTCCACAAACTGTTATTAGACAATGAGATACTTAAGCTCACTGATTGTTCTTTACAAATTGTTTTCATGTTTAGTACTCATTTTAGGTTTTTAAATATGCAGCAATTAAACTCATCTAAAACATTTCCAGCGATGTTAGCTTTGTAAAAGAATTTAAATAAAAATGTTTGGTGGAAAATTAATATTTTTCCATCGTTTAGGGGAAAAGCTTCCGTAGACATGCAAATGTTATATTTTTTTGACATGCACTTTTCCGCCAAAGCCCATTTAGTAAAATTCCTTGGGGAGTCTCGTTGAAAAGGCTTTATATTTGAATAATTTTGTACAAAAAAATATTAGCATTTAATTATAATAAAAAATTAAGTAATATTAGGTTAAGTTGTTAGGTTATGGTTACCTATTCTCGCAGCTAGAACCTCGAACAAAAAGCAAAAGATACTTATCACCATAGCGGCCAAATATATTTTCAGAATCCAAGAGATATCCTGAAGCAGAAGGCTGGCATCTAAGACTGTTGGCGGACTGAGATCTTTAAGAGGTGTAATGCCCAGTCTAACCATATCAAAGAAACTGTGGCTCTTCCAGTATTTCACCATACCAAACTCCTGCTGCCGCATCATATGATCCTCGAAGAGATGTCGATATGGAAGATACTTTCGCAATGGGATGGACATGAACAGCTGGCGAGAGAAGCACAGATCCTTAGCGAAGTAGAAAATGGGTTTCTTGAAGAGTTTCTGTTGCTCAGCAAAGACGCTCCAGCGATCTTCAGTTACTATATAACCATAGCTGATATTGAGGGTATCACGCAAAGTGAGATATTCCCTCCATCCATCAATAACAAAGAGATCTTCTTTGTTTATTTCTCCAAATTGTGAATTATTTGTTATTATCAGAGAAGTCATTTCGATTTCGGGAATGGCAATCTTCTGATGATATTTCCCAATATCCTTGAAGGTACGTATTTCATGATCAGTTGGGGGATTTGTGAAGAAGGACTGCAGGTAGGCATCATACATGGTGGTTATCATTATACTGGCAAAGCAAAGGATGCAAAAGATTATCTTTAGATGTTTACTCGCATTTGGAGGAAAGGGAAAGGATTGACCCAAAAGACCTCGTAGTGTTATGTCATTTAGGAATATGTTAGCTAGATCCAACTTCCGCCAAGAACCTTTCGGACTGTATATAAGTAGTAATGAGAGCAGGCAAAAGAGAACCAACATTATAACCAGAACTAGCCGGTCTACTATGATTCCATATACTCGATTAAAAGGCATCTTTGCTGGTACTGGGAGCATCAAGCAGTAATTTGTCAGCAAGAATGGATAACTTGCCGTATCAAGACCATTGGTGAGTACTGTAGCCTCCAGGAAAATGCCAATATCCAGCTCATCATTCTTCACCTTTCTTACTATATCTCTGAAGGTTACGTTAAAGCTCAGAGTTTCAAACCGCAAAGTAGCATTTATTTTCTGGGCAAAGTTATTCATCAAATTGGCCACAAATCCTGTTAACTTCCTTTCACGAGTCTTTTTATCCAAATAGACCATGGATCGGGGAGCTACTAGATCCGCCATTGCCATGATTGGCTTTCCGTGAAAATTCCTAAAGTTTTCAATGAAAATGGATTCATTTTCCATTAGATATATTTCTTGAATGTTTGGTTGTGTAAAAGAACGACAGGCGTAAATCTTTTGCGTCGTTTCAAAGTCTTCTCTTACCATAGCCACATTGTATTGCTCTTTTTGTGAGTAGCTTTCACACACAGAACTTGGTGCAGTATCTTTTGGTAAATAGATTAGACGTCTGTTTCTTTGCAGTTTAATTAGAGTTCGGTAGTTAACCTCCCTTTCCTCTCCTGGACCACAACTGAGTAACAAAGTTTGACTGTTGAAACCCCAATCAAAGTCAGTGCTTCCGGAGGATACCAAAACGGTGGGCACAGCCAAACTTCTGGATACAGAATGAAAAACACAATCCTCTCCATATATTAGCAGGGTATCGTAATTCTCACCCTGATGCAGTTGTATAAGAAGTTCAGACAAAGCTTCTGTGAAGTCTTTTTCCCTTTGAACTGTCACATCGAGAAACTGGCTTCTTGTCCCTCCCAGACACAGAAGGAGCACTGCCAGTCCAACCATAGTTTCCAACAAACTGTCTGCATATCATGAATGTTAACCCCGTTTTGTTCTGCCGTTCATTTAAGTACTTTACATGTTAAAAACCTATAAGAAAAACATGATTAAAGGTTGTAAAATTGGCCCCAAATATTTTTATAGCTCTGAAAACCTTCTGCAAGCTCTAAAACTAATTATATTTTCTCATGCACCCTCCCTGTTTTTGCAATTGGAAAATTAATAGCTATAAAGGTCAGGCGTAATACGTTTACTATTTATATGATGCCCTAAACGTTTTCAAATGCGACAAAAAGGTTTTCCTTTTACTATATTCAATCTTTTTTATTTATTAAAATGTTAACAAGTTTTGCATTGAAATTTAATAAAGATCTTTTTACCTTCTCCATAACCTCCATAGCCCTTTTAACCTTTCACCGAATCTGAACACCTCCAGAATAAAGCAACCAACACTTAAAGCTATGGCTCCATAATAAAGCTTAAGTATCCAAGAGATATCATCTAGCAAAAGGCTTCCCTGAAGCTTTTGCTTCTGACTAAGATCTTTCATGGATGCCAGGCCCAGTTTAACCATTTCAAGGAAGCTGTGGCTCTTCCAGAATGTCACCAATCCAAACTCGTGCTGCCGCATCATGTGATCCTCAAAGAGATGTCGATGTGGCAAGTAACGTCGCATTGGAGGACTGAAGAACATAAGCTGATTGAAGCACAGATCGGAGGCCAGATAAAAGGCGGGTTCAGCGAAAAGCTTCTGCTGCTCCTCGTAGCCGCTCCAACGATCTATAGATACGGGAAAAATAAAGCTTGTGTTGAAAGAGTCGCGCAATACAAGGTATTTTGACCAGTCTTCATAGATCAAGATGTTATCCTCTCTGATCTCCCGAAAGTGAGAATTGTTCAGGGAAGTAAGGACATTTACTTCAATCCGGCTGATGGCCATTTTTTGGGAAAAGTTTCCAATATCCCGGAAGGAGCGAATCGATGGCTTGGATGGTGGCTGAGTGAAATAGGATTGGAGGTACGCCTCGTACATGGTGGTGATCATAACGCTGGCGAAGCACAGGACAAAGATGATCAGCTTAAGGTGCTTGCTTGGATTGGGAGGAAATGGAAAGGATTGACCTAAAAGTCCTCGAAGGCTTTTGTCGTTTAACAGAACGTTTGCAGGTGTAAGATTCTTCCAGGATAAGTTTTGTGTGTAGATTATCAGAATCGAAAACACACACAGCAGGACAAAGATGATGCTGAGTACCTGAAGATCTACTATCATGGAATACACTAAGTTGTAGGGCAGTTTGGCAGGAACTGGAACCATCAAACAGTAGCTAGTCAGCAAGTAAGGATACCACACTGTATCCATTCCTTGGGACTGCAATGAACTGGCCAATGCCGTACCAATATCTATAATATCATCCTTTGCCCAGTTCATTATATCCATCATATTGGCCTTCTCCACTCCCAGCTCTTTTATGTTTACAAACTTCAGTTTGGCATTCAGCTTCTGAGCATAGGTGTTCATCAGGTTGGCCAGGTAACCCACCATCTTGGTCTCGCCAGTTTTCTTATCCTGATATACCATTGTCCGAGGGACCAAACTGTCTGGCACTGTCCTAATCACAGCTCCTTGCATATTCTGAAAGTTCTCTATATAAATGGGTTGGCCTTCAAAGAAGTGTTTCTCTTCGTGGTTGGGTGTCTGAAAGAAGCGACAGGAGTAAATGATATCCGACTGGTAAAAGCTAGACTTGACCATGGCAATGTTGTGCTGCTCTTTCTGGGAGTATTTCTTACAAATGGACTCTGGTTCGCTAGTTTCTTCTATATAGATCAACCGTCTGGCTCTCTGCAACTTAAGTAGGGTGTCTGGATTCTCCTCCTTCTCTGCCTCAGGTCCACAGGTCAGTATTAAGATTGAGGTACTGAAACTCCAGTCATAACTGGTACTGCCTGAGGCTACCACAACTGCGGGTTTTCCTAGGTTTCTTAAAACCGAATGGAACACACATTCTTCTCCATAGACGAGCAGAGTATTGTACTCTTCTTCCAAATTAAGTCTTAGAAGCACTCGAAGTAGTCTCTCCTCCAACTCCAATTCTATGGAATGAGATGCATTTAAGAACTTGGCACTCAACTGGCCAAAGCAGCAGAAAACCAGGACAAGCCATCCCAGAGCCATCATGAAACTGTTGGTAATCCTCACTAAACGAGTCCTTTTTATTAGCCAAGTACAAGTATATAAACTACTCAATTTGAAAGGTATTTGTAAACCGTGTTTGAAAGTGCATATCAGGTTATCATGCAATTTCCGTGTTTAACACATTTCGTCGTCGACCTATGGCAAGGCAATTAACGGCTGCACTTTAAAGTGTTTGTCTGACATTTATGCGGGACATGAGATTCATTTAGCCGAGAATGTCTCCTCCTGGGGGCTAAAAGAGAAAAAAATATGTACATATATGTGTATGGCCTTGTGCGTGAGATTGCCCCATTTGAATTTCTCGAAAGGCCTTTAACAACTTCCGCTGCAACTCGAAAATGAACTCGAACAGCACAGACCAAGTGCATTCCCATTTCGATGCATGTTTTAAGAGGCGCTGGGAAGACAGACAATTCGATTGCTGAAACGAAATTTTCCGGCAATTTAAGCCAAGTCAAGCTCATTGCATTCGATTTTGTGACTTAGACTGGAGGGCAGGAGTAAAGTGGGGTGTGCTCCCGCATGGAAAGTGTAGAAACGCAAACATTTCGTTTTATGCTCTTAATTGCAGTGCAAGTGGATTTCAATTATTCAAATGAGGCGTCGCTTCCCCGGCATACAGCTGCACTTCCGAACTGCAACTGACACAAACTGGTCCGTTCGCCATGCGTTTTTTCGTTTTTTGGCCAACAAACCAGATTCAAATCGGATTGAAGGGGGAATTCGATTTGGAGAGGTGAAGACCAAGGCAAAGGTATGGACATAGGCATAGGCATTGGCGACACTGAATTTCTTCTGCTTCATCATTGACTGCCTGGCGATGATATCGCGGCTTTATCTCTTTGGCCTGCCTTTTGCCATTTTGCTCTCCGCGACGTGAATGACGTTTCAGCGAAAGTTGTTACGTTACCATCGACAACCAGCACCGAAAGCCTATGCAAAACCGGTCGGTCATTGATTTTTGGTTACTGCAAATTGTCTGGCCATGACCAGCTGTGGAGCACAACTCATCTCCGCTGCAACTGCAACGGCAACAACCAAACGAATGGCAAGCAAAAATACTTGGTTGTCACTTGTTGTCTTCGGTCTACACTGCGTATACTTGATTTGTCTATAATGGCTTTTGTGCGTGCAATTGTGTGGCGAATTTCGATGTTTATGGGCGGTAAATGTGTTTACATTGCCAACCAGTTGCAGTGCCAGTCGCACATTGTTCAATATATCTCAAAGAAAATATTTTCTTAATAAACTTTACTTTTACTTCAAAGGTAGCCGATGAAGTCTCCGCGATTGGTCACCTATGCTGTGTTATTTAATGGTCTATGTTTTCTTAGAAACACTAAGCCAGTTTGTTAACCATTTTGTAATGATTTTACAAATTAATTTTGTTTTTTATTATGTGGTTGATTTACTACTCTGACTTTAAAATTGCAGTTTTTCGTGGAAATACAAAATAAAGGAAACTTAACAGTTTCCTTTTTGCTTTTCTTAAATTTAAAAATAAAATATTGGTATACATATCCCTCCTGTTTAAACTTGTAATTTACCTTAAAATTAATTGTTACAAAAATATTAAAATGATTTTATTGTTTATTTGTAAAACAGGTTAGTATAACTTTCATAATGTTTTTGTTTTAAGCTAATGGTTACTAATTGTTTGGTGTTAATTAAGTCAAATTTGCACGTTTTTTGTTTGTAAAAAATGTTGTAACAGCTTTAAAAATGGAAAAGGTATTAGCATTGATAAAAAATAACAAGTATCTTTGGAAAACTTGTTACCTTTTCAGGTTTTACAAGCAAATATTTCTTAATATTTCCAGTTTGATTGAGCTGAAACAATATTTAAACTTTCTGTTTTTCTTAAACAAGCATTTGGGTTGTTAATAAAAATGTTAAATATATATTATATTATGTATATATAATCCCAATAGGTTAAAACAATTACAAGTTAAAGCTCAAAAGAAGAAAACATACTTCATCGATTCCGAACTGCATTAAATTTGCCCCACTGACCAAATTTATGTTTATCGCTTCAGAACGGCTTATTATGATAATTTCACAAAAACTGGTTGCACTTCCTTTCACTACCTACTCTTTTGTTTGGCCTGTCAAAAGTGGCTTGTAATCCAAGGAGCCATAAAACAAGGGCCAAGAGCCACCGAAATCTGCACAAGCTGTTCATTAGGTCTTCGATTGTGCTTTTTGTTTTTGGGCCACGTTTATTTTTGTAAGCCCGGGCATTGTATTTTTGGCGTGGCTCTCTTAATGTGCCCACTTTTGGGTTTGTTTGTTCGACATTTTGCCGGCGATTTTAACACACATTGACCAGACAGCTGGCGGCACAATTTCGGTTTCATTACGAGCTACTCTCTTTCATTTCCTCCTCTGAAGCATTTGCCATTGAAGGTAAAGTTGGTGTTGTTTTTCTGCCTGCCTGCCTGACTGCCTGGCATCCAGATTCACTTTCGTTGCTTTTGATTGAGAATGCTTGAATCTGGGTATCTTGTATCTGGTATCTTCAAGTTGAACCATGAAAATCCACCACGAGGTGAGAGGGTCCCATCTTCAGCTGGCAAAGAGATCGCAACTCTCTCGGCCCGTTTCTCTCTTTCACTGGCTTCGTCTTCGCTATGGCCAAGTTGCTGGCCGCAGTTGACTTGAAGTTTCAGTTACAATACGGCAGTGAGTCGGCCTGGTTGCGATTCCCACAATTGCTCCGCGTGTGTCTCCCCAATTGCGAGTATATATCCTGATTCGCGTCCAAGGATAATCGCCAGAAAGAGTGGGTGCAGTGCTAGATCAACTATATATATAATATATATATTTAAATTCAACGCGAGAGTGCTTATTAAATATAGTTTTGATTTTCAGCAACTGTTTTGCCAAAAGGAATCGGGATTTAAGTAGCATCCTGTCGCAATGAGAACCCTGCCATTTTTGGTAAGCTATTTTCAACGTTAAATGGTTATTTATGTAATAAAAGGGTTTGGTCATTAATCTTAGAAGGTGTCATCGCTGGCTTGACCTGCGATCTGCGACCTCTTCCCACATTGTTGACATTGACAAATCGTGTCATTCCATTACTGGGCCCCAAAACAAAAGTAAGCGAAGTAAGCCAAGTGTAAATTGCCTTCCGGCTGCCGCTACTCCAACATTTTAACTTGGCACTTGTTACGCGAAGAAATGTCTGTCTATCTCATGGATCTCTTTATCCATGCGATCCGCACATGTGCGGATTTGCCCAGCAAATTGTCCCATTGTTTCCACGACTCTTGTTAGCACTGCCATTGCCTGATTTGCACATTTCCCTGAAATTTTTTCTAACAAATTCCTTGGCCTTTAATGTCGGCAAGGGGGATTTTCTACCTACAATCTTTTTTCTTCGGAATTTTTTGATGATTGATTGAGTGATTTTTCCTAGCAGAGATACAAGACAACAGGCTTATAATGATGTCATAAAGAGATATGGAAATTAGTAATGGTGTTTTTAGCAAGACTTGCTTTTGATATTATATAACAAAAATCTTGTTAGGGCCCCTTCTTTTTCTGGCATTGAACCCTTTAAACTGGTAAAGGAATCACTTAATAGTGTTGCTTATGGAAAACATTATTAATCACTTTTAATCTCACAAAATGATTGATTTATGAGTGACTTGAAATGCTTTAAGTCTTAACCGAATATCACCCACATTTTTGGCTCACAAATTTAGCTCAGTTTTCACTTTTATTGTATTGCCCCTGCAATTTCTCGATTTCTCTTTATATTTAATGCTACTTTTCACAGAATTTAAGTTTGCGTTTCCTGCTTGGTTTCAATCTTTTATTTTCTCTCAGTGCATCTCATTATTTACACAATCATATTCCTTTTGCAATATGGAATTACATGCAATCAGCCACCTGCTGAAGAATCGAATGGGGCAGTTGCTGGCTGCGCTCATTTAACATCTTCTTCTGCATCATCAGTAAAATCAACACGAGATCTCCGAGAGCATATAGCCAAACTGTCCTCCTTTCGATCTCAGTCTTCTGTCTGTCTGTGTATTTCGTCTGCCTTTCAAAATCGAGGCGCCAAATGGCCATCAGATGTGGCTTTTGCAAAGATGACTTTAAACTTTTGCAGCCGAAAATCCCCCTGATGATCATTAGCAACTGCCATTGCTATTTGGATCATCATGACGTGTGTGGATGTGTAACCTTTACAAAACGACGTGTAAGTGGCTTCGTTTATTGAACTTCTTTTCTGTTAGCCAATGTATACATCTTCGTTCAATGCAATTCCAAATAAATGCCAAAGTGGAATTGGCCCAGAAAGAGTAATTATTTGTGATTGTTAAGAAAGAAAAGTAAGACTACGAACGAGTATTTCATGGCTAATTTTCAGGGCAAATGGAAAAGAAAATGCTGATTGTCATTGGGGGGAGGGAGGGCACGTTTGAGTCAAGAAGAATGAGCTTTCGGTTTGGGAGGCATTTGGCCAGCGGCTATTCACGACACCCATTGACTTCAGCACCTGTTGTGATTTTCCCCTCGCCCAAAACTAGTGGTTGAGTTCCCCAAATAGGCCGAGGCTGAGCATATTTTAATATGCTGCACGCATGCAAACTGTCCATTTGGCTGCTTTTGAGTGTAGAAAGTTGATTGGATTTATTTTGTCTTTCGATTGGGATTGGGATTTGGATTTTTGATTTTGATTTTGATTATTATAATGTATCTCGATTTTGGCAAGTGCAGCCCTTGCCACTTTTATTTTTGTATAACAAGGAATGCACCTTTCACTTCTCATTCAATTATTTCCTTGCTGCCATCGAAAGATGCTCAGTAAAACTAAACAAAAAAATAAAGGAAAACTTTTGCAATGGAAGACGAGTTGCCAGTGGCCAGTTTTTGGCTTTTTTGGCGGACCAACCAGATGTGAATGTACCAAAGATGTACCATCAGCGATGGCGGCGACACACGAATTCATATTTCGGAATGCGGTTTTCGACCGCAGACAATTTTCTGTTTGGCGCGCAATTACAATGGACGAGTACAGGTACAGGCATCCGCAATTCGGTGGTCATCGTGGTTGCTTTTATATATTTATTTAATTAAATGTTGCTCAAGGGGCCAGCATCTTGAACTGCACAGGCAACGCATGCACGCATTCTCCATTCCCTCTCTATGAATATTAATGATTAGATGAAATTGGTCGGATGTCGATTAGGCAGCCTACTAATTTGTGGCGTTAACATATTTGGGGTGCCTCTTAATTATTTGTCTTTTCCCCGACATTGAGATAGGGCGAAAGAGAGCATTACGTAATGAATGAGGTCGTGAATGCGGCCAGAGTTCAACGTTGGTTCCGGCTGGTTATCAGCCAACCTGACGACCGATCGAAGTTTTATTTTAATTTATGCGAGCTTTTTACTTCGACGGTCTTACAGATTGTTTATTTGATTTTTATTTATTTTATGCAACGACCTTGCTCATCGCTTAGCTCGTCACCGCGGTTAAGTAATTAAAAAAAAAGGGAAGACATAAAAATAAAACAAAGAAACAGCGCCTGCCACTGACCGCCCTCAACAGAAATGGGTTTTGTGGAATTTGGAATTGGTTAGTTAATTGGGATTGTATCATTTGATTGGTGGCTAAATTAGGATTTACCTTTCATTTCAACATGGCCGCAAGACGAGCCTCGAGTTCGTTGCCTAAGTCTTTTGTTTTCGTCTCCTTTCGGTGGCAGTATCTATAAACATATTTGCAGTGGCCAATTGTTTGGTAGCCACCATAGGTGTTGTGCCTGGTCACTCGTGTCTTACCAGCTAATTTGCTTGATTTGTCGCCGTTTGCATAACCTGTTATTGTAGTTATTGTTGTCACTGGCAATACGCAATATTTGTTCGATTGCCTTTCAATTTACTCATTACTCGGTAATTTGCAATTGACACATTGCAGAAATTGCACAAATGACAGAAATATGAAATGAGTTGCAATGCTCAAATTGCAATTGAGATCTCTGGATACTGTCCCTCTTGGTTTCTTATAATAAGGAAAAGTCGAGAGCTCCCTCAGTCGAGATCCCTTTTGGAGTTTGTTGTTTGGACAACTTTTACATTTGTTTTCTGTCGTGCATTGGATTCCAAGCTATGCAGCTGCCCCCCTCCACCATCTCTCTATCAAATCTGGTCGACAGTAGTGGCCATTATGCAGATCAGTTTGGCTGGCGGGGCTCACGCACAGCGTTCCGACCCGCCAAGACCGCTTCCCACACCCGCTGCTCATCTTGCACGGGGCACGCACACGAAATGTTGCCACTTGTCGTCGCAGGTGGACCTTCTTCTGCCGGCTAGCTTTCTCGGGGCCAATCCATGTCATGCTGAGCTATACACAGGAAAAATAACAATAAAATTGATCGTTATTTGGGTTTGTTTTCACACCCAAATAGAGACTTTCTTAGGCATATCAGCGGCTTGTTTTACAGATTAACTTATCTTTGTAATAACATGCAGCATGAGTTTTATTTTTCATTGGGACATTTAGCTTATCGTTTGATATAGTAACTAATCTGTTGACAAGTGGATAAGCTATATAATGGATAGCTCTCCACAAGAAATTAAAAAGTAAACAATAATTTAAGGTTTGTACAACCAATTATTATATAAACAAAACTTAAAGATTAATAGCAGCTGATTTAGATTCCAATTACTAGCTGTGATTACAAATTGAATTTCAATTTGCGGCCACTCTTTAAAGCACTTAGTTAATTTTATTGGAATGATTTAGCATAAATATTTAATGAGAAATGTGATGAGGTTGCCGGCTTGAAATAGTTTTCGTTTTGAATTTTTTTCTCCCTGTGCACTTAACCCGCCGAGAGAAGCAGAGGAAGAAGCAGCATAAAAACACTTTCATTTTTCATTTCATTTAATAATTCATCATATTTCACCTTTTGTTTCTCCCGGCCGTCATCGTTTTGGCGTTATCTGAAGCGCCTTTACCAACTCCCCTCCGCCCCCTTAAAAATGGTTTATAGCCTGGTCCACATTTTTCCCAACTGGCGTGTCGCTAACTTCCGCTTTTCGTTGGTCGTATGCCACTTCTAAGCCACAATGACGGCATAAAAAACGATAAATGTTTTATTTTCGTACATGGGGGTTTTTCTTACACCATTTAGTTCGGCTCAGCGAATTTGAGGGGGCTAGATGAGGAGTGATCTGTGTGCTGAGCAAAGCTCGCATGCCAAGTTTGTCGCTTAAGTCTTTCGTTTGTTTTCGCAAGTCTCTCACATTTTCTACACCTCAATTTGAGAAATCACTTCCTTTCTTCATTCCTGTTGGTCGCGCTACAGTTATTCCATTTTGGACAGCTGCTGCTGCTGCTTGCTGGCTGGATTATGCAACCAGGGCCTGGGATTTAATTATAAGGATTTACCTGATTGTTGCCAATTTCGCGCGAAAACGAACGCGAAAGTGACGCATTATTTACATCCGCTCCGGTTTCTTTTCTTTCTCTTACTTATACTATATTTATGTATTTTTAGTTTCTTGGTTTTGTTTTTTTTTTTTGGCAAAAGGGGAAATGATGTCAGTTACGGTTTTATTACCGTCTAGCATCTAATGTTCTCAGACATTAGTCTTTGGCAACATTTGCATCACTTGGCGATGACTGACGTTTGTAACCACTCGGATAATTGGCCTGCAGACAAGTTGCGATTCTGGGCTAACTGCTTGTAAGTTGGTTCGCACGAAGATGACTTTCAAGTTGTTGGCCAGAATAATTGTGCCGTGTCACAGGCTGATTGTGGCTGCAATCTGCAATCTATTCACATGACAGACAGCCATAACAATGGCAGATCAACTGACATATATCATAACTGTGTATCATCAAGTGCAAGGGGCGTGGGGGGAGATATAACCATATAGCCAGACAACAAAGCAGGCCGAAAAAAAAAGAGTAAACACAATTTACATGAGAACTTCCCTGGCTATTTGTCAGTTGCAAATTCAGACAAGTTGTCGGCCAGATTTCACTTGGCCAATCTCGTCTCTGTACACCAACGCAAACACCAAAGAGGCATCTAGCGAAAAACCAACCGCAGAAACGTGCCAACCATCAGTTGTAGCTGCCACTTGGTTTTGGCTCACTTAGCCACATGCCACAAGTTGTTAGTCCTGTGGTCAACTGGTTAGCCATCCCCAAACTCCCATCCCATTTGCCAAGCCATTGCACAACAGCAGCAGTTAGAGAAGTGGCTGCCGTTGATTTACACTAGCCCACTAAATGCTTGCCAAAGATTTTCGGGTTTCTTCTGCTTTTTCATTAATAAATTTTGTGTCTTTTGCCCCGGTTGCGTAATTTTGTCTTTATTTTTTGGTTATTTTCTATTTTCTGTTTGACCAAAATGAAGGAAAACTCTTGGCTGACATCAGATTTATTGGCTTGTAAACATTTTCGTTATGTTAATGTGCGAGTTCAGAGCTGTTGAGTATTTTGGGGCTTTGGCTTGAGATGAATTTTGATGGCTTTTTGCCGAGTGCCATGGTGTGTAACTTTCTCCCATTGTTAGCATCTTTCTTTTCATGAACTGCTTTTTGGCTGTTCGCAGTGTCTTTTCTGTCTGTCTGTCGATGGTGATGTTGATTTGATTATTTCTTTCTTTTTTTTTCTTTCTGTCTTGTATGGTTTTCTCATATTTTGTGTTTGGCTTTGTTTTGGCAAATCTTTGACATTTGGCTATTGTATGTGGTCAGCGAAGTGTGTTGTTAGTGAGGAGCAGCAGCTGGACTACGCAGCAGCAGCTGGAATAGCACGACAGTCAAGTGGAGATGGCCATAGGTCAGTTAGATGGTCGGGTATGGTAATGTGACAGTTTCTTTGGGAAGTGACTGTTGGATAATCATTTTGTTTGTGTGGGCTTCACTGATTAGCATATGTGACGCGCAAAGGTTATGCCATAACCTCCTAAAAAGTGAGTGTATAGTGCAGAGCAGTGACATCACTGGAGCAGTCAGTAATTGCAATTAAAAGAGGCATCATTAAGCTGTCAAAATGTCTGCGTTAAAACTGTGAAAACAAAGGAACAGGCTGTCTACAGGGCTGTCAAAACACAATCTCACAGCTTCCGTTTTGACATGACACTTTGGACGCCTCCCTGCTATATCAAAATAAAAACAATGCGACTCCAAAAAGATGCCATAATCAGGCGAGACTACCGTGAGATTGCGCATACGCCACCGATCGACAACGAGCTCAACTGGGCCAAGCCAAAACACCCGATGATCTTTATGGCAGTGGGTAACGCTCATTGTCCGTCGAGTGTGTATTATTTTCACTTCACTTTCTGCTCGAACATCAGCCACCAGCCATCAAAATGTGTTATACCCGCACTCGTACTTAAATTATATAGATACAAATCAAATGTCAAGCGCCCACACACGTATATATACTATACACTACCGATTCCGTCTGACATTTGCAGTCCAAGTGCAGTTTGGAAAGTTAAAGTTTTTTGGTGAAAAATTCAAGACAGAATTGAGTTTTCCTCTTGTATGAGTGTGTGAGATACGTTTGGCATTTTTGCGTGGGCGTGGCCAGAAAGCGGCTCCCGCGGTCAATTGAAATTCGTCGCCGCACTTCAGGGCAACTTTCACGGCTAAGCCGGCTAAGGCCGTGCAACGTCTTCCGCCTGGCTGGATGACTGATGATGACTCAATGGCCCCCAGTTAGCTGATTAACCGCATCGCGATATGCCAAATTAAAAGGCGAAAACCGGGCCGAAAATGAAATGCTTGAGGATTGGCTTTTGCCTTGCCTTTTAACCCATCAAGTTGGCGGTTTGTCAATTCTTCTGTGGTCAACAACTCAATTCCAGCCTCTCCATTTCATTTCCATCTTTAGCTCAGCAGCCTCAACTTGACATTGACCCAATGCTGAAAAAGTGAAAAAAATTGGACAAACACATCTACAATTTTGCTGAGCTAATTTGTTTTTAACTTCGTTATGTTCGAGTTTATTGCGTTTATAATTCGCCTTTTTTGGCATTCACCAATTTGTTTTGCCATCTTCTATTTCGGCCGGTAAAAGTTTTTGTTTTTTTTCTCGTTTTTTTGGTCTTTTGTCGGGGTCTCGACCTTGTCCACAAGAAATCAATTAAAATATTTGTTTCCAGGAGCCATGTGTTTACATGGCAGTTGGGTTTATCTGAAAGATTTATGGCAACCTCTAAGATGGTTTTGCCTTCCCAACATTTTCCCCCTGAATAAATTTCGCTTTTTTGAGAGCTCAGATTAGTATCTCTGACTATGGCCTAATCGTACAAAATTTGAGTTCCACGAAGTTTCAATTAAAATATTTTTGGCACCAGTACTAATCCTCAACTTTCTATTAAATTTGCAGTTGGCGTTGACGCTGTTGGTCATTGGAGCCATAGCCACAGCCTCATCCTCTAGCAGCACCAGCACCACAACCTCGGTGAAGCCAAAAACAGAGACCAAGTCAGAGAAGCCCACCAAGCAGCCTTCGGCATCGGCATCGCCATCGTCCAAGGCCACAACCACCACCTCCACCACCTCCACCACCCGCCAATCGAAAGCCTTGAAGCCGGGCGACAATCGTGGCAAGAGAACGCTCTATGACTTTGGAAATGCCGGCTATCTGTATCCGGAAGTGGCTTCTCGGAGAGCGGGCTATGTGGACAACACCGCAAGCTATTATCCCCAGACTGGCTACTACAATGGCCAAAATGCAATTGGTAAGTAAGCCAAAAAGATGTGGTTTTCATTTTCACAGATACTAATGGAAACTAGTTGGAAAAATGGCAATCGTTTAAAAATAATTGCTAATAATACAAGTACTAACCAAGTACTAGTGCTTAAAGAAAAATGCGTTAAATTTGTATCAAATTCTGTGAAAGTGAAAAGTAAAGAGAAATAATTTCTAATTAATTCAACATTTCCTTATTCCAGCTCAATATCCAGGCAACTTTGGACCCGCCTATGCTCAATATCCCCAGTATCTGGAGGCTCCCGAGCCCATCATCGAGATCATCATCAAGGATGCCAATGAGACCTTGGCCGAAGAACCACCTCAGCCAATTGTGACCAAGAAAAAGAAGAAGAAGGAGAAGGTGCACGTGTTCTATGTGAACTACAAGAAGGATCAGAACAACAAGTTACATCTAGAGTCCCCCATTGCCTCCCTGAACAACGATGATAATGAAGAGGAAGAAGAAGAGGAAGAGGTCATCGAGTATCCAGTAACACCCCTGCCCCCTGTAAAGTCAACCACTCTCCGTACAATTATCCATCCGGACTCTGAGAAATATCACAGCAACTCCGGCATTCATGTGTCCTTTGGAGCTGAGAACAAACACCAGACTGGACACATTCTGGAGGAGCACGATGCCGAGAGCATTCAGCGTCAGGTGGTGGCTCTACCGCCTTCGGTGTCCGCCAAAACAGAGGGAGGATACATCAGTAATACCCGAGCGGATTATGGACGAGAGAACAATTTTGGCAGGGGACCAGGACCGGTTTCCAATCTCCTTTTCGGCAGCAACTATCAACAGTCTGGCATTAACTACCAGCAGCAACAGCAACAACTTCCCACACAGCACAGCAACAACTACTTTAGGCCACCAGCGGCTCTGGTGGGTCCTCCTCCCAGCTATCCCAAGCCAGCACCTCAGCAACAGGCCCAGCAGCAACATCGTCCCAGCATCACTCAGCAGCAACTGCCCTCCACTTCCTCACAGACCATTTTCAATAAGTTGGTGCAACAGTCGCAGTACTACATCAACCACAATCAGCAGTACCCGCAACAGCAGCAGCATCACCAGCAGCAGCAGCAGCAACAACATCAGCAGCACCAGCAACAGATACCGCAGCAACATCTACAACAGGCACCACAGCAACAGCCACTGCAGCAACAGCAATATCAAAAGCCTCCACACAAGCAGGTCCAGGTGCCATTCTTTCCCACAATTCCCCCAAAAACCGTGACTCCTGCGCCTTATCAGCCCGTCAAATTCCGTCCTACACCAGCACCTGTATCCCAAGTGAAACCTCTTCCTCTGCCCGTTAAGCTGGACAATTCAAACTACCAACAGCAGCAGCAACAACAACACTATCAGCCACAGCAGCAACAGAAGTTGCCGCTGCAGCAGCAATCTTTCCAGTTCGTGCGTCAGCCTCAATTCGTGCAACAGCCACAGTTTGTGGTGCGATCTCCCACTCCACCGCCAGAATATTACACTCAGCAGAAGCAGCAGACACAGCAGCAACATGTCCAGCACCAACATGTACAGCAGCAACATATTCAGCAGCAGCAACACACCCAGCAGCAACAATCCCAGCAGCAACACTCCCAGCAGCAACATCTCCAAAGCGGACTTAACTACTTTGACATTAAGCCTTCCAAGGAGACGGAGTTGCTGAAGTCCATTCCTAAGTTCGAGCAGCACATCACCGAGACTGTCCAGAATCCCATTGCTCAATCGCAACAGCCACAGCAGCAATATCAGCAGCAATTTGCCTATAGCAGCACGCGGAATGAGGTGATCCATGATGTTCCTGCTCCCAATTTGGGACCCACAGCTCAGCAACCCATCTCTGGTCACTACATCACGGCGGGCTCATCGAACTCTCAACTTTCTCAGCAGCAATCTCACTTCTCCACCTTTCCTAGTATAGCTCCATCACAGCCTCCCGTTTACGCTGAGTCCACTCATGGCCAGAAAGTCATGGTGGTGACCCCAGTGCCCCCATCCTCCAACTATGTGACCTATAGCCAATACTCCCAGGCTGCCAACGAGCCGGTTGTCCATGTCAATGCCCAATCCGCTGCTCTGCAGGCTCAGGCCAGCACCAACTTTGCCCAACAGCCCAGGCAGCCAGCTTCCTCGCTGATCAGTGCCCCATCTACGGATAACTCTCCCTTCAGTGTGTCCACCTTCCACTCGGATGTGTTCAAGGAGCTGGAACAGCGCAACCAGAAGAAGGATAAGCAGACGCCACAACTGGTGCAGCAACAGGCTACCAAGATTGCTGCAGCTCCAGCTCCGGTTCCAGTTCCTGCTCCCGCTCCCACTTCCACTCCTGCAACTTTGCCCAATGGCAAGGCCTCGCAGACCCTTCTCCAACTGCCCGACGAAGTGCCTGATGATCTTCGCCAGCAGCTCTTCTCCTCTGGAATCTTGAACAATGCCGATATCTCCATCTTAGACTACGACAAGCAGGGAGATATCGCACTGGAGAATCTGCCCGCTGAGCATCTGCAGCATTTCTACGGAGCTGGTGGTGGTGCCCAGATTGCCGAGACTAAGAAGGTTTTAACCGTGGTCAAGCCCAATGGCGATAAGGTGGCTCTCAGTGAGAAGCAACTGGACCGCGTCAAGCAGAGTAACTCCCTGCCCCAGAAACAGGATCTCGATGTGAAGGTGGTGCGCTATGATGCTGCTCAAGGTCAAAGTGTGAGCGATAAGTACGTGCGCACCGATGCCACCGTCGTGACGCCAGTGGACTTGGCTGAACGCCAGCAGTACAACCGGTACCTCCCCTTGAAAATCAACGGAGCGCAGTTCCCGATCCCCGACAGTGAGGAGCTGGTGGGCAAGCGAATTGTCAGCGTGGTGGTCCTGGCTCCCGTGGAGGCTCAGAACCAAGCACAGGGAAGTAGTGAGGCTCGTAGTGCCGATGGCAAGGAGGTCAAGTTCCTGGGCGGTGAGCTCATCAAGACGCTTGTGAAGAAACCCACTAAGGATAATTTTAAGCGCTGGCTGGAGAAGGAGGCGCGAACGGACTTGGAACTGCAGTCCGTCGTCTTGCTGGTGGCCAAGTGAGTTGATAACCATCTTATTTAGAGTTCCAAACTAATCTTTTCCCCCTTCCAGATCCACCGATGCATCTGCGGAACAAGAGATTTTCATGTACGACATTGCAACGGGCAGCATTAACCGCCTGAATGGAGAGCTCTCCAGCACGTTTGTCAACGTGGCCGAGGAGAATGCCAGCAGCGAGGATCTGGAGCACGCCGCCACCTTGGACCCCAGTTCGCTGGAGTCCATGATGCATCTGCGCCGCAGATAGACATCGCGATCGAGTCGAGTCGCCGCAGTCCACAACAAATGCCATTTAGCTACTCAACTAGACATGATCATCGTGCGCCCCTGAACAACCCCTCTTGACTTTTACTCCCCCCTTAGTTTTTTTTTCTACACTTTCCTTACTCTCTTTCCTCAGGTTGCACATTTTCCACTCAAAAAAAAGAAACTCGTTTCATAAATCACGGCATTGCATCCAATCCTCTTGTAGTATTTCCATTTTGTAAATATTCTATGCTGATGTTAAAATTATAGTAATTTAAGTTAATTTACGTAAAAATATTAAAATAAAAGAAAAAGAAAATTAAAAGTAATTGTGGTTTTAATGGATGTGAACAATTTTAAAATATTAGGATTTGGCTGTTTTTTTTTAATAATTTAAATACAAAATTTGTAAATTAACAAGTCTGCTAATTTTGGAGAAGTTTCTCTACATACTTTCTACATGCAACTATGTTTGAGCATCTAAAAAATTATATCACAAAATCAGAAAGATTTTTTATTAAATTTATATTTAACAAAATAGAACATTTTTTTTATCGGTTTTACGTTGAATAAATATTTTATTACTTTAGATGTCAAATGTAAAAACAAGTTACGTAGTCAGTAAGTAAATGTAAGTTACACACGTTAGTAACCAAGACCATTGACAGCGCCACTGTGCATGTAATAGGCAAGTAAAGTTTGTGTAAAATAGTATTTACTACAAGATGCTTTAGCAAAAGTGCAACAAAGTAATATTAAAGAATATAGTCGTGTGATCAAGAACAAACTCGATAAATAATAATTAAAAAGTTCTAAACAATAATTTCCATCTAAATCAAGGCCCGTTTTCGTTGTTTACCAATTCGTTGAGATCGATCTGTGAATCGAGGGCAATATCGGTTCAAGCGGACACCTTAATTTGGGCCAAGGTTAGCCGGTGGCCACCGCAGTCTCCGCGATGCTTGCTGAGCAAGAAGTTAAACGTGTCTCGATAGCAGGACAAGATTTTGCAGCGCCCACAAATCACACGCATACGTGACCCAGCTATATAGCCGTATATATATTATATATGCACCGATATCTGATCTGGTCCACGGCGGTAGACGTGACTAGAAGCTGTCAAAGAGAGTTGGTCAAAAGAGGCTTCTTCTCTTAGGCAACTAACGCTCTGACTCTCTCTTGTTGTCTTGGCTGGTTGTTTTGACGTGTTTTTTTATTTTGGGCATGGCTTATACCACTTGGTAGGTGCAACAAGTCGCTGCGACTATAATTACATGCAGTTTATTTTTAGCTTCGCAACTACGCACGCCAGCAACAACAGCCACTATAGTTGGCTGGCCCGGCAGCAACTTGCAACTAGCAACAAGCAACCAAAAGCAGCAACTAGCAACTCGCAAGTCGCGTAGACTGGCAAACGGCCAAATGCAGCGATAACAGCACAAAAACTGCAGTACATACTCGTAAAAACGAAGCCTGGTTTTTCACGTTGGCCAAATGTATATACATATATACCGGCTAAATTGGCACTGCTGTTGCCAAGAGTGAGTTGTTTCACTTCGGGAGGGAGATACGACGGGTCGGGCAATCCGTTTTGAATGTTTATTTGACTTATGCAATGTGCGAGCGTTTTTCAAAATATGTTCGTTGTAAGACAAACAAAGCTATAGACTTTTGTAAACGACGGGAAAGTTGTTAAATCTTCGAGAGATTACTGGATATGTATCTAGTAATAGGAAAAGGCAATGCACATATCCAAATATTAATGTCTTATTCAGTTGGTTGAAACTAATATGCAATCTTAGATCTTAACATAATTCTGTAGGTTTTCTCCTTTAGCCACTTCATACGATTTAGGTATTACCAAGTGAAAGTGTATGCTAAGCCAATCAAATTGCGTTTTGCCCTCTTAATGCTTTTTATATACGAATAAATACATCTAGAATCCATTTTTATTAGGTCACATAAAGTTAAAAATAAACCAATTTGTATTGATTTCCTCTGACAAGGCCAAGAGATCAATGCTTCGTTGCCAGAAATCCCGTGACCTAAAACTTGCATCTTGTTGCGCTGATTTACAAAATATTTCAGGGATCAACGGGGGCTTTAACCCACTTTTCGAGTCAGTTGGCCTTGGCAGAGCGGGTCCTGTCATCTGGTTGGGCTTAAGGTAAACTCCAATTTGGCCAAAAACACACACACACCCATATGCAGATACACATGCACACGCCCACGGGGAACATTTGGCATGCATTCATCTCGTTGGTTGGAAATGTATTTCGTGCTCATCCCTTTTGACACATGTTGTTTGAACTGCTTTCGATTTTTTCTTGTTTTTTTGGCTCACTCGAACGAACGAACGAACGTCTTTTGCTGTAATTTTCGCATTCTGTCTCCCACACATCCAATGCGTCTTACTGATTTTTACGATTTTTGTTCCTTTTTTTATTCTCGTTTTTTTTTTTTGCACACTTTGTTCTGTTCGCATATCGACTTGACTCGTTTCAAAATTGGGTTACAGACCCCCGCTACCAAAAAAAAAAGCTGAAGGAGAAGAAGAGGTGATGAAGAAAAAAACAACAAGAGGGCCCGCAAAAAATATAGCACACGGCCACAACAACAAAGACTAAGGCAAAAACATGCAAATGCAAAAATCCGTTTGACGCCGTAAGACCCGTGAGTCAGAGGAGAGCGGCAGAATTGTTGCACTGATTGCTCATGGCCTATGTTGTTGTTGTTATTATTATTGTAGGTGGCAGATGAAGGAGAACCTCTTCCCTCTCCCACAACCATCTCCCTGTTTCCATCCTTCTTCACGATTTCTCTTTTGACTTCTTCCTTGGCTCGTGTCTTTTTGTCTTTACCGTCGGTCCGCTTTGTTAGTTAAATTGCAGAGTTACAGTTGTTTACGAGCTTTGCACAGGAAGAAATATTGTCGTAGGTCAAAATCAAGTTAGATCTAATAAATCTTTTGCCTCACATTGTGTTAGCAATGATGAATTAATGACATTTAAATATTAAGCAGATTATGGATTACAACATAGGAATAAAAACCAGATTCCTAAAGAAATGTAATCATAACGAAACTTTAAATCTGCATAGTCTCAACAAATTTAACGATAAATAATCATTTATGTTTGGCAATAACGAAATTTGTTTCCCTTGGACACATGGCCTTTTGGAATTTATCTTGTAGAGCACTTAATTGAAATATAATATATATTACTCATCCGCCACGTTGTTGACATTGGCTGAAATATTAAATTTAATATTTATATTTTTAAATAAAAATTATTGGAATATATATTTTTTTAATTCTTATATTGGTGTATTTTTTCAACATAATAGTTAATAGTAAATATTATTAATAATTGAATCTATAGGTATCTTAAATACTTTTTTTCAGTGTAGCGTTTCAGTTTTATCACAATTTCAAGCGCTCTCCCCAAAGAGATCCAAAAAAGAGAGCAAGCTCAAGCTTCCGTGCTGGCTTCCTCTCTCTCTTAGTTTCTTTCTCTTTTTATACCTCTACGAATCTGTAAGAGATCGCCGGGCTTTTCGTCGGCAGAGCCATCGACAACGCCGTTGGGCTTCAAAGCTACGCTCAGTTCAATTCGATCGGCCGTCGCAGAAAGTTCGCGAGTTCGAGCAGAGCGGCGCACAGCGAAATAAAACATAGTAGCGTTCCAAGTCTTCGGCCCCCAGTCGCTGATGCCGAGGGCGGTGCAGAAAACTTGGCTCCTTTTTGTTGAGTCAAAAGAAAAAGAAACAAAAAGAAAAAGGGCGCGCGAGTGAAGTTCGGCGATTAACGGATCTTGTTCCTAGACGAACTAGTTTTAGATTGCGCAATTTTCTAGCCACAGTCGTGAAAAACAACTGTTTTAGTGCCCGTTTGCCGAGTGAAATTCGATAGCAAAAGGCAAAAAGTAAAGCCAAACGACAATTGGCGGCTATACAAAAATCAAAAGCCGTTTTAAAACCAAAAACAACAGAAGAAAAAAACCCACTAAAAAACCAACTAAAAACACAAATAAAAAAAATAAAACAAAAGCAGAGCAACATGGCGACCGCCGCCTGTGTCCGCTGCGCCCAACAACAACAACAACAACAAGTAAAGCAACAACAAAATGAGGCGCATGCGCAGCAGCAGCGACGCAACAGCCCGCGGATTCTGCACATTTACTGCGCGTGGGCGTTGATCACCCTCTTGGCCGCCAGCGCCGCCATGGTCCAAAGTGCAGCAGTCTTTGGTTAGTTGCAAAAATCAAAAAAAAAAAAAATTCAATATGTGCCTGGGAAATGTGCTTGTGGTGGGGGGATTTAATCAGGCACTGCATTGTGTGCAAACGGTGTGAAGAAAATGGGAGAAATGGTGAAAGGGTGGGAGGAAAAGAGGATGGGTTTAGGAGGATTGGGGAAAAACCTGGTAATTGAGGCGCCCCAAGTGCTCGTGGCTCTTATAATTACCGGATTCGAGGAATCGGTGCAAAGTATCGTATCGGGTCACAAGATCTGGCCAAAAGATGTACTTCCCCCCACACATTCTCACTAGCAAACACATACACAAGTTCAAGTCTTGGATTTCACTTCTCGTTATACAGTCGAACTTCTTTAGCTGGGACTTTCCCAAGATGAACTAACGGTACTTTTGAGAAAGTTAATAGGTATATTAAGTACCTAAATTTATAACGAGAAAACATTGAAAATAAATGAAATGTGATTTTTAACGGATTTTTAGTGTCTATTGGCTTTTGTTCTTGTTTTTTCTGGAAATAGGTTAACGTAGTCTGAAATTGAAACTTCTTTGGGAAAACAAAAAATGAAATTCCAAGTTCTAATTGACTTAAGTATAATCATTTCCCTTTAAAGTCAGTTTAAATGAAGATTACAAACAGTAATTTGTTTATTATTTTAAAACTCTTTTCTAATTACTAAGTTCCTTTTATACTTGCAATCAAAATTCTACTAACATGTTTGCAATCTAAAAGGTACAATCTTTTCCAGCAGTTCAAAACCAGAATGTAGTCTATTAGTATAACAAACTAGTTAAATCAACCCAAACAACCGCTTAAAAGTTCCCCCAAATACTAAGCTTAGTTTGCAGTTTCAGTTCTCGATTACTGACTGTAGTTAACCACTCTGCCTTTCTAATCTCTGCCATTATAGCCTCTTTTTTTAGTCACCCAACCCATATCCGTGGCTATAGAATATACGCGTTGTGAACCACTGTCATTTGTTGTGTGTGCCTTTAATTTTATCACCGATTTTTTGTGCTGTTTCTGTGCTGTTTGGGAAACCGGTTGCCGTTTGTCGTCCCCCACTCACTCGATCTTAACCGCATTTGACCGATCCCGCCTCGCACATGGTCTCGTAAATGATTTGGCTTTTAATTTCCATTGAAAATACCAATAGCGATTGCTAATCACCAAAAGTCCAAGTACTGATAAGCGTGAAGTCTTATGAATCAGTTTTGGCACGGATGGTCATAAAGAACGGGTAAAAGGGCTTACATTATGCGGAAGTTTTTGCGGCATGAAATTAAAAACGGGAAAAAACAATGTAATGTAAATAAAAGAAAATACTTTTTTGTAGTAAAAACTTGAAACAGAAAACTGAAAAACTGAAACTGAAAAACACAAAGAAACGGAGAACAGAAAATAAGAAAACGCAATCCAACCGCCAGACGACCTCATTGTCATTGAAATACAGTTATGGCTCGAACAAAGCGGCAGATTGGCAAACTTAACGTCTGGATCGCCAGCATTGCAACAAGGGGTTAAGTTTAATGGCAACATCTGAGAAAACCCGATGAGGTTGACCCTTCTCCAGAGAGAAAGTTTTGCATCAAAGCAGAAGTAGATCAAATGGTAGGTGATCTTTAGGATCTTAGATCAAATTAAGGGCTATTATGGGAAAGCAAAGAAGATTAGAAAGAAAACTTAATTAATAGTTTAAGTTCTATAATTTCATAAATATAGTGTTTCAAACTTAATAAATTGATTTAAAGTCGAGATTTAATTTATAGTTCTGAATAAAGTGTAAGGCTTAGATACGTTAAACCAGAACTTATACATAAGCTTAGCTTGTCATTATAGATTATTTATTAATCCTGTTGTTTGTTTATCAACTTGATATACATGAATTACCATTACCAGAAATCAAAGCGCGCGACAGTATCAAAATGTTATTCAAGTGCGGAGACCCGAGTTTCTCCCCCATTGCAAATCTAAATCGAAATCTAACGCCGAATCTTGATCTGGGGATAGTGTGTTTACTTTAACCCGAACTTTTTGGCTAGCACAACAAAACTGTCGAGTCGAAGAGCGTTATTTATCCAGTCATAAACATTCATATGTATATTTAGCCATGTACATGTTTGCAAACTGGTTTCCAGCTCTGTTTTGCCGTTGTTGCTGTTGCTGTTGCTGAATATCAAGTAGAATTAACATATGTTGCCAGCAGCCATCTGTGGATTGTATTCGAGAAGTTCTTCTTTTTGTTTTTTACTATATGGCTGCTGTGGCTGGAAGCTGCTTGCTATGCTACTCGAAAAGTCATCTGGGTTCAATTAGGCACTGTGCCACCCGTGGCCCACCCATTTTTCAATTTCAATTTGAAACTTTTTTCGTGTGCGAGCTAAAAAACAAGGCGATAAAGCATCTGCAATCGCTTAATTAAAATGCAAATTGTTCATAAAAAATGGCAATAGAAAATTGCTTAAGTACTCGAGTAGCAATAGCAATTTTGGTTCTTTTTTTTTTGCTTAGCACATTTTCAATACTCTTTTTTTAGCTGCTGCCAAGAACTGAAAAATGGGGCTTTGATTTATGTATATGCGGCCATTAGAAGTCATGTTAAAGTGGCTTCCGCCTCGACCCGCCTCCCGCCTCCCATTCTGCTGACTGCTTGGCCAGTTAAGCAGCAACAGTTGCCGTTAGGTCTGGCAATGTGTTGCACGCAACTGTAGTGGCAGCAAAGGCAACACAACATGCAGCAGCTGCAGCAACAAATGACCAGTTCCTTGCCATTCGAGTTGCCTGAATTCTTGTTTATTGTACAATTTATTTATTTTGTCGTTCTTTAGCTGGGCAAACAGACAAATTACAACGACAACAACGACAGTGGCCAACAGCAGCAGCAGCTACAGCAGAAGAGGCAACATGATGACACATTCGCTTGACCTATTAGGAAAATTGGCCAACGGGAAATGTAGCGCGCTGTCCAAAGCCAGCCGCACGTTCATTCGGATGGGTTGGGAAAGCGGGGTGAAGAAAGCTGGAGAGCAGAAAAGCGGGAAAGCGGGATAGTTGCAAGGCCAGATAAAGAGGCGTATAGAGACAGATACAGAGAAAGAGACAGGAACAGCGACAGAGAAAGAGATGGAGAAGGAGGGACAAGCACTTAACCCTTGCCATTCTGACTTTGATAGTTGACCCAATTTCAGCAGTTTCACAAATAAAAATAAAGCAAATGGAATGATGAGCAATGTTAGCAGGCGATCTAATGCTCTATACTAGGAAATGTTAAACTATTAATTAAGTTTTAAGATGATTTATTAGGTTAGTTAACAGTAGCAAAGCAAAAGAGAACCAATTATAGTGGTAAATTATAAAACTTTTTAGCTTAAAATTCAGTTTTGTATTTTTAAGTAAAACGATGCTTGTGTTAATTCATATAGAAATATTCTGAATTCTTGCTCAAAGTTCATTAGCATACGTCTTAAATAACCTGTATTCGAATGATAAAATATAATTATAGAATTTATGGAAAAGAATCATTCAAAGATTGTAAGCTTTTCCAAAGAAAAGAAGTTGAACCCTCATAGTGCCTGGTATGATAAGGGCCTTCCCTCGATAAATATTTTATAGAGCATATAGAGAAAATCAAATCCTTCCACTTGACTTGAAGATAACTTAACGATTACGTAATTCGATTGTGAAACAGTAAACCGAATCGATGAAGGGTTTACGGGTTTACGGGTTTACCCCCCATGGAGAAGAGTATAACAAACTGCACTTGCAGACTGTTTTTGTTTGTTTCTGTTTGTGCGTCAAGTGGCGTTCACTCCCTATATGTGTTTCTCTCTCTCTCTCTGTGTGTGCTTGTGTGTGTTTGCGAGTGTTGTGTAATTTTTAACAACAACTTTTTTTCGAGTGTCTCTCCATCGTGCGCTTTTACTGTTCCGCCCACCATCCCTTCCCCCCTCTTTCCACAAGGCAACCGGGCGTAATTATGACGAGTGAACAGAATCCACCATCCAGCATCCATCCATCCATCCAGCATGCAACACGCGTCCGCATCGCGTGGCAGCCACAGAATTTATTATGCCCAGTCGCCACTCGAGAAGCACAACTCAAAAACTCACAAAAAAAAACAAGGAAAATAGAAACCCTCAAACCCGCTTGACAATCTCTGCACGAGCAGTTGCAGTTTGCTCTTGGCCAAGTTCCGTTTTTGTCTAAATCTGAATCTGAATCTGAGTCTCAGTCCAAGTAACAGCAACAGCAACAACAACTCGAAACTGGCCCACTCAACATATAGGGGGACTGAGTCTGTATATAGCACTATATAACTTGTGGATCGGCATTGACTACGCATTTTAATGTGCCCTTTTCAAATTCAAGTGGCTGCTGCTGCTTGACCTACACACAGATATGCACGCACACCAAGAGCCAAAGATACACATTTCGAGATATTGGCAGATAAATAGAAGTACAGTGAGAGAAATGGTGGCAGTTCTTAAAGGGAATATTACCTACTTAAGATTTGAGATTTTCTTTGGATTACTAGAAAGTTTCTTAAGAGTTTTTAGGAGTTTCTTGGGCTCATACGTTGGAAAACTCTATAATAACCCATCCGAAAATCATCTTAATTTCTCTCAGTGCCTAACAGTTGCTTGTGAATGGTTTTCCATGTTTGTCTGTGAGTTTGTTTGTTGCTTTGTTAGCTGTTTGTCTTGATGTTTATCCGTTTAATCGCGTCTCTTAACCTGACCTTGCCCAAAACGAAAATGTTGCCGCCATTTCGGTTGTAGGTACAAGTTCAGATCTTAACTATGGTTTTTTTTTGGATAACACCGCCTTAACTTCCAGAGACTTGACTTTCCTCGGGAAAGCGTTCTGCTTTCCCAAAAACCCAAAACAAATCCGAAATCACCCGGTTCTGCTCTGAAAACGTAGACAAATTATTAACGGCATATTTAGTGAATAAAATTGGTTGGAACTGTGGTGTGGCCCTTTCTTTCTTGCCCGCTTGGCTGGCTGCCCAGATCGTAAACCCATTTCTCCATGAACACCCCCCTGCGTTAACCCCAAAAAGCCCAAGTTAACTTGTGTTTATTTGGTTGCCAGTACTTATGCGCTTTTAACCCAATTAGAGCACTCTGTTGGCCATGCGAAATGGGGGGACTTAATCATTACTTAACTGTATGGAATTCATTGTATTACAGTGCTAATGGCTTTTCAATCTGTAACAATTGCGGCTAATTGAGGATACTGTACGAGTATGTGGAAAGCTGAATGGGTATTATTATTATTTGTACAATTTTACTTAAGAACAACAACTTGAATCGATTACTCAAGTTGACCATAATTGGCATATAAAACTGACGAAAGCCTGTCATTAACCCGGCTGTAATGGGTGCATTTGCCCAAAATGATTATGATGATTGAGACTCCAGCACGTGCTGGCGGCAACTGGAACCCCTTTCGGCTATTAATGTCAAGTTCGAAATGGGAATTAGCTGCTAAATTGCACTCGAACTCGCATGAAAACTTATACTTGGGGGCACCCAAGTAAATGCAAATTGTTTAATAAAAAACTGTTTAATAGTTCGCTGCCAAAGCTGTGTGGCAATTGTTGAGTGGCAAAAAAAAAGAGCGAGGGCGGCTGAGAAGCAACAAAACAAACGATATAGTAAGTTGCAGCAACACACTGAGAGCTGGGGTAATAATATAATAATGGTGTACGAGTGTGTATATACACATGTGGTGCAGTCAGTGACCCAGAATATGAATGTGCGACCAACCTCTGGGGCACAATGCAAAAGTAGTTTTCCTCCACAGCCGCCGTTCGCTTATGTATTTCCAGTTTATTAATTGAAGTACTTAATAGTGGCTGTGTGTGAATCTTTAACCTTTTCAGGCGCAAAGTTCGAGATCGAGTGCAAAATAATTGAATGAAGAATATCTATACTACACTCGCCTACACACTTACTGGATCGCAGTGTGTGTTTTTAGGTAAAAGTAGTCATTCAATTATCATCGAATCCATTCGCATTAATTGAATTTCACGAACTGTGTTTGGTTTGGTTTGCTGTTTCATCACCAGAAACTGGAGGAGTCTCGTCCATTTTCCCCTGTCAATTCACACACAAATATTCCTATTTTTAGAGTTTACTTTTTTTATTTTTACTTTTTATTTTGTCAAGCTGTGAGTTATTTATTGATTGACAACTCGCGGATTTCGTCTGCATGCGATGCGTTTAGTTGGGATGATGGATATCGCATACAAATGACCACAAATCGCCGGCCATCAATCAGGCTGGTTAGTTTGATCTGGAAATTAACAGACCTCTGTGAATTTGAACTCAAGGCATCTGCTCCATTAACTGATATATTGACATCGAACTCTCCATTTCAGGTGATCTGCTGTCGCATCCAACATTCAAGCCGCTGTGCAGCGTTCAGCACGAACACTTCATCGAGAGCGATGGCAAAGAATCTAGTCTTATTATCGAACTGAAGCCGGGCACGTATGGCGCTGAGCATGCCTCCTGTTCTCGCATCTTGAGTGCCCCGCCCAACTATGGCTTCATCGTGCGTCTCATCCTGCCAAAGTTGCAACATAGCCAGCCCTTGGATGTGGCTACGACCAGGAGTCCAACCACAAACATCATGGCTGCAGCTGGAGCTACCGGAAGTAACAACACTTCCAAACTACGGCGTACTGCCAAGTCCGGTGGCATGATGGAGTCCTCAACCCCACTCAGCACGACGAAGGTCATCGTCTCATCGACGGCTTCCCGGGTGTTGGGACGCACCTGCCCTCTGAACATTGTAAGTGAACTCACCTTAGCCTCTATTTCTGGTGACAAGGTTGCCTTTGATTGCGTGCACTTGGAGAAAATAGTTGATGGTTTTCATAATCTGGAATAATTCTAGAAGATTTACTTTATTTTTTAAGAATTTCAAAAGGGTTTTTGTAAGATAAGAAAGAGTTAACATTCAGCTTAAGCTACAGAGGCAGAAATTGTTATCAACTTTGAATGGTTTCTTAAGAATTTCTCTTCTACAGAATAGACTATCAGAATCTTCTTTATTAAGCTTCGTGCTTCCCCCAGACATCTTGAGTCTAGATATTGCTTATATCTTACCATTAAAAGTACTTTTCACAGTGTAGTTGTTCTTCGCTGATTAGTGCGAGGTTGCCATTTTCTGCACCTTCCGCTCGAATTATTTGCCAGTTTCTTTGATCCCATTCATCTGCCTCGAAATCTACCACTTGACTGCGCATGCGCCGCGTTCGAGTGTGAGAATCGGATTGAAAAGTTCAAAAATCTGAGTTCAAGAACAAATAGCCAGTAATTTTCCACACTTCAGGACTCTTTTTTTTTATGACTTCATCTTTTTGGCGATACATGACTTATTTCTAATTTATTCCACGAAACATAGAAAATAATCTTGCTTCTAGAGTCCCATTGTCAAACAGTTTAACTTTTGCTGACTGCATTGGATGCTGTCATAACTTAGACTTATCGAGCGTACAAGTTTAAGTTCTCGATTGACATTGTTACTTTTTTGTGGCTTTCCGATGAGACGGTTTGACATCTGAAATTGTCTCCAATTACCGGCAGGTCTCTCAGGCGAGGCGAAACGTAATTCGTCAGCTGATGATCGTTGACATTGTCAAGGTGTTGTTCGTTCTCGATTAAATAAGAAACTTTCCATTAAAGCTTCGGCTTTGGCCATTGACATTGAACTCCAGCTGTGGAGCCAGAGGGGGAAATTTTTCACTTTCTGCGGAGCCAAAAACTTTGCGCCAAAGCCAGAAAAGCGTTGGTATTTGCATAAGCGCGCCAATTTCGAACATTTTTCTGGACGTTTTTTTTTTGCTATTTTTTTGATATTTGAAACACGTTTGTAGCATTTGGCCAGGGAAGCAGCAAAAGGTAGAAAAAAATAGCAGCAACAGAAACAGAAACCGCAGTCCCAGAGCAACACTTTCGGTTACGGAGGCGACGCGTCGCCATAAATCCGTCGACTTGAACCGTCGCCTGACTGACAGTTGGCGTCGCCATAAAAGCAAACTATGTATGCTACTGGGGAAGCAACTGGGTTTTTGGGCTTGGGGGACTCGAGGGAGTGGACGCATATAGCCACATTTGCATGCCTGTCCAGAATAGAGCGCTTCTTTGTTCCGTCACATGGTGACGTTGCCTGAGAAGTGCTAAACTGATGCGTCGCATAATTGCAACAGAATGAGTACTAAGTAGTTGGCTGTTAAAATCTGAAACTAGTAGATATTACAATGCACGGATGTGCCACTGTGTTAAACGCTTTCAGAACTGGTTAAGACCGTTGCCTCATAGGGGACACTCCCTGGGCTAATTGTTGTTTACAACGAGTTAGCTTACAATGGGCACTGCCAAGTCGTAGTGCAGTTATTGAACCTGAGAGTACAAAGGCAAGCTGAACCCGTATCCATTTCTATACTTCATACGTATATTTAGCTTATCATCGGTCTGCACGTGAAACAGCTTCGATATTAATGGATTTATTTATATATATATTCGAGTATATATCCAACGATTCTCAGGCAACGCGTAGTTCTCGTTTCTGACTTGGCTTTCACAGCTTTTTGTTTTGTATTTTTCCAGCGTAAATATTTAATTTTGCATTATGTGTGTTTGCATTCGCAGTTTTTGATCGTTGATTCTTGATCGGTTTTATTTTTTCATATTGTTGAACTTGGCCATTCACGTCACGTCGTTGTCGTTGCTATCGAGTGGGCGTGGTCAAGAGGAGAGGGAGTGGGAGTGGGAGAATTTAAGCGATTAGCATTTCGATCGTGTAAACTGTTTGCCGGCACGTTTCACAGCCAATATTCAATACGCACTTAGGCCACGCTTTTAGCCAGTCCCCCATAATTAAAAGGTTATATTTGCCTTTACCCCTTGCCTTCCATCAACAGTTTAGCTCATTGGATCCGCACACGGCCCAGTGGCGAGTCGATCCCTGTCAGCTGGAGGACACTGCCTCGGAGATGGAGGATCCGGTGAGGCTTTTTCATGGTCGCGTGAAGATCGTCTGGGAGCATGGTCAGCATGCTCTGCGATCCAAACTGATGGTCACGGTTCTGGGCAAGGGCGAGCAGTGCAAGGATGGCAGCAAGCACCAGTGCTTGAAGATCGGGTGAGTCGGATTACATGGCCACTACTACTGAAACTTATTCTAATGAATCTATAATCTTCCAGCGATGAACCCATTCTGTGCATCTCCAAGGAGCTGGCCTGCGATGGTATTCGCCATTGTCCGTATAGCAACGAGTATGACAGCGATGAGGACTACGAGCTGTGCTCGAAGCAGCATCGCCCAGGAGCCGGTCATCTGCCAGCCGGCCTGGAGTCGGATCTCTTCGAGCAGTTTGCCCTAGAAGTGTTCCGCAACCTGTTTGCCAACGATGCTCCAACGGGACCGGAGGATATGCCGCGTAACGGAAGCGATGGAACCGTGGGTTTGGATAACTCAACGGCCACGTCGACCACCACACTGCGTAAAGTGCACACCAAAGATATGAAAAAGCCCGGTGGCGATGGGTCACCGAATTCAATTGGACCCAGTTTGGGCACCGAGGGGGAACAGCAGAGGCCGGAAAACGATACGGCTGAAATGGGAGTGGGGACTGGAGCTGGAAGCGGATTCACCAGACGGAATTCAACGCGCTCCGGCCTGCACTCGGATCTATCGAAGTACGGCCCGTGGGGATATCTGATGCTGGGGATGCTCCTGTGCGGCGGAGCTCTGCTCATCTGCGGCCTTTGGGGTACGTTAAATTGCACCATAGTCTAGTCCAAGTAAGGCACTGTCATTTGGCATTGTATTTATCCGAGTTTCCCCGTTGTTTCTTTTCCCGCACATCATAAACCGATCTACGACTCTCACATGCTGTGCTATGACCGTGTCTAACTTTTCCGCCAATCCCGAATCCAAAAACTAAACCAACCCACCAAAACACACCTATCCAACACTCCCCAGTTCTGTGTTGTCGCTTGAGCTCTCACATTGAATCCATCCGTTCACTTGCAGCCTCCGCGTCACAGCATGCGGTCAACAACGAGCGGGAGGCGGCGCTGGCCGCTGCCAATGGAGGAGGAAGCGGTGGTCAGGACCACCTGGGCGCCACCTCGCCGCCGAATTACGAGGAGTTGGATCCACCGCCGGCCTATTCGGTGCTCTTCCCTAATCAAAAGGCCGCCAGTAGCACCACTTTGAACCTGGATGCAACGGCGGCAAGTACAACAACAGCAGCAGCCGCGGCAGCAGCAGCAGCAGCATCAGCAGCAGCAACTGCTGCAGCAACGGCTCTGGCAGGAGCAGTTACACCCAGCGATAACCCGCAGCAACATCAGCCACATCAGGAACAGCCAACGAACTAGCCCATAAGCCCTGACAAGAAGGTGTCGCACCTGGAAAATGTAGATTTTAAGGTCCCAAACATCTCTCTGACTGACTCTGATGCAATTAGCTTAAAACCAATTTAGTGATAGCTTTAAGTGTGACTTTAAATGTTAAATGTTTGACTATAATATATACATATGCTAATGATTAACGGATAACGAATAACGAATAACCAATCCCAGCCGTCCTGTCAACGCCGCTGTCGCCTTTGGCAGACGGTAGACCCAATTAGCATCCAATAATTGAAAATGTAATAATAATGATGATTGTAAAGGAAAAGCTGCAGCTGCAGCAGCATTAACTGACGAATCGACTAACTTTTGTAATTCTGTTAATTTAAAATTTAATGTGATATAAATTTAAAACTGAATAAAAAGCAAAGTGTTTAAGTAGTTACTGTGAAGGATTAATGTACTCGTTGCTGTGATGGGAAAAGTGATTTTACAGAGGAAAAATCGGGAATATTTTTGATAAATTGAGAGGAGTTCAGATTGGAGATTATGGAAATAACAGATTGCAGCTTTTTGAAGATACAAAGCCGAAAAACCTATAATATGTACTAAATATGCTTTCATTCCATAAAAATTCCAAATAAACAAATTTTAAGTCTTTAACTAAGATTCTTGAACAAGAAACTTACCTTTTAAATACTAAAGTTAAGGATAAAGAGTATATATCTTGAGCCAAGATCCAAAATGAGATACCATACCTTAATAACCAAAAATATTTCCTACAACCAAACTTCCATTTTTTCCCCAGTGTACTTTCAGTAAAGCGTACAAATTACTGCCTACTTTCAGGCGGCAGTGAATAAATAGACTAACCCAATACAGAAAGACAAAACACATCTTGTTGTTGTTTTTTTCACATCGAATTGAACATCTTTTTTATTTGCAATTCAGGTAAATTAATGGGGTCGCGTCGGAGAAGCGGGTTCTTGGGGGATGAGAGAGAGGGGGGAGAGTGTTGTTTTTCACATTCAAATTGCAGGTTGAGTGCTAAATGAGTTGAGTTCTCTGAGCTTGCCTCTGTTATTTTAACTGATATATTACGTTGCACTGATATTATTATATTGTTCCATTTTACTAGTTACTGTTTACATGTATTCTCTCTGCTAGCTACCTGTGCTACCAGGTGCGCCAGGTGCATTGTCATGCTGGTCGCCTCTAATCGTACATATGTACATACATGTACATACATATCCATATACATACATATATGTCAAACAAAATTTACGCTAAAAACAAGAAGCTGTTTTTCGTGAAGTTGACCCCCTCGAATTTCTACCCATCGAATGGGCTCTCGGGGACCTTGGACTTGCACAAATGTCGCGCTACGTTTTGCAAGTTCAGTTTAGTTTTAGTCGCAAAAATTCTACTAAGTTGTACATACATACATATGTTCTGTATGTGTGTGTGTGTGTGTGTGTGTGTGTGTATGTCTGTGTATGTTTTAGTGTGTTTGTATACCTATATACTTAAGTGCCAATTTCAGCAGTTTAGATGACCGCGGGGAGCGATTATCCTTGTTTTTGAATTCAAGTTTTCGGCTTTGCTTACATACTCATAAGATTTGGGCGTTTTCGTGTTCATCGATTCCATTCATTTTACAATACAATTTTCCCTTACTAACTAAACGTGATCGTTACTCGATACTATATATATCGTACAATTAATTTGGGTGCAGTGTGTTTGGATATTCCATAGATTTGGGTTTTGTGCAGAATTTCCCCTTAATCTTCTTCTGTCATCTTGTTTTTGTGGTCTAAGCTGGGGGGGCGTGGAAAAACACTTTCTTAGAACTAACTCATAGGCCATAGGGTACACTTAGCAAGTAGTTGTTGTTGTATGTGGTTCAAGAAAATGTTAAATAGATAAAAAACGATCTCTGATAAAATGTCTTCTTCATTTGTTTCGTCGTTTTGTATTCAAAAGTCATTAAAAATAAATTCAAATTCAAAATCTTCTCGCACAAGGAGTCTCGCGCTAAAAAGTTATCTTCATTTGGTTTGGTTTATGTTTTTCATTGTTTTTTCTTTGTTTTTTTTTTAGTTAGCTTACTCTCTACAAAATACTTGATAGTTAATCTATGCTCGATAGTTTCGATTTGTTTGTCTAGAGTCCTACGTTAGTTATCATGTAAAATTGGACGCCAAAAAACAATTAACAAAAGTGACGCAAAAGCCCTAAGCTTGAATCTTTCTGTTTCTGAAAGTTCAATATGTAATTCTCAAGTTGTTTTTCTGGGAGTTGTAGTGTCTCTGTGTGTTGATAAGTGTGTGTGTGAGGGTTCAGCTCATTGTTTTGGTTACTTCTCAATAAATAAGGCCAGTGGATACGCATACATCATAAAAGTACAATTCATGTTTATCATATTCAATGTTTCACATTTCGATACAAATCTAGTTAGTTTTATAAAAAGCGCTTCTATCCTGTTCTCAATCCGTACCGCACCTAATCATATATATATATATAGATCTATATATATATAAATAGCATAAGCATGCATTCGTATAATCGCTTCTAGTAGCCGCAACTCATGGGGAAAGCTTCTTGCCTTATCGATCCTAGCAATTTCGATAACTCCGTCTCCTTCCGTTTAGTTGATTCAAAGTTATTTGGTATAAAAAATAGAAAAAATTTTGGTGACAATAAAAACGGTTCGCCATAGTTTTCATATTTCGTTTTACGTTTTGTTTTTTGTTAGCATCTCAAAAATGATCGCGATCTACTACGATATTGGAGGCCAAAATAAGTACCGCTTGACATTCACGAGTCTAGTAGAATACACTCCATCGGAATCTTCAGTACTAATAAAATCCGTTTTAGCTTTCTACAGAGTTTAGTAGGGTATACAATACTGTTCATACTGAAATATATATATATTTATATATATATGAAACGCGATATGAACGGCTTAATACTTAATTCATCGACCCACTTAGTTACTACACTTTGTTCTATTGAATACGCTTCTTGATTGCTTAAAAGTTGCTCGAAAATTAGTGAATCTGTTTAGTGGTTAATCGAACTGCAAATGCTGCGATTTCTCTAGCGATTTTAAGCGAATTAAAAGCACATTGATTGTATACATATGTGTGTGTGTGTGTGTTTTGTATCTGTATGTGTATCTGGGAAAGAGGATTGTGTATGTTGAGTCTATCCTAATCGATCCGCTGATCAAAATCGTTACGTTAATCTAATCTTGCACTGAAAACTTCCTTCTGACACACATGTGGACATGTCGGTAGTTCTGTTGATGTTGTCTTTTTGTCTGTAGTGCGGTTTTCCAATGGTATGGCTGTTGTTGTTGTTGTTGCTGCTGTTGTTGTTCAAATGGTTTTTCCTGTTGCTGGAGTGTCAAGGATGCTACGATGGAACACCTGCCCGGCTAAAACCAAAAGCAAATTGTGCGGATGGACGACGACGACGCTGACGACGAAGACGAAGGCGAGTTGGTGGAGTTGGAGGATGGTTTCGGGTAGGATCCCAATACGCTCCTCCTCCGATGGTTAACGGTTTTCCCTAAATCTTCTGACTGGACCCAGGTTCTTTGTGCGTTTGGGTTGCTTTTCGCTGCTCGCGAGTCTTTTGGGATAGTTGGGATTGGTTCGGGAGCCCAACTAACAATAGTTGCCATTGCCATTGCCATACCACGGAAAGGTCCAGCACCATCAGTGCGGAAGCATCAGAGGCCTTGCCGTGCTACTCAGTCTGTGGTGGGCCTTCTCTCCTCCGCCTCCGCCATAATCCTCATAGCTCAACAAAGGCGAGATCTTAAGGCCAGTCTTTTCCGGAATGATCTTAAAGTGCGGCTGATCAGCGCTCACCATCAGTGGACGCTTCATTGAGGAGTGCATGTAGTCATGGGGAGGATACGGATGGGTGGCTGCTCCCAGGGGCCTATGGGTACTGGGCACATTCATCTTCTTGCACGGCTCTGGCTTACTCTCATAGTTCATCTGGCAGTTTTCCGGCGAATACTTGTTGGGCTTGTAGATCGAGAAGATGTTGTTAATCAGACTGAGCGCCGAGTGACCGCCGGCGGATGGATGATGAATACCGGCTGGTGGCTGCTGGGTCAGCACACTGCCGACCGTCGGGTGGCTGTGCTCCGGATAGAAGTTGTTGTACTGGTACGAAGGCAGGGTGTCCACCGTGGGATACACCTTGTGGCCATAGCCCTGGGGTTGTCCGTAGGACGAACGATGATGGAAGGCGGGGGCAGGCGCAACGGCGGGAGCAGTGTCAAAAAAAGGATAACCGCCCGCATTGGTCGAGGACTCGCTGGAGTCCAGCTGCGGTGGCGAGGGCATCCCCTCGAGCAGTGACTTCTTGATCATCAGTCGCTCATGCTCCCGGTCGTGTATATCGATGGGCTGGCCATTGTTGTAGCACCGGACATTCACGTTCTTCACCTTGAGGCTGCTGTGCATGTTGCGCCGCATGTCCATGTTGATGGGACTGGGTGGTTTGTCCAGCTGCTCCCAGTACTTCTCGAGGTCGATGTTGAAGTCTTCCAGATCGATCTCAGTGGTATCCGAGCAGGTGTCCTCGTCATACAGAGTCGGGGGTGGCTGCATCTCCAGCAGGGATTTACTGCGCGACGGCCGATGATAGTTTCCCGCTGGATACCTCCTGCCAGGACTTCTTGGAGCCGGAGCAGCAGCCAGGTACCGCTCATCTTCATCCAGGAACTTATCCTGCAGCATAAGGCGCTCTCGCTCTGCGCGTATAAAGTGCTCCAGGTCGGTGTCATAGCGGCAGTGCATATGCTCCTCTTCCTCGGCGGCGGGATGGTGACCAGGACAGAGGGGTCGTGACCTTGGGCGAGCGGGAAGTGGTGGTTGCTGTTGGCGCTGGCGGTGGCAGCAGCAATCCTCAGCTGCAGAGCAGCAGCAAATAACCGTTGGAGCAGCTGGGGTCCTCTGTCTTCCGGCACGCTCCTCGAATAGCCAGTCCGCTGCACTCAGATTCCGATTGCTACCTGATCCGGCTGCCCTGGGCCTCATTCTGGATCCCGGATAGATGTCATCTAGCAGGCAACGAGCACTGGTGCACTGATCCCGGGCACAGCAGCGATCCAAACTACTGCTGCACAGGGCATTCATGTTCCGCCTCAGAGCTTCTCTTTTTTCCCTCCGCGTATTCGAGGCGGGAGGCAACTCATAGTCGATTATATCGAAGGGCATGGTCTTGGTAGTGGCACTAAAGGAGTATGACTTGGGTACACCTGCGCGGTTCTTCAGGATAGATGTGGTGGGCTGTGCAGCACCACCGGAACTGCCACTGCCACTGGCCACACCGCCGCCCGCTTCAAAGACATTGCCTTCGAAGCACCAACTCTGTGATTTGGGGTACTGGAACTCCTTGCAGCTCTTGGAGCGATGCAGGCCATAGCCAGGAGAACCCTCTCCATCAACACGACGCTCCTCAGTTCCGCCGCTCTTCTCGTCTAACTCGTGGATATCCCGCAGGGTGCGAAAAGGACCATACTTAAGGCAATCTGGCACGTAATCCTCATCCATGTCGTCGGAACGGTTTGAGTAGATATTATCCGTGTACCAGGTGGGATCCAGCTGTTTGGGTCGCGGCTTTGCCTGCAGTAACTTGTCCCGCTTCGACTGGCGATAGCTTTCAAAACAAATGCCCTTCATCTTCTCCAGCTTCTGCTCTCGGATACGCTCCCAGTTCTCCCAGTTTTTATCATTCTTGTTACGCCTCCCAGACAGGATGAGCACCTCGCGGTCCTTGTCCCAATCGGCACTGCCCTCGTCGCCATAATCGATATTCAGCCGCTTCGTCTCGACGTCAGATTCCCTGGGGACTTGATGGTGATGGGTGGTTGTAAAGGCGGATGCGGGTGGTGCAGGTGCAACACTACTAGCAGCTAGGCTGTGGTTTTCGGACACTACGATTCTAATCCTACGCTTGGTCTTGTCCGTCGTCCGCGACGACGACGTCTGCATGGACGACTTGTGCGGTCTGTCCCGCTCGTCGGAGGGCGGCTCGTCCTCTTCTGGCTGTCACACCTCCTGCAGATACTTGATCGGGCAGTAGCCCTGCCCGTGCTCGGCGGCACGGATCATCACCATGCCGTTGACCTCGTCGCCAGTCTTGGGAAACGGTTGAATGTGCTTCATGATTTTGGAAGGAGTAAGGTTACGGGGTTATGGTTTCTTACCTGTATGACAATCTGATCTCTTAAGAGAGTAAGATTCTCGCCACGTTCACTGTCTGACACCTGGAGATTGTGGGTCACCTGCAGCGGTTTCTCGTTGGCATTCAGACGCACGCAGTACTTGGATGGGAAGTAACCAACGCGTCCTAACACTTTGCCCTTCCACCAATCCGGGTCTGAATTGTCAATGACAGTTACCTGAAGGGAAGTGGGTTTTAGAATTAGCATTTCAAGGCTTTTCTTCTTAGTCTTAAATAAAAATCTTTCAATAGTTTTAAGATTGAGAGATTTGCTTGATTAGGGACCATAATATAGCCTACACTAATCAACAGATTTATCTTCTTAAGAAAATCTTAATATTCTTAGAACTAAAAGAATAGTTTGCAAAGAAACCAACTGGAGGATGGAAGGAAGCTATATAAACGCTTTTAATGGTCAGAGACACCTCCTTCACCTGCTGAAACTATAACAAACAAAAAACTACTTCTAAAAGTTTGAGAAAAGTACGAATGCTATATGACATCACCCGAACTATAAAGATATTATATTATAGTTATTAACTAGAAGGGAAGCTAAGGCAAAGCCTTTATCGATCCACGCATTAAATTCGTAAAAGCAGCCAGGCTTTTACTGGCTGGCTGGCCATAAAGGAAAAGTTTAACTCTATCCTGGAACCAAATGGAAGAGCAGCTCGCGAACAAGGATGCAAGTCCAAACAAAAGCTAATCTGTAAATATTGAACACTTTGCCAGCGGCAGCAGAGGTGGCGGGTGGGCAGGCACTCGCAATCAGAGAATGTACACAAAAAGTGGGTAACTATTATTATTTCTTCTTATTCACTGTTTGTTTCGCCCTGTTTACGCAGTGGAAAAATAGCTTCCTCTATATATGGTCGGTTGTATGATAAATAAACAAGTTTTTGTTGCCATTGTTCGTTTCATTCGTTTTAATATTGAATAAAGAGCTCAGAGTAAACAAGCCAGGGCGAGTACGAGTGCGAGTATATGTTTCTGATTTAGTTAACCAATTTCCCTGGCAGCCATTGTGCGAATTAAGTACAACGCTTAGCGGATTAAACAAAGCGCTTTGTTTATTATTCATACACTCATTCATTTATGGATATCGCACAGTAGGGGTATTACATTTATGAAGTATGTTAGATAGAGGAGGGTTAGCTCACCTTGTAGCCAGCTTTGAGGTCCAGCTCATCGGCATGTCGTGCCTTGAAGTTATAGATGATAACATACAGATTCGTTGGCAACAGACGATGTGTTTTCTTGAAAAGAATGGGTTAAGCGCGTTTTGGAATAGGGTTAATACTGGTAGTGCAAACTATCAAACTATGAATTGGATTGGCAGGCAAAATGAAAACAAAGAAAAACCCATGAAAAAAGGAGTAGGAATGGGGGGTCTACCTGGGGATGTCTTACGGGTGAGAGGCATGGCGATGTGCTGGCCGATGACTGTGACTTCTCCATCTCGTCCGGCAAATCGACACTGCCACCACGCATTCCACGTGTGGCATAGAGCAGCTTGCGGCCCGGATGCGAGGGGCTCGATGGTGCTGTAATGGTTTTGGATGCGTTAGTCCCTGCTCCAGGACAGGCTCAATGGTTACGGTTACGGTTTGGTTTGGTTAATCGAATGCAAGTGGATGAACGAAAAAATCAGAAGAATATTCATGGAAAAAGAAAGATATATAGATATTGTACAGATAAATTATACACATATACGTTTAAAGAGGGGGAGTTAGGGAGGATATAGTGCCCCCTCCGAAGTTGAAGATGTATGTAGAGTGTATGTGTTAGCAGATGAAGTTAGTTAGTCTACGGTTGGCATGTATCTTAAAGCTGCTATTAACTACTTAGATAAGATGTGAACGAAATCGAACTACTCAACGAAAGTTTACTTTACTCGATCTTTACTGTACTTCAACGTATTTACATAGTAATAGTAAGTAGTAAGCAGTTAATAGAAAAGTTTAGTTAGCGTGTGAGAGTGTTAATACATACTAGTTCTTTAGTTCTTATTAGAAATTAGATTAGAGGGGAACTGAGATTAGTTAGAGGTGCCCGCTGTGGATGGGTGGGTGGTGGACTAGTTGGACTGGTGGTGGTGGTGCAGCGTACGTCGGTGTCCGGTAACGATATTCGGTTATATTATTTGTTACGGTATGGGGACCGGGAGGTACGGCGGAACCGGAAACGTTTACTGGGTTGCTACTTACAGTGCAGACGGCTGTTGTTCGACGGCGGAGTGCTGTGCTCCAAGTGGCCTCCGGACCCACCATGATAGTAACCGGAGCCAGCCGATGTCGAGGCACCCGTGCCGGGCAGTTGGGCCCGTCGTCTGAACTGGCCATGCAGCTCCGACGATTCGGGCGAGTCCAGGCTCAGGGATTTCATGCGTAAGTTCAACTTTTGGCGGCGCGGTGAGTGCGGTGCTGTTGTTGTTGTTTTTTTTTCATTTTTTTTTTTTTGTTTTTGGTACATGGTTATAGTTAGTTGTTGTTGTTGTTGTTGTTGTGTGTCGGACAAAACACAGTTGGCAAAAAAAATGGCAATGGAATAAAAATTTGTTGGTTTTAATTTCGTTTGTTAAGCATTTGGTAAGTCCAAATTTTGGAATCTAGGCGTCTACGAAATCTAAACAAAAACCCAAAAAAAAAAAGAACTCGACAAAAGTAACTCAAAAAGACGTTTAACACTTAGTGACCTTTTTTTTTGGCAAAGGACATCGATAGAAAGATTGTAGCTTAATCAAGGCAATTAAAGATTTTTGTTTTGTTTTTTATAGTTTTTATGTTTTTTTTTTTTGCAACAGAGCAACATTCGACACGTTCAGGAAGAGACAGCGAGTGTGTGAGAGTATTTTTGTGGCATGTCCAGTGTTTTAGTTTCTAGTTTCCCGTTTCAGTTGCCGCAAAAATCAAAAGCCAACTTAAGAGCACAGCTGTGTGCGTGTGAGAGTGTGTGTTTTGGTGTTGGCCAATTCGGATTTTGACTATAAATAAATATTTAGATATAGAGAAAATCATAGAAAACTCATTTCCATCGCCCTGTGCCAGATGAAGGTGATTCGTGTTTATCCTTAGAGTGAGAGAAAGCCAGATATCGTTTTGCAATTTATTCGTGTTATTATAGTCATTCGTTTTGTGGGTGAAGTGTGTGTTTTTGGATATGGTTTTTGGATTTTGGTTTTTCATGTGCAATATTTACAACAATCATACAACATTTAGATTATAGTTGCGGTGTAATCAGAAATGACTTAATACTTTAATCGTAATATACATTTAACACTTGCTCTCTGTGGCACGAGCACATTCGCAGAATCGAAATTAACTAAGATATATAGTACGATAGAAATATGTAAGTAGGGGGTAAATTTAACTAGGTGGAGTATTTAATAATAATTACTGTGCTGCATTTAGAACATCAATTGGGCTAGGTGTCTAGGGTATAATCGAAATCAAGAACTTAAACAATATATATATATATATGTAAATCGATTTAGAACTGTATTAAATTAAAGAGTGTTTTGGGCTCCGCCTCCACCCTCTTCCTCCTTAACGCACTCGTCGATTGCCCTTGGACTCATCCGGATTGGACTCCGGGTTCTTAAGCAGCATCAAAGGTTCGCCAAAGGGTCGCGTTGTTTCGGACTTCGGATTCGCTGATGCTGTATCAAGTATATATCATATATAATATATATATCTTATAGTCTGAGACCAGTTTTAGCTTCGTGTTAGGCAGTTAGTAGCTTTTCGATCGATTAGCAGCTCCGGCAAAGAGGAGGACTTTCTCCCACTGACTGAATCGCAGAGTGAATGTGAATTAAAACTAATTAAGTTAAATGAAGACAAGAAGCCCGAAAGAAAATATTAAACATTAAGACAGCGTTCATGCATAAAGCAAACCAAAACAAGCCCGAGGATGGCCCGAAAAGGAGACCGTCGGAGCGAAAGAAGACCATAAGACCAGCATCCCCTGGCCCGAGTAATAGAGCAGAAACATAATCCTGTGAAAATAAGTGCACAGAGCTTCTCTGCTAGAACTTCTCTTCTTCTCTTCCTTGCCACAAGGAAGTCGAGACTGGCAACTACGAGGTGGCAAGAGCAACAGCATGCAGGGGTAGAATGGATGGAGAGGGGGTGTAGGGGTATGGGGTATGGCTAAAAGGAAGGCCAAAACGAAAGGCAGACCCAAAACGGAAAGAAAAATAAGGAGCGCAAAAAGATTGTGTGTCATAACAATTTTTAGCATAATTATGTTCGGCCTGGGACCGACCTCGGCCCCCAAGCCATCCGCCCTATCCGCCCGTCCTCCCCCCTCCTATTCCCACCCATCGACAAGAAGTTAGCTTGGCCTAAGACAAAAAGTTGGCAGCGCGACTTTAAACTTGCGTCTCGCTTTCTCTCTGCGCGAGGAGTGGCATTAAAAATGCAGCAAACATTAAGCACAAATGAACTCGCGCCTTGGCGAAAAAGTTTTTTGGCCCGTCTGCAACATTTGTATGCAGCATCCAGCTGAAAACAGCTCACAGCTCACAGCTCGCAGCTCCCAGCATTCAACTTTCCACATTTCCCCTCGCACCCCCACACACCCCCTATATAACCAAAACCCCACTACCAAGTTGTGCGGCTGAATTTTTGCACAAAAGTTGACAATGGCTTGTAATTTACACGGCAGTACCAACAGCAACAGTAGTCCTGAAGCTGCGGCATAAACAGTGGCAGGATGAGAAGTTCCAGAAAAAAAGGATATACTGGGAAAAAAGGTTGTTTTTTACTTAGTAAATTCTCTCAAGCAGATTTCAGATTTAAATTGAATCCTTAACACAGCAAGAGCCTAATCCCAATGTTGGCTTTTGAAGATTAAAACAGCTTTATTTTCTAAAAATTAGTTTTGGAACTTTTACCTAGTGTTTCTGATTCAGCCATTCATTTTAAATGTGGTGAAGCATATTGCACTTAGCTTACACTGAGAAATGTTATTTCAGTTAAAATGTTTTCCCAAAAGTAAAAGATTTTTGGTTATTAAATAAACTATACAACATGAAACTATATTTTAAGTTTATTGTTAAAAAAAATCTTCTAAAATTGGCAGAACCTCTACTTTTTATTTAAATTTATCTTCAAAAACTAAAAACCTTTCTTGAGTAAGATTTTACCCCCCAAAAAATATCACCTTTCCAAGTGTAGGAGGATGAAAATGCACTCCATGGAGTAAGTTTCCCATTCGACTCCAGCCAAGCTGAAGAATGATGAAGCTGCTTTCAGCGCAAAAGGAACTCGGCCATGTATACAAATGATGGCGTTGCAGTTGCTGTTGATGTTGCAGCTACTGCTGCTGCTGCTGTTGCTGTTGCAACGGAAATGAGCCATTTGCCTGAAGTGTAAACTGGGTTAAGACTAATTGGCATTTAATCCGACCATTGTTTTAATGCTGGTCTATAGAGCTGAGCTGAGCTTGGCTGTGCTCTGCTGGGCTGGGCTGGTCTCGAGCTTTGCCACTTCCCAGATAGGCAGACTCCCAAATTGATATAATTAAAACGCATCTTGCCATTTCAAATATCTTTTCGGCATTATTGGCCAACAATCAACCAAAAGAAAAAATAAGAAAAAACACGCACAGACACACACGTACGACAGACAGTTAAGGACAAACTTCGGTGTGGCCCAGACTCTAAACGGGGGGAAATAAATTGAAAAAGATACACAGAACACGGAAACACAATCTAAACATCGATTTCGAGTGGGAAAACAAATGCAGTACTGTTCCAACGAGAACTCATGTCTAGAATGGGATCGGGATCTATGATAATATTATCATCATAGGCATCCCCGAGATTTGATGATGGTGTTGTGGTGCTGCTAGTGCTGGCTGGGAGATGGAACGATTTCTGCATCGGCATGATTGGACTCTTGGTAAGAACATTGTGGTGTTGTCTATTGCTGTCCCCTCTGCCTTGGCTGTGGTTATGATGCTGCAGTGTCACGTAATTACTTTCTGGCAATGAGATCGATCGATGTTGCGACGATCTCTGCTGTCTTAGACGCCCAAACACTGATAGTGGCCTGATTCCGGCGAAGAGTCGCCTCCGTAATCCTGGATCATTCGTTGGATAGTTGATGCTGCTGCCACTGGTGCTGCTCCCGGATTGCTGTTGCTGCTGCTGCTGATGGGCTGGTGATGGTCCTGCCGAGTTGGAGGATGTTGCAGGTATCTGTTGCATGTACGATGCCATCTGCTGGCTATTCCCCGTATAGTAGTTGATGCCGATGCCATTGCTGATGTACGCCGAGCTGGACATATTCGATACGGGGGCAAAGAACTGGCCATATCGCGGTTCTTGGTGTTGGTGTTTGATGTGGTTGGTTGGTTGGTTGGGTTATTGGTTGGTAAATTTGAGTTTGGCAAGCGAAACGAAAATTGGCAAAAAAGATATGGACACGAAAGAATATATAGATATATATATGTATTTCTTAATTTACTCATTAAAGCGTATTAAATCAGTTTAATTATCTAAGATGTGAGTTCTGTGTTCGGAATTCGGATGGAACTGTACTTACAACTAATTGGGGTCAGACGCAAGATGTATGGTTGCTGCAAGGACAATGGGGCAACAAGGCAACAAGGCAACAGGGCAACACAGGCAACCGCAAGAGGCAATCTTCAATCAATCAGTTCGGTGCTGCACATTTACACACTCCTAATTGGAATAATGCAACTGCAGACCGCAGGGGAATGTTGCAGTTGTACTTGCCTAGTTGCAAGTTGCAATGTTGCCAGTTGCCAGTTGCTAGTTGCAGGTTGCCAGTCAGCAAGAGTTGTGGCGCTAATTATGTGCGCACTTTGCCAAGATTTAGGGCACTTTGCGGCCAAAAAGGGGAGCGGTGGTCTGAATTGTGGCCCTAAGTAGGCGACAAAAAGGCAATGTCGTTGTTGCCACTGCGATTGCTCTTGGGAAGACAAAAGACAAGACCAAGAACGGAGAGAAAGAGTAGACCATGTACTTTAATTGAGGCTCATTCGCGTAGACAAACACACGTCCCACCATTCACTCACTCGCTGTTGATTGTGTGCACTGGCTTGGGCTCGATGCTGATATTTGCATACAGAGAGAGAGAGAGAGAGAGAGGCTAGGGAAATCAGGATGTTTAAAGGAAAACAAAGTGTTTGGCATACACAAATTAATTACGTTCAACTAAATATGATACGTAGATGCTACATGGTGTTTGCGTAAGCTATAATTGATGTTGGCTAAGCTACAAAGTACTAGATATTTCGGCAACGGCTTCAGTCAATAGCGATTCCAAATTCAAATTCAAATTCAAATTTCAACTCTAGAATAAATTATGTACGAGTATAGTATACACAAAATGCATATTATTTATATATAGTATATATTGTGAGTTATTAGGTTTCGGTGTGTGTGTGTTTTTCTGATGTTTGTGGCTGTGGGTGTTTGTGTTTTTAAAGCTGGCCGAAAAAATCCAGCAAAAGTCCAAAGCGAAGCAATGGGGCGTATGAGCAATTATTTGGTTAGCGCAATGTGAGTGAAATTGAAATTGTTTTGCCAAATCTAAATATGTTCGCTAAAAGGGAATGCAATTGTGTGTGACTAATGCATCTATGTGGATAGAGATGAACTACTACTGACTGCTCTACGGTTCGGGTGCACAAAATGAGAGAGAGAAAGTTAGCCCGTTAACTAGATGGAGCTGGTGACTTATTTTGGACATTACGATAGTTTGGTTATGCAAAATGCAGTTTAATGGTTAAGCTGAGGCACTGAGACGGGATCCGGGAACTTTGAGATATACAAATAAGAGGGGAGAGAGAGAGAGGTGGGAAACCGAAAACCAAAACCGAAAACTACAACCAAAACGGATTCTCAAAATAATTGCAAAAATGTTAAATGAGCGAAAAAATGCATTGAGATATATATAGAGAAACAGAGAAACAGAGAGAGAGAGTTTGAAGGTAGAGAATAACACAAACTACTTTGGCTGCATTTTGGCGACTTGTCGGACCTGAGCTACTAGATATATCTTGGCTGGGCACTGGCAGACCGCCGCGTTGCTGCTGCAGTTCCTGTTGTTGCAATTGCACACCCAGAATGGGCATGGCCACAGGCGGCGGACGTACACCTCGTCCTGCTCGTACTGCTGCCGCCTGCGCCACCGATGCCAGACTTCGTTGCTGTTGCTGATGTTGCTGCTGTAGCTGTTGCTGCTGTTGATGTTGCTGTTGCTGCTGCTGATGTTGCTGCTGTTGCTGCTGCTGCTGCTCCTGCAGGACCAATTCCGAGACACTGACAATTGGTATATCCGGCGGTGGTGCCCTACCCATTTCCCGCTCGGAAAGAACCGGAACCGGAAGTGCCGATCCTCCAGCGACGCTGCCATCCAATTGCTTGCCCTGGACGGATTTGTCGGCGCCTGCTGCAAGATGCCCGGATTTGAGTTCGCCGGCTTGTTTCAGCACGCGATAAATTTGATCGATTTCGGTTATTTCTTTATTTGTTTTTTTAATTTTTTTGATTTTTTTGGTGCCGAAGACATTGACAAGTTGGTACGGTTGATGAAGGGCCAGTTTTTGATTTTCGATTTTCAATTATTCGGATTTGGTTCGATTCAATATCGTTTTTCAGTTGTCGGATTGGGATGATGATGTTGTTGATGCATTGTTGAAGTGCATTAGTACAAATTGCAAGTGGTTTCAGGGGCGATATTCGATAATTGGTGATGAGTTTTGATGAAGGGTTAACTTTTCAGGGAACTTGTCATGACTTTTTTAATTTATACATAAAGAGAGTGTGTGTGAGAAAGGTGGACTGGTTGGTTGGTTGGTAATTACATATATTAACGATCAGCTAAGCTGGATGTTACTTTTACTCTAGGCCACCAGCTTGGGGTTGGCAACTTGTTGTCCATGAGCCAGATGTCTAAGATGTGGTACCCAAAGAAAACCGTTTCAAAAAACCAAGTAGCCAACAATATTTATGCGGTATGAGAAGTGAGGCAAGATTCTAGTGAACTTTTTTTCGATAATTACTGAATGCTGATTACTGAGTACTGAGTATTTTTGCGGCTATAACATGCTCCACTACTTGAACTGAACTTCGTTGAGTGGTCCCCCAGCTCTATTAACCAATTGGGGGGTCTTTGATTTGCCAGAAACCTTGTGTGTGTGTGGTCTTAAAATATTTGTGTTTCTTGGTGAGAGAGTGTGTTTGTGTGTAAAGAGTGTGTGTGTGTATCTTAGATTTACTTTTGAGCTGGTTGTCATTCGCTGAATATCTCGCTAATTAAGTGGGTCAAAGCGCAACAGTCAAACACAAAGTACGAAACAAAATCATAAGGTCAAGCGCATTTCAATCGAGTATCTGGCGCATATCTATACGAATATATATATATATATAAAGTTGATGTTTGATGTACGTTCTTATGGCACATACTAAATCGAGATAATACGGTTCATTTTTGGAATACCTAGCTGCGCAATGCGATGCATGAAGGGCGTCTTTTGACGGAACTTCGCATTTGGCACATTCAATTGATTTGCGCTCGGATTGGGATTCGAAGTCGGATTCGGATTCAGATTCATATTCAGATTGGGACTCGGATCATCCGGCTGATCTGCTGCAGCTGCAACAAGCGACTCCTGTGGCGAGGCTATTTTGTGTTTAACATAGTTTCGTTGTTGTGGTTGAGTATCATTTTTTTTGGGGGGAAGGGAAGAGGAGTTCATATTGATTTAATCAAATAAATGTCGAGAGTTGGCAATTTGGAATTTGTGTGGTTGATAGTTAAACTACATAAATGGCAGAGTCGCACCCGCAAGGTATGCAACAGATTCTATTTTCCTCCTGACAATTGTTTACAGTTCAATGAGCAGGAAATCATCATCATCGTCTATGGAGCTCTAAGGGTATTTTACAATACGTGTGTGTGTACGTCTAGTTATATGTGTGTGGGTGTGTGTGTGTGTGTGTATGAGTGGGTAACCGAAGGAGCCAGGGAAATTGCAAAAGTTCTTGTTCGCTGAGGTCTAGAGAATTTGCGACACAAATCACAAGTGCCACAATCTGTATGCCCCACGAGTGCCATAAATCCATTGTGAAATCAACTGATATACCAGGCCACTCCCACTCGGCATTCTCTTTGGCCAACAACTGGAATCAATAAATGTTTGCCAAGCGGCAAACAAAATGTTGCTGATGTGGTCTGATCCAAAAAGGAATAACAAAAAAAAAAAAGAAGAACAGGTAAAGGTGGTCTGGAGTGGAGTTAGACAAAGAACGAAATGCATTCATTTCGCTTGGACTCCTATTTTCCAATTTTCAAGGTGGATATTCTGGGTCTCCTCCTGCTGCATGCAACAGCAGCGGCAGGACATGCTAATGCCCCGATGCAAACATAGTTCGGGCACGGCCAGTCGAACAAATTGTTGGGGAATTTCACAGCACATCGCATCGCATCGCATCGCACAATTTCCCATGCAAGTCGTTAGCCTGCCTCAAGCGGTTAGTACGTATGTTAGTATGTGAGTGTGTGTGCTTAGCCTGCTTTTCAGTTTAAATCTGTATGTTTGCCGTATTCTGTTTTTCTGTTTTAGCTGTTTTTACTGTTTCTGGGGCCATGGCTGTGATGCTGGTGCGTGCCAGATACTCACTTTCTTCCTCGATATCAACGCGATTCTCCAGCTCCGAGGTGCTCTTCTGACGCCGCAGCAGCTTCTGCTTCGGCTGGCAGCGCGGCAGATTGGGGGCACAGTCTCCATGGGCGTTCAGCTTGCAGATGCGGCACCGCAATCCCTGGCGTGTGTGGCCTGTGGAAAAGCGGCAACGGTTTAAGAATGGTTTTATACAAGGAGAAGGTAAGCTAGAGCAACGACTTTACAATACCCAAAAGTACTGATTTAAGTTGTAATTATAGTTATGATTAAACTTAAAGTTTTCTAATCTGTTTAAGTAATTTAATATTTTGTTAAGTAAAATTCGATTCTTCTGAAAATTTCTTAAGTTTGAGCTTAATTAGTGGCAAGCCTTGAGTATGTTTTTATAAGAGTTTAAGTGCTGAAGTTCAGTGCAGCGATTATACAATGCCCTAAGTACCCATTAAGAACACGATTTTGGTCATGCTTGAGCTTAGTATTCATGGCTTTCTAATTTTATTTACCCTCTTGTGTTTATGGTTAGTTAATGGCTCGTTTTAAACCGAAAATACTTAAGGAATTTAGCTATTAAAATCTACTTTAAGTTTAAAACAAAGAGAAATGAGAGCTTTCCTAACTATTTCTAGTCACACCCACCTCTTAGTATCTGAGAGCAGACATCGCAGGCCGTTATCTTCTTGTAGGTGTACTCCTGCAGGTGGTGGCTGCCATCCAGATTAGGACGCAGCGGCTCAGAGGCTGTGCTGGAGGCTCCATTGCGCCTGTGAGGGAGATGATTCAAAAAGGCGTTACTAGGTGTACTTAATGGAGTCGCAAATGTTGCACTTTTCTTCCCTTTCCCTTTCTCCCCGTCTCTTATAAAAAAAAAAACAACAACAAGGGCCATACAAATGGCTAAACATATGTTCATAAATCCTATGAACAGATATTGCATTTGAAGGCTGCTCTTATGGTATTTTATGTTTTTGTATATCTATACGCTATACGCACACAGTGACAACAGCAAACAATGGCGGATGAACAATGGAGAGTGGACAAAGGACAAAATGGACAACGGACAATGCACATTAATCAGTGCCGATGTTACTTATTTGTGCGTGTGTGTGTGTGTGTGTGTGCTTGGACAAGGAACACATTAAAAAGAATTGTATTTAAAATATAAACAGACATTTTGCAGCGCTATACTCAACCTAATTGGATTTACAGGAAATTGGTCGATTAATCACTGGGCCGAGTATAGGATTTTACAATCTCGTCGTGATCTCGTCGTACTTCGGCCGGGATCTCTCAATTCCGCCAACGGTTTATGCAAATTATTGTGTTATTTATATTGTGTACACATCGAATTCATTTCAGTTTCATATTTATAAAGCGAAAAGCGAGAGAAAGCCAGATATATATACAACCAATTTGCAAGGGCTTCCTTCTCGCCTTCCTGCCTTCCTGCCCCTGTGGCACTTTTGTTTTATTTACCAGGCAGAAACAGCAAAAAAAAAAAAAAAAACAGAAGAAGAATAAAATTCGAAAAGACTGAATGGCTGGTTCGGGATGTGGAAGGAGCCACAATGGGGCAATTGTTGAGGCAGAGCCAGGCTCAGAGGCCTAGGACTCGACGTTGATTGTTTGTAAGTGGCTTATGCACACAGATGAACACAAACACACACACACAGATGTACTGGCACATAAATTCAGTTGGTACAATATTTATTAAGTTGTTGTTGTTCTCCGTTGCAAAATGCGTAAAGTACACAAAAACATGAAAACACATTTTCAGGGAATTTTGTTAGAAAGAAAAAGTGCAACATTCATGAGTGGCAGCTACAAATGAACAACTGACACACGATGACATTGAATGTTTAGATATTGGTAAAATCTTAAACTAAATATTGATCAAACTAACTGATAGACTTAGCCAACAAATAATACCCGAGGTGTGTTTATCAATTAACTAGGCCATGTACAATTTACAGGTAAGGTATGTACAATCGATATGTACAGATTTTTAACTGCTTTACATACTGGGTGGGTAATTACGATTAATTGATATACTTAAAGGGATTTTCTAGTTTATGATTTAGGTTTTAATTTTAATTAATTAGTTGGTTGTGTGTGTGTTGCTGGGGCGGGGGTGCAGCTATGCCAAAATGCTAAAAACAAAACGGAAATACTTGGGTCAGCATGAGTAATGGCTTAATTATAATAATTTCCATAACATATTCATTGGTTCGTTTTGTATGCAACTTAAAACTTTTATTTGGCAGTGGGCAAAAACAGAAAACATAAACTATAAAAAGCGTAATGAGTAACTGGCTAGCTTTTCCTTTTTCGCCTTTTTTATATTTTTCATTTTTCCAAAGGGGAGTGACTGTTGTGGTTTAGTTTTGGGCTTTCTGTAATTTCAGGCGAAAACTTTTGCAATATAACACAGCCGAACTTTTAACTGCGATTTTCTTGTCACGTTTTTGGAAAATACATATAAATATATATATATGTGAGAGTGTGGCATTTATGCTGCGTATTTATACACGTAATGAATGCCCCAAAAGTGTTTTCCAAAATGAAGTTTGAAGAGATAGAGCCCACTTAAGCACTCGCCCCGTTTGGCCATTCAGTGGAGCCGAGAAGATTTTCCGATTTATCATCATTGGCAGTTCAGGCTGGCGGCAAGGAATTAAGTATTGTTGCCACTGGATGTTGCAAGCGTTTGCAGTTTCATTTCCCGGTTTCAGTTGCATTTGCAGCTTGTACGTTGCACTTTCAATAGTCGCCATGTGTGTGGGTGTGGGGAAGAAAAGCTGCAGAATTTATAGTTTTGCAATTTTTCGCATATTTTTCAATGCTCCAATGGCGCCGAGTGGAATTTACTGGTAGCAGCCGGAAACTTGCCCGGAACATATGGAACAGAAAAGCCAGACGAACGGATAGTCAGACGGACGGACTCAGCGACACATTTATCCGTAGTTATATCGAATAGGAAGGGGGGAAAAAAACTTTGTTGGCTGGACTTGGACCAGATCCAGATCCTGCTGCATTGTCTTTTCTGCCAGTTGAACTAGCTATGGATTTTGCGATTTAACAACTGCAACTTGCAACGTGCAACATCCAGCCTTTTAATTGCCAGGCCAGCACCACAGCCAGTGATTGATGACATTTACTGGACGCAGGTGGCATTTATGGTGCCCGAAGACAAATTAAATGTGTTCGATCGATGTATGTGTGTGTGTGTGTTAAATTGAAATTTAAATCGATTTACAAACATAGGCAAATAATACAGAAAGTGTGCGTGTGTGTGTGTGATTTGAAACCAATTAGCCGGGATCCAAGCGGGGTTTATTTTCTCAGCTAATTCTACATTTTGCGTGCAACATTACCAGCAACCTTTCGATTATATCGATTATATAGTTTATATATATATATATATAGTAGTCTATGTGGGTTCTATGGAACTATAGTTAGATGCTGGGTGATTTGGTATTTTGTTTGTGGTACTTTTGGTGAATTTCGGTTACCTCAAAGTCAATACGGTTGATACAGCGTGGTACATTTGATTTTGTCGGGGTGGTTGGCTGATATTTCGCGATTATATATCGGATATATATATTTTGTTATTTGGGCAACATTTTTTTTAGTGTTTCGAATGGAGATGGTATATATACGTAAATTTTTAATAGAGAAAAAGTGAATAGAGATCATTATTATGGCAAGTAGAACTTAGCTTAGCTTAAACTAGTACAAGATTGGAGTGCCTGGGCGTATGTCCCTGAATGGAATTATCTTGTAAATTGCGAGTGCAATTGCTGTATTGCATAATCCGGATTGTGCAAATATTAGGAATTCTTTCAGACTATTTTATATTATTGCGAATGGGAATGGGGGAATGTTGAGTGGGTGGTTGGGTTTGGTTTTGGTTTAGCTGCTGCTCCTACTGCTCGTACCCTTGGATGCCTGAATAATTTTTCGCGTTTTCCACAAGCTTTTAGTCATATTAATGTGCGGGGGCTTGGGCCCTTTACCCCGCTCCTGATTTTTTTTCCCACCCACTACTACTACTGGTATTCGCCGCACTATTTCATTTTGTATCTGGCCGGGTTACTTTTCCACCACTCCACCCAGTAGATACTCGGCTCTGTGGTTTGAATTCGACTTAATGGGCCCTGCTCTATGCCCGATAATGTTGTGTAACACAGTAGGAAAATGTTGGGTGTAGGGAAAAACTGTTTGTTGGATGGGGTTTTCATGGAGGGGGGTTAGGAAACTGCTGCCTTACTCACCTATCTGCTTGTTGTGCTGAACCAGAACCAGCAGGCTTTAGGCTCTTAAATGCTTTCAGCCACTTTGTTTTCATCGATGGCGCTGTGGCAGCGGAGAATTTGCGTTCGTTTCGCGGCGATGTCGGCTCAACTTTGCTCACGAAAAGATCCTTCTGTAAAATCAAAAACAAAGAAAGACAAAGAGAAAGAGTGAGAAAGGGAGGAAAACGAGTTAAAAGAGAGAAAGTGCATTAGCCAAAAATGCAATTTCCAGTTAAACGTCTCACGTTGCAGTTTAATTACAGGCCATTAACACTCGCAACTCGTTGCATTCCGTTTCAACTTTGTCTGCAGCTATTTGCCAACCATTTGTGATTTCAGTTTTTGCCACATGCAGACATTATTACATGCACTGGGAGAAAATGTTGCAGGCTAAGAAGATAACCCAAATGGTATTTAGTATATTCTTTAACTGATGTTTAAGTATCAGGAAGCTAACCTCTTAGTTTCCAGCAAACCAAACTGAAAAACCCTTTAAATGAGATATCCTTAACATCTTTTTCTTTCGGTGTCCATTTCGAAATCCTCGTTATATCGTAATGGAGCCATGATTACGGGGACAGTATTTAGGCAGAGGAATGCTTAAATATTTAACTGATACTATGATGGGCAACGCATTTGCCTCTGCTGCCAGGCGTTGAATAAAGCCATTTTAATTAATAATCAACACTTTGCCGAATGCCACAAAATGTAATTATGCCCAGGACAAACGCACACAAGCTCAAATGCTACAGCACTTACACATAGGCACACACACACACAGCCACACATCCTGTAACAATAATTAAAACCACGTGTGACATGGGGTCATAGTTTAGTAAGCCTAGTTGTCCTTGCTATCCATGTTGTTATCATGTGATGTTGGCTGTTGCCTGTTTGTTGCCTGTGTTTGGTTGCTATCTGTCAGTAGCGTTGCATAATTAGATGAGCTTGGCAATGCATTTAATTTGTTGCCTTTTTTCTAACCACACCAAATAGAATTTAGCTGTAAGTATGGGACTTATTAATAGGTTGTTCTGGATCACGAAAAATCACCACGAAATACCATATCTTATGGCCATTAAAACAGATTTCGGTAATCTTAATTTAAGAGGGCAATTAATAAAAACAAGCTGAATTATAACCCATTAATCTGCATATATGTGAATAAATTTAATACTTTTCGAGTATAAAGCAACCAGTACTACCATAAATTTTCAACCACAAGAGGTTGACTTTTAAATTAATGTGCTATATTGTATTGGCATTAAGTATTATTTAATGGATGGTCGGTGAATTGGTTAAGCAATTTAAGACTTTTGCTAAAGAAAGGTGATGATGGATGGTGGTTCTGATTTTTCTTTTCCAAACCTACAGATGAATTCATAAATTAACTAGATTAACTTAAAAGCAATATTTGAAAACGTTAAATCCCTAGGAAAACCTCTCATCTTAGGTCCTATCATGAACAATTTAACACCACTAAAAACAAATTATGATGATAAAAGGGAGTTCTTACTTAAAAAACAAGTCAGTTTTCCCCTTACTAAAAATACATTTTCAACATCTAAACAAACATCAAATAGTTTCAACCTAAAAGAATGATGATTGATAGAAAGTATTTAACCCCATAAAAGCCCTACATTCTCCTGCCAATTCCATTAACTTTTCGGTAGTGGCTCATCAATTTCAACATCTCGAAAGCATTTTCGCTTTTCCCTTCGATTTCTGAGAGACAGAAGTGAAAGCGTGATTTTATGATGTCAGAACGTCAAAACAAGTTAAAAATCATTGCACTCAATGCAATTGCGGTATTTATAATGCAGCAGAACGCGTTCGATGCAGTTCGCTTCGCTTGGTGCGATTTTCGGTTTTTGATTTCGGCAGGTTTCCCACCTTGTTTTTTCTTCTTCTCCTCCACAGCCGAATTTTCCCAACATGTTATTTTTAGCACTTTGACAGACTGACAGACAGAAGTTGGTAGCGAGGTCATATATATAGTGGGTGGTGGTTGGGTGGTTGGATGGGTGACTAGCTGACAGGCAGGATATTAAGGCTGCCATGCATTCGGCGTCCATATGGCGCAACACGATATCAAAATCAATGTATCGGCGGGACTGACAACAAAGGATGAAATTCAGTGGAATGCCATTTAGTGATTGCAAAGAGTTCGCTGATACAAATTAATTCACTCGCAGCAGATTGCAATTAAAAATTAATACTTTCACACAGCACAAAGCGCCCATATTTAATGAGTAATTAATTTTCACACAAATGCGTAGAGCCACAGGCCCGGAAATGGAAATATATTACGTTAACATCATCATTATTATGTCCAAATGCGATTAAATGCCGCTGGCCCATGCTGGCCTTAAAGACAATCGCCAAGATAAGCAACCAGTCTTGGGCTATCTAGAGGGGAAAAAAAACCGAGTGCTCTTTTGACTGGCTGGCTGTCTGGGTCTGGTGTCTGTGGCAACCAGCACATTTAAATGTCGGGAGCCGGATGGCAAAGATGGCCATAATGGACATGTGCCTGTCATGTTGCCTTTGTCATTGTCGTCGCCATTTGAAGGCGGGTCCAGGGGCCATAAATTTATGCATGCAGTGCATAAAATTCAAATTAAAGGAGCTGCAACAGGAGCAGAAGGAGCAGTAGGAGGAGAAGCACATCCTGCCAGCGACAAGTACACGTTTTGACACTTTACAACAGGCCAAGTCCCATCCAAAAAGGGGACGTCAAAGCCCGCAGCCAGCTGCTAAATGGACAGGGGCGTAGCTGTTTCGTTTCGGGGGCGGTAACTCTCTGGAGGACAGCTGGGAGCATGTGGGCATCTCCCCTCCACCGAATGCAGTGCAATCAGGAGCAGCTGCTGCACTCGCTAGACTGAAATCAAATGTTGCCTTGACGCTGGACTAAAAAGGCTTAAAGTGCTGCCGCTGCTGCTGCTGCTGCTGTCAGCACAGACAAAAAAGCCCGTAACCCACTCCCAGTTTTCCAGTTTTCCCTAGTTTGACATAAATTGCGACCTAATTGATTTCACTTGGCTTTTTAAGCTACTTTCCAAAAGTGGAGAAAGTACCTACAAGTTGCCAAGCTTAGAGAACGTTCTTTGCTCTTCATTTTTTCCCTGTTCGCTCTTTGCTTTTTCAGCCACTTTAATTATCTGCTATCTCTGGTCTCGGAGGAGGTTTCCCGAGGAAGAACCCGAAAACAAAATTTATGGCTGTCCCAATTTTTAATTATGTTGCCCATTGCTAGATTGAAACCACAAAGGTATCGTAAATTGCCAACTCGGTTGGCCAAGCTGGCAATGGCCAATGGAAATTTCCTCATTAAGGCCGCAACAAAGCGCGCAGGGCCAAAACAAAAGCCGTAGCCGTAGCCAGAGCCTTTGTGATTCCATGCTTGATCTGCTTAACCACAGCCTGATGCCAGATATGCCACCTCCACTTCCATCCACTGGACCAATCCTCCTCCCTGTAATAAGCATTTCAATTGGCCCACGATGGCCCATTCGAGCACTGGCAATATGAAAGCATATTTTATTGCCACTTTGATGAGCAGCCATGGATGGGGCATAGAAAAAGAAATAGAATAGTAGGGGGAGAACATTCAGTTTTAACCTATATTTTTCTAGCTCGCTGCAGTCTTTGTAATCTAGAGTAAGTGTAAATGTGAACGGGGCGGACATGGGTTGGTGTATCTACCACCCACTTCATGGCTCTTTTTTTTGCTTTCTCCCCCCAGCTCCAACTAATTGCCGCGCTAGCATGGCGTAGAGTCTGACTAAGGAGTCCAAGAGCTCTGCAAACATGCCTAAGACAATTTAGCCAACAAGGAGCACGGTGATATAGCCAGATATGTGGATACATATATGGTGGAGGAAAAAGAGGAGTACGAGGAGCGAGAGCGGAATGGACAAACACAACATTTCCGTAAATTACACGCATTTGTCAAAACGAAACAATGCGCAAAGTGTTTATTTGTTTTAGTGAGTGCTTCTGAGCGCAAAAATGACTCAACACAAAAACAGGACACAAAAAGGGGGGGAGCGACACAAAAGGGGTGGAGGAAAGGGTTAGGATGGAAGGGCTGTAAAACTGTTGCAACTTCTAATGGGTTTGCTTGTTGCTACTCCTGCTGTGTCATTCTGTCCATGTGTGTATCTCTGCATCTGTGTGTGATCAGTGCAGCGCGCAATGTAGAGCAGCGATTATGCAACCACATCACTCTAACAATGCATCATCGATCCAATTCAGAATGAAGCATATACAGAGAGCCCGGACCCCTTGGCGTATGCGTAATGCGAACGAACACTTTTCAATTTTCATTAACTGCGGCTCCAAATTGCTTGTGTCGTCTGCAACTGCAACTGACAGACACAGCAGTTAAGCTGGATGAAGTATTATGAGCGACTGAAGGATACCTGGTAGTTTATTTGAGGGATTATCTGACTAAAACATCTTTATGTCAGCAAGCAAGATCTTGATGGTTTGGGTATTAGCTAAGGTAAAAAATACGTAGCATACTTATGAGGGTTATACAAGAAACTAGTTTCGGTTCATGGCTAATAGGTGCTTATTTCGGGATAGTTGATAAGTTTTATAGATATATATTTAATATATGTGATATATATAACCTTAAGATAGATATTCCATAAGATTATAATTATAAATTCAGAAATTCCCCATTCCTTATTCGCATTCCAGTTTCTCCACCACTTACGACTCTAACCCAAATCCAACATCATACCCATTACCTCTTCTTACTACTGGATATGAAAAGATACACAATTTCTGAGGCGGCACAGCTTGCATTTGACAATCAACAACAGCTGGACCACAGCAGCAACCATAACAAATGCCACTGCGATTGAGAGAGCAAGGATTGAATGCCGACGGATGACAGAGGCAAGTCAGACCTGTCCGGTTTTTGGGGTTGGTTGGATTGGTTGTCCTGTGGCCAGGTTTAACCGCAATTCGTGCCGTTCTGACGTACTTTCCCAGCACTTAATAAATATGTAAAGTCGCATTCCTGACTCTGGACTGAGAATCTGACTGATGTGAAATTTATTGGCCGCAATTAAAATTGCAGAATGCTGTTTGCTTTGCCCACACAGACACACATAGC